CTATTTTATGCCCTTTTATTTATAATTTGTTAACAATGTATATGATGCTTGTATAATAATTATTAGTATTAGAGTAATTAAACTATTATTTTTAAAGCAAATTATTAGTATTATTAATAGAGATTATTAGTTTTATAGACTTTTATAAGCATCGTTAATATTTAATGTTATTAAAATAATAAATATTTGTATTCTGTTTTAATTTTTAATATATTGATCTACTGAAACAATTAGTTAATACAAAATGGCAATTTTATAAAGAAATTTTATAAATACCAAATATTTATAGTGTTGATATGTTTTTAATATAAATTTGATAATAGTGATTAAGTTTAAATATGTACAACTTTCACTGTTACAATCTCGTATTATTTTTATTCAAGAAGGGACAAAAGATTCTTTCACAAATTTATTTTAATTTTACTAATAGCGATACATAATTTTTATCGTGTCTAAATTACGATTAATGTTTGTGTGAAATATATATAAGAAACATATAAATAATTTTTAATGATAGAAGCAATAAAGAAGTCTTTTATAAACATGACAAAATGCATTTCTTTACAAAACATTGTATATATATACATACGTACCTATATATTGTTTGTATTTATTTTCTTGAAGCAATTTTTCGTATTGAAATTAAAGCAAATTAATAATATTATTCGATTAAATAATAGAATTCGAATTTTTGATATAATTTATATTTGTATAATTTATATTCTTTTAATTGACTTATAATATATTGTTGCCATTTTTTTTATAAACTCATATTATATTTGTGAGAATGTTTTATTAAAAGATAGAAATTTATTAGTTTTTATACGATTATTTCTAGGCTTATATAATTGTATACATAAAATTTAATTCTATAAATGTAGGTAGAAGGATAGATATAATCTATATGGGTACTATATGGATATATGGGTATATGTACTATATTGGATTGGATAATTAAATTATATATTATATAGATATAAATCATTTCATAACATGTTTTTGTACTTGATTAAACATTCATTGTAATAATGCGATATTTTGCTATGATATAATAATATTAGTTCGTATATTTAATGTTGTTTACTATAAATAAAAAGTACTTAAGAAAAGTTAATTTTTCTTTGTCTTATTTAATTAATGATTTAATCTTATTGATTTAATCAAATATTTATTAGTGTTTACTCCTTTATTTTAATTTGATAAATTTTAATATCTTGCTTATTAACAAATTTTTTATATAGTTTCTTTCTAAATAATGCATTTACATTGCCGTAATCAATTCATAAATAATATTTACTAAAATGTATATAAAAAAATATAATATATAAATATACAAAAAAATAAATCCTGTAAATGTGCAAAATAAAAATAAAATGTTGAAAAATATAGTACACTGAATTTTATTTATTTGACTTGTTAACGCAAAATGTTACCAAGTTTCCTTGTAATAACATTAATAATTTGAAATTATTTGATGTAGTCAATATTAAAGTAAAATTTATAAAAATTTTGTTATTGTAATTTAAATTAAATTTATTATTAGATACAGAACCGCTTTAAAATAAATTTAAATTTATTTAAAAAATGTTTGAACATAATCAATTTATATGATAATTGTATATGCTAAATACATAAATAAAAAAACTTCATTTTGACATATTTGAAATTTGTCACATTTTATAAATTAATTTAAACATTAACTTTTTAAAGTAATAAATTCATATAATTTAGAAATTCAATATATAAATCTAATATAGTTATTGTAAATTTTTTTTACTGTCTTTCATTGTTAATACTGAATTTATAATTGTTGTAATGTATTTTCTAATTATTCATACAAATTTTATCTATAAATTAAGAAAATTCTAAGTACGACTAAAAACAATAATGTATTGTAATTATGATACATCTATTTGAATTTGTACATATCTCGGAATTAAATCCACTTACTTGTCAACATTTTTTTTAATAAAAACTGTAGTATGATTCTTTAATATATGTAAACTGATTGTAATGATCTGTAAGGACCTGTCATAAAATTATATATCGGCTCTTATAATCTATCATTTTTCTAAATATTTTACCTCTACATATATCAATTAGTTAATAATTATGATATCGTATGAAATATGAATTTAAAATGATTTATAATTTAATAGTTTCAATCCTTTTAAATAAATCAAAGTCGCAGTAAAATGTAGAAGAATTTAGAATGCTTTTAGAGTGCAACTGATTTAAATCGAATATGAAGAAATATAACAGTAACTTTAAATTTTAAACAATAAAAATAATTTATAAAATATTTAATGAAAATATTTATCTTATTTATAATTATATTTAAATTTTATAAATGATACATTAAAGAAATGATTATTTGACTGTTTTTAAATTGATTTTATTACATTATCAAACACCAATAATTTATATCAATTTAATATATCTTAACAAATAATTATCTTGTAGTTTTCTCATGTACAACAAAATTTTATTTTTTTTTTACAAAGCCCTACAACAAATAAATATAATCGTTTAAATTATATAATTTATATATTTAAAAAAAAAGAGTTTATGAAATCAATAATATTTATGTGTTTTAATGGATGGTTTAAAAATGTTATTATATATATAACCTTCTAGTATTTCTGAAAAGTCATAATATACCTTTATTAAGCGACTTCCTAAAAATCAATGCTCTGTATAATTGTTTAAACCGTTTTTATTCGGAACTTGTAACTCGGGCACTCTCTTTTGCTGTACTACATATTTCGTACGTATTTAATATTCGTTAATATTAGTTTACTACATAACATATAATATAATGTGGAATCAATATTTCATAAAAAACAGACAAATACTATATTTAATTCAAACTACCAAAAATATTTAACTATGGAAATTTCATAAAATCATGCTTAATTGTAAAATAGCTTATATTTTCTTTTCAATGTGATATTTGCAATCTATAGTACATACTTTAAATAAAAGTATAACCTTATAAAAAAAGTTTAATTTATTTATAGAAAAAATGTTTATTGCTGTGGCATTTGTGAATTTTTTAAAGCTTTTGAACTTGGACAATAACCTAGATTGTCAAGCTCAAAGTTGTCTTAGATACAATTACAAGATTACCAAACTTCCGTATTATTCTCTCATTTTTACTTTATCCTAATAATCTTTGATATTTTATTTTACTTTAAATCTTGTACATCAATGTTTGTATTACTTTACATTTTCGATAGATTATGATTATTATCTTAACTAATATACTTTCGCATATTCTTTGTTGATATATATATCTAAGATGTTTAATATTTAGACTTGAATTCTTGTATACATTGAAGTAATAATTTCAAAATTACTTTTAAAAATTTCATAAATTCAGTTAGATACCTTAGTAAATAGTTCTGTTTTCTTCAGTTATACTTTACACCCATTATTTTTGATAAGATAAGTTGTTTTATACATCAGAATAGTTTCTGATTTTTGGGAGATCTACGACAACGTATATGCATGAGTTTCAGCTTTTAATTTTGTCATACCTAATTTTGATGTATATTATAACTATTCTTAATTCTTATTTTCATAAATAGAGGATTGCCTTTTTATTGTTTCAAATTTTCCTAAGAACTATTAAATACAAAACCGATTTATTTCTATTTGATAAGTAAATAAGAAATTTAATTAAAATGATTGATATACATTATGTAATACACAATTACTTAAACTTTATAATACTATAAATACCATTAAAGTTAATATAAAACAATTGATTGAACATGCAAATATATGATTAAGATGCAGTAGAATGCATAAGTAGCAATAAGACAAGCAGTAGTAAATAAAGAAATAACATAAATCGATCACTTATTTAAAAATAAGAAATTTTTCATAGACTGACGATAACAAAAATATCTATACAATCAAGTTAATGGCTTACATGAAAAGCATTAATTTGTATAAACAAAAATAAGAGTAATTATGTTTGATAGAGGAATAAACCCATTAAAAGGGTTAGCTAAAAAAATTTTTTTTAATTTTTCAAAAGAAATCTCTAAATTTTTTTAATTTTCAACCGGCTTTTGATTATATCAAAAGGCTTTATTATTTATTATAATTTATGTATTATTTAATAAAATCTTTACAATAAATGGAGGATACGATAAATGAATGAAATTAATTATATATTTACTTTAAAACTTAAATTAAAAACTGTAAAATAGGCATAAATAAATATTTTAGAACACAGAGAACTCAAAAAATAAAATAAAATTTATAATGAACCAAAATGTTAAAACTGGAGCAAATAGTCTTATAAACAAAATTCAGAATAACTTTATAAATAATAAATACTATAATTATTTAAAAGATGTTACAAAATGATTGTTCATATATTTGGAATGAACACATGATTAAATATTTTTAAATTTACATTGAAGAAATTTGTAATAATTATTAATAGCTTTTACATACTCAAATATCTATTATTTTATTATATATGGAAAAAGTTTTTAAAATTAACAATTTTTTGTTTAATATTTAATACAATTCTTTATTATACGAATAATGTAGAAAACTGTCTAGTCTATATTTCTTTATGTAAATCTTGAGTAACTATTATAATTTTTTTATAAGTTTTTAATAGTAATAGGATAAATCGACTTTTAATATCCCTTAAAATGTACATTTTTGAGAAAAAATAAATATATATAAAATAATCTTTTCATACTTGTATCAATTTTTATATAAAATTATTTGGCTTGGTTATAGTATAGCGGCTGTGGAGAATTTCTAGTTAGAAATATAATTTGCACTGATTTCATCAGAAAAATGCTTTTATAAATTAAGAATAAAACAAGGGAGAATGAATCAAATTATCATGCCTTGGATCACCTCTTTTATAAGAACCCTTGGTAATTTTTCCATAAAGAAAGAGATTCAATAGTGCCTCAGCAAATAAAGAGTCAAGAGTGCCTCGTCAGACACATTATAGATACACCTACCCTCTGGCCACTGGACACACACTGAAACACAAAATTTTAAGAAACTATAAAATTCAGTAATACAAATATAAGTAAAAAAATTGAATTAATAAGAATCAATTTATTGTTATTTTCATAAGATAATTATAAACAATAGCCTTTGCTATAAATTTAATGATAAAATATACAATACAGAATTAGCTTGCAAATTAAAATGCAAAAATTTATGTATTTTAATATATATATATATATATATATATATATTACAATGGTGATATATATAATCAACAAATTATTAAATTTCTTAAAAAGAACTTGAAAAACTTTGACATCACTCCTCATGTTGAGTGTAGATAGATAACATCATAATTAGACCTAATATTGTAGTTATCTTGGGTTATTAAAATATACCTTTTTCAAAATTCACTTAAATCGAAGCAATTCAGAAATCCTTATAACCATAACGGCATAAAATACTTTTATAATGTAAAATTGGTTTTATTTACTTTGTTTTATTTACGGATACTATTATTATCGTTTTTTAGTATGTTTTAAAAACTTATCTGCTCATCATCATCTGGCTACAATTATCTAATTATGGAGAGGATGCAAAAGAAATCTATAATTTTTGTGAACTTCAGCTATTGCCTAATAAAATAATAATTCAATCTATATTTATTAAAAAAATCTCCGTAATTGTTATAAACATTCATCTGTTAGAACTTTAAAATCTTTTTGATAAGAATGTAGTTGCTACTCATAAATTAAATTTTCATATAACTAAGATGAGTATTAAAAAAAAATGAAATAATTTATCATAGATGGTCTCAATGTAAAAAAAATTACTAGACATAAGTAATTTATGCATACCACTGAAGAGAACAAGAAACAAGAGAGACAAAGCAAAATATATTTGAGATTGAAAAATTTATTGAAAAAATAGAAAAAATATATAGAACTCGATAAGGATGTGCTAACATTTAAACAAGAAAAACTATTAAAAAGTTAAATTAAGGTTATTAAATAGAATATATTCAATCATTTTTTGTAAAAATATTAAAGATATCAAATAAACAAAATTGAATATTTCTATAAATAAAATAAATATTGAATAAAATGAGATTATAAGGTACCAAGTTCAAAAATCTTTATTTTTATTTGTTTCAACGCTACTATAATATATTAAATTAAAAAATGATTATAATTATATTACACTATTTTTAAAGTACACGTCGAAAAAAATTATAAATAAAAGCATAAATATTTGAAGTAGTTATGAGTCAGTGAGACGTATCTAGAAACATTCAACCATTCTCACCTGAAGTCAAATTATCTGAAACAGATAAAGAAAAAAAATTAATTTTATTTAATGTTTTATAGTCTTTCATCAAATGAACAAAAAAATTTATGTAAAATAATATGACCTTTAAAACTGATATTTCTTATTTGAGTATAAAAATGCTTATTTATTATTGTGCGAGATTACGAGAACTTCTCGCGAATGTCAGACATCTGATGGAAAATCCAAGTCGCTAGACATCTGGTGGAAAGGTCCAATGGTCGTCGCACCTCTGAAAAATTCTAAAGTGTACGACCACAGAGAGAGGCGCTCTAAATAGAGACGCTAAAGCCAGAGGTACTCTGAATGGAGACGCTAATGACAGAGGCTTTATTAGTGGGGACGACACAGACACAAGCGCTGACTGAGTGGGGACAACACAGACATAAGTGCTAACTGAGTGGGGACGCCAAGGAAAAAGAGGCTCTTAATTAATGGTGAACCGATAGTGGTGAAACCATACTAAGCCCAAGTTAGAAGAAAACGCGTCAATCACCTGTACCGCAGTAAAAGGGTTTGACATTATCTCCTTCTTACGAAACAAATCGTCCATACGGAGCATCCGGGGTGGTGAAATACTTCAATATCCACACGGAGCATTCGGAATAGTATAACAAATCATCTACACGGAGCATCCGGCATAGTGAAACCATTCAATATCTACACAGAACATTCGAGATAGTGAACTATTCATCACAAAACAGGTCCAGACTACTGTATCTCTGTGAATAAACCAAATCTAAGACATAAATCATTGCTAATTCTTACATGATTAGCATGTCGCTATTATTACATAGCACAAAACACACTCACTAATAAGGAGTGTGCCCACTTAGTTGTTGATTTTTACAAAATCAACAACAAATCATCGTCATCAACAAGCATCTCGTGTAAATAAACCACAGAAACAGTTGCAAGCAATTGCATCTTCGTGATTGAACATAAGATACACCTTTCCATCAAATAAATCCAACACATCAATAATGCAATTGTAAATAAACCATAATAAACCATATTTATCGAATAAGCAAACACTGTATTTCTACAGTCCCTCCACTTGACTTCTTTCCAAGTATTTGCTAGGGTGAGCGGCAATTATTATAAAGCTATCGAAACATTGGCAGTTCGAGCTAGGGAATCAAACAGTTTCGAACAGTTATACATAAAATTTAAGATATAAGTTAGAAAAAAAAATCCTTCGATGATAAACTAATTTTTATTTTAGAAAATTTTAAATAATGGTTAATGATAAATTAAAAGCATATTTTATAACTCACACAGATTTATCTATTCCATCCCATATAGTATAGTTTTTAAATTGTCTTTTGTTTGGTTCTTTAAATATTAATTTTTGATTTCTAACAGAGTATTCTTTCTTCGTATATCTTTTGTTTTGTGCATATGTTATTGGTCTTTTTTGGTATCTTGCATTCAGGATATCTATAGGGATCTTGTTTACAGCTTATGTCTAACATATTCAATGAAGTTTGGTATAATTTTGAATCAAACTATTATATATCTTGCACTAAATTATTTAAACTCACTGTAGTTTATAATTTTTGTTTTCTCGCATTATATCAAAACGATAAAAAGATGATATTTTATGATGATCTTTATAACCATAATTTTTATTGTATAATTTCATGTTAGTAAAAATATTATTATTTTTTTTTTCATTTTAATGATTTTTAAATATAATATTTGAACGTTTTTCAAATACCTAATTATGTTTTGATGTTACAGTTTCCAACGAACTTCAAATAATTTATACCATATTTTGTTTTTAAATTTGAAAACATTATGGTAATTATGTCAATCTTTATTTATCTTGATAATTTTTTGTGGTTAATACTACGTTTCTGTTTTACATGAAAAACCACTCTAGAACTTTACAAGTATCTTCGTTATCCATCAATAAGTACATATTCGGAAGTTTAATATTGCTTAAGTATTATAAAAATCTGTTAAATATTCAAGAATATTCCATTTTTGTTTCTACAATCTAGTCTTAAACAACCATTTAAATACATGTTAACGATGATCTCTAATTATTTAATAATTGTACAATAATATTTGAATACTTGTTTTTATTTTAAAAAAGCTAGCCCATGTATAATATGTAATGTATCGATTATTTCTTACTCATGGTTTCCTAAATTATACACAGTATCAATGCATTAGATAATACATTAATTTTTAATGAGTGCATCAGCACAATTCAATTACTTGTATGTAAATTTACATCATATTTTGTTATATAAAAGCATAGATAAAATGAATGAAAAATTAATAACTCTGCATTCAAATATATTTTTATAAATATTATCAGAAAATGAAATCAACCAGTTCATTTATAAAGTATATTGAAGTTAAGTTTATTTTCAACTGGATTTTCAAATCCACTTGTTGCTAAAATATTCTTAACTATTCATGTAATTCAATATTATTAATTAATTATAATACATATGTAAAAATTAGTTTACTTTAAAAAGCACCTGATATAAGCTTAACAAATTGATTTATAAGTCGATAAAAGAAATTACACCAACTGTCGCTTTCAGCAATGTTATGTACTTTCAAATTTACTTTATATATATTTTATCGTATATTTACGTTTAATTAATATTTATTGATAATGATAAATTAAAACTTTTTAATAACCATGCAATATATCAATAAATGTATAAGCACTATTTTATTTGTTTATGTTTTAACTCAATTTAAAAACTATAAATTAACTATTATAATTACTAGGAACTGAGAAGCATAAATATATTACCTTAGTAGATAATATTTTCCGTGGCTCTAGTAAATCATCAATACTGGAGCAATGCTACATATTTGTCTGATGTAAGATTTTATTCCTCAAAGAAAATTTCTTGGTTCTATAGACTGATAATAAACAACACGTGTTAGTAGACGAACAGAGTCTACCCTAGGATTAACATGAGTTTTCGCTTTTCTAGCAACAATAAAAATAATTTCTATTGCTCTTTTTCTACGTATTTATTTTTCGATGTTCGTACGGTTTATTAATGTAAGTTTTCTATAATGTGAACGATACAACATTTTTTGTTTTTTGATTTATTTTTGTCATCTACATTATCTATATCTCACTTTTATAATAATATTTGTAAACAAATACAAATATGTAAGACTAGAATTAAAAAAATTCTATTTACAAGATCTGATAACATTTATTCTATATTTAATATTAAGGAATTATTGATTCCTGAAAAATAATTAATTATACGTAAGAGAATACTGAATATAGATACTTAGAAGGGTATTTAACTAAATAATATTATAATATTGCTAAGTTTTAGATTTGTAATTTTTAGTTGAATAAATATTTTTAAAATTCATTCTTTTTCTTTTTTTTTATTATTGAAAAATATATGTAAAATATCGATTTGTAATATTATTTATAGAATATTTTTATAAAGAAAAAATTTAAAGTATCTTTTTGAAATATTTTGCTATTATTGTAATAATAAAGTAAAGGATTTACAGAAATAAATTTTATAGATTATTATGCTTTATTTTTTATACACAATGATAATTACACCATAAATATTTATGGCTACTCCTTTAATTGCATGAATATTAATAATTAATAAAATAAAAATTAAATTATGGTAAGTTAAATATAAACACATTCCCAATCAATTCCATAAGTTAAATATTACAAAAATAAAGTTGAGAGCTTCTTTTTAAATAAATTGTTTAATTTTTGTTAGTATTATATAAAAATCGAAAATAAATAATTATTTGTTAATTGCTGTTTTGAATTTTACTTTTATATACATTTAGTAAATTTTCACTCATTGTGTGAATTAATGTTTAATATTTTATTATATTTTTTTTTATTTAATTTAGTATACAGTTATGCTTTATAAAATGTTTTCATTGAAAATCGAACGATTTAGACTTCAAATACGTAGCAATTGAAACCTGTGCATACATTCAGGTATAATAAGCTATCTTTAAACGTTATAATTGTTCCAGTAATAAATTATAATTATAAAAATTTAACAGTAATTAATTGATTAAAAAGATATTTTGAAAGAGAAATTGAAAAAATAATTAAATATATAAAATGTAACTTATTTTAAAATATCTTTTAATTTCAAAATCACATTTTTGAGATTAGTAAACATATCAAACTTAAAGAATCTACGAAGTTACTACTTTAAAGATATCTGGGGGATATCATTTATATTCATATTTCATGTTTTTACTTAAATGTATTACCAATTTTAGTCCGACCTACATCTTTAAACATGTTTATAATATTTTATTTAAATTAGACTAAGAATTAGAATTTTATAGTCCTGATATAGTATAATATAGATTTTGATATTTATCAAACTATATAATTAATAAATATTTAAAGATAATTTTATGAATTGAAATAATAAATAATGTAATGAAAAATATTTAATATTATCATTATTTTTTATTTCTAATTTATTTAAAAAAATGTTTTAAATTTATGAAAAGATATTCTTCCTACGATAGTAACCTTTGAAATTAATTGTTAGTAGAATCTATTTTGTACACGTTTATAACATAAAATAAATTTTATTAATTTAAAAAGCATGCAATTATGTTTTATGAAATATTAAACAGAGATTTAATTTTTAGAAATAAATGTAATTACATTAGAAAGGTGCAAAATGTAGTAAAATTAGTCATTGTTTTTTATTTAAATTAGATGCTTGAGTATGTTAACACTTTAGAAATATATACCTTATAATTCTATACAATTAATTGTTTAAAAGTAAAACATATGTATTATGACTATTCATTTGATATTACCTATGAAAGAATTTAATAAAATGACGTTACTTAGCTGAATTAAATTATCACAATTTATAAACTTACCGTTCGGAATTGCTGGTGGTTTTTTCGTCTGTACTCGAGCCGTAGCATTGTTCACCTATAAAAATAAAAAAATCTTTTATGCATATAAATATTTAAGTAACTAAATATTTTATAGTATTTTCTAAATTATTAAACATTATATCGTAAACAATTACAAATTATTGAAAATCACTTTTAGAACATTTTTAATTGTGATTAATCATTCAATTTGTAGGATATTTCAATAGAAATATGTGAATGTCATTATACTTAATAATATAATTAAAAAAGTATATACATTAATAATTTTTTCATAAAAAATTGAGTATACGAAATGAAATATTTGTCAATTATCCTAATTATTTAATTAATAACGATTAAGATTTATGTATGTTAATTGAATGCTCATAATTTCAAACAATTTCATAACAATATAGAATCATAAAATATGAGGTTTGATTACGTATAATGAAACTAAAAATTTTAAGCACTTAACTTTTAAGTAAACAGTAAAATTATTACAAATAACAATCCTATCGCTTGCTTTCTTAATAAACAGAATTTCACATTAATATTTTAAAATCATTAAAATTAGCATTAGTCTATTAAACATGATATACAATATGGATATTATACATAATATTGTTTTGAGACATAATATTATTTTTAGAGATAGTATTAAAGAAATTAGAACTTGAATATAAAATATTTATATTTATTATATTATTTGTTATATGATTTTCATTAATAGATAATTTATAATTTGTTTCCAAATAAAAAATTTATATTTGTAAATAATGTTAATTTATTCATGGATTGACCAATTTACTTAATATGATTTTGAGATTCTATGAAATGAAAATAGCTATTTAATAGCTATTAATTAAATTGTTTTCTATATAATATTATTTTGGTTTTGTAAGCTTTTATATGCTAATGATGATATACTTTTTTAATTTAAACGAATAATTTATAAAAGTTTAAGAAACTGCTGTAAAATTATAATAGGCACATCATATTATGTCATCGACATTAAAACGATTGAAGAAAAAATATATAGTTAATTAATAATTGAATAACAGTAAATAAATTCGAGGTAAACTTAAATTTGTTAAAATTTATTATTTTAATTATGTGAAATGATTAATTATATTGACACAATAATTTTGGATTCCATGCTTTTTTAAAGAAAGAATTCCTTTGCATTAATTATGATAATTTATGATAATATTAAAAATCCTTATACATTAATTATGATAATATTAAATACAAATACACATGAAGCATAATATATGATCTAAATATGAAGTATTTTAAATACTAATACACGTAAAAGACTTGTTATAATTTTTATTTGATGGATTTCACAAGAATTTTATTTTGTTAAATTGTTCTAAAACAATTTTAAAAGTTAAGAGGTTTACAATTAATAAACTAATAATACTAACTGAAAAGAGTATAATTGATATAATAGAAAAAATATAATGGTTTACAATAATAAAAGTATTATTATATAATTCATTTGAAATTAATTTCTTGTTCGAGCATTTTTAGTAAAAAAATTGAACAAATAAAAATATTTTTAATAAACAAATACATAAATTCGATTAACAAAAAGAGTATATTTTCTCATAATACTGCCAAATGACTGAAATATGATTTTATTCATATGTTTATATTTATTAATATGTTAAAATATAATTTTATACGTAAACCTTTGTTGCTCAGTATCATTTTATATTTTAGGAATCATCTTTAGTGTATCTTCAATAACTATTTAAGTTTGCCCTTTCACAACTTTTCCATTTTCTAGATTTTCTTACCTGGAGTTCACTTTCTGTGGTTTTCTTTCTGTCTCGAGAAATTCATAATATTATCATATGCAAAGCATAATATGTAACATACTGATTGATACCTTATTATAATTATCATATATAAAAATATTTTTTATTTGAATCGTAATTGTACTGATACATATATTATCAATCTGTAACTTCTGATTCATTTGAATAATTTTAATTATTCGATACATTTATAATATATATTATTTATTTATTACTGCAAGTATATATAGTTACTCATAATGATGTAAGAAAAACATTTAAAAAGTTACAGTTGCACTTAAATTGTTACGCAGCAGAAGAATATTCAACTTAACTGATTGACCAGTATGAATTTCAGTTTAGTATTGTCAACATTTCATTTTTTATCTTTGATTACATATTATAATAATTCTATATTATAATAATATATTATAAAAACTCTTTTATACATTACTCGCGCATAAATTATATTCAGTCAAATTACAATGGCGTTTCTATTTACTTCATATATCAGTTATTTTCTTTATTTTTCATTTTTCTCACGATACTAAAAGTTAAAATAACATTAAATTATTGACATTAAGCTATTTAGTTAATTATTAAGTACTCTTGAAGTGATTATATCGATAAAATTTTCCAGTCAAAGATTTCACAAATTTTCAACTGTTGCAAACACTGTTCATTTGTAACACTATTGATTTAAATGTTTAAATTTAGTTTTCAATGAATTAAAGTTTTTATAAATCTCTAAAACTATAAGTAAATTTTAGTTTAGTTTTTTAATAGTACGTTTGAACTTTAGTATAGAATAAAAATATAAATAATAACAATAATTTAACGCGACTTGCTTATTTGAGACATGTATTTTAAGTACACATGTGAATACAAGTTATAAAATTATACTTAACGACGAAATAACCTATTTGCAGAATATTTCTAAAAAAATTACTAAAATATTTAATAAAATTATATTATTAAATATAAACAAAATCTACTTTATTGAGTAAGATAACTACTTGAATACTACTAATGAATTTGCACAGAAGACTACTAAGAATACTAAGAATTGCACAGAACTATTTAATAAGGAACTATTCAATTTTTGAATGAGAGTTCTAAAATTAACTTATAAATGAATGAAATTTAATTACAATTTTATCGATTACTAAAAATGAAAATATATTGTATTATAAAATTCTATCAATTCTATCAAAATAGAATAAAATATAATAGAATATTTACAATTCTAATAATAAGTTGATTGGAGATTTGGAAATAAAAATACTTAAAAATGATGAAAGGTAGACGTTTGTTATATATTCAAAATTCATACATGCTATAAAAATATATTCATGAATAATACAATATTCTGTTGCTATGATAGAGAATAATGATATTTCATTAATACCAATAAATATATTCATATAAGAAAATATCGAGAATTCTAAAATCAGATTGAAACTCGATGAAGCAGATATAATTCAGTATAAGCACACGAATATCTCTCTCTGTAGAGAGATAGAGATGTAAGAGATATACATATAGAATCCTGAAATTACTCTTTGCACTTGTTGTACACACTCTTACAATTTTGTACATGCATATTATTTTGAAACAAGAAATTTCAAGATTTTGTCAGTTTAATATAAGTAACAAAAAACATGGTCATTAATTTTTTAAATTTACAATAATTTACATCACAATAGAAGCTTTTTTGTCATTTTAAATAAAAACATAAAATATCATATGGTACGTTTTATTAAAATTTTTGTTTTTATCTTTGTTTGTTTTGGCTTATTCTATATCTATTATGACACATATTATTGCCATGAAGGCAAAAGTTGATACCCGATTTGAGATACAAAAAAAAATATTAGTATTGTTTATTAGGTGTTCGAAGTAAATATAACGAAATATCGTATACATATATTCTAAGCTTATATTAAACTGTTAAAAATTAACTTTCAACGCAAAGAAAAAAATTGTTTTATAAATGTTAAATAAAGAAAAAACTCCAGAAAGTTTTTAAAGTAAATATTATTACCTTCATTTAAAAAAATGTTTTGTTGTAGTTTTTTAATTAGAAATAAATTTTGGAAAAGTAGAAACAATTGATTTTTAATATATTATACTACAAAAACATAAATATAAACTTTATTTTAGTAAATATTCTACTATAAATTACAGATTATTACACGTAACTTGTATGTGTTATCTCTGTTCTCTTCCTTTCCCTTTCTTTGAATAAGAAAATAAAAAATATTTTTGTAATTTAAATAAAATATTTAATCTATTTAATGACTAATTCAATGTGAATATTAATTTTTCTTAAACAGATTTTCAATATATATCTTTCTATTAAATTATATTTTTTCAAATCAGTTTATTTTTTGTCAGTCATCACTAAATAAATGTTAATGATATTATAAAAGATTTTTTTACTAGATTATTCATACAAATTCATTATAATTTCGATATTTCACTATTAATAAAAAACAGAATGAAGAAATACATTATATAACTTTGAATATTATTTTGAAAGTAAAATTAAAAAAAATAAAGAAGGAACAATAGAATAAGTTTTAGATAGGACTCAACATTTTACATAATATTAATCGTACAAATAATTAAATATTTAAATAGAATTATTAAATAGATCAAATTGACTGTTTCTATTTCCCACTAATGAAATTTAAATCATCAAATTTTATTTGACCATTGTAACTATACATATATTTGTATGCATAGTTAAAACAAAAATTTATACGTAATTTAAAGTTTATTATTATTTAAGCTTTATGTAAATATATATATATTTATCTATATATTATTAGGTAGATCAATCATTTAAAAGTTATATATTTATAATAGCAACATTGATTAAGATATATATAATTAATGAATAGATGTTCCCATTAATATAATCAATATATAAATATTGTGTTAAAATTTCATATATTAATGAGGCTTCATTTAAATATACACAATTTGTACAGTTATAAAATAATTATTGATGGTATAATTATTTTCATAAATATTTTCATGTAAATAATTAAAAAATATAGATCAATGTATAATGCTTAAAATAATAAGAAAATTGCAAAGAATAGAAAACTCGACTTTGTGATAATTAATTTCAAATTTTTACAATTAAATTTATACCATCGTGTACTATATCGTTAATATATGTGTATATATAAATTAAATCAATTTTATTTATAAGTTAGTTGTAATAATTATTAATTTGAAAAAAATAGACATTTTTAAATTCATTAAATAATTGAATTATATAAAATGATAAATTATTACTTAATACATTATATACTTATAAAAGTATTTAATAATAAATTTTTTTTAAGCACAACACAAATATTGGAAGTTTCGTACTTTTTATATTGCCTGGAATAAAAATTTTATATTAAAAATTCATAAAAATAAAATAGTCAATTTAAATTTTATTATAAAAATTAATAAGATAATTTTATATATATATATATATATATATACGTATATGCATATTTGTGTATATATTTATGTACTTACACACACACACACATATATATATATATATATATATATATATATATATATATATATAAATAAGAAAGTCATGCACACCTCAATCTTCCTGCCCTCAACCACGGTGCCGTGTAGCCTCTCACGTGCTCGGTCCGCATCAGCACTATTTGCGAACGTTACAAAACCGAATCCCTGCATGCAAGGACAGACAAAACAACATGCATTAAACTCAACTTACAGACTGTTGCGCTTTGCAAGCATTTGCATATTTACTTTACTTCCTTTTACTTTTTTATTCATTTGTTCACAATATACCCAACCAAAGATTCAAATAAAAAGTTAAAAAGTAAGTATTAATATATTCACTCGCATTATAATAAAAATAATTTTACATATATATTAGTAGGATATTTCAAATAACATATAGAAATACTTTACCATAATACTTCAAATCAGTAGATAAGAATTTAAATCTATAAATGAAATATTTAATTTAGTTTATAAAAATCACGTGTAATCATCTTATATTTTATAATTTTATAAAATATAAAATAATTGTTAATAAAAAAATAAAAAAATAAAATAATTTTATCAAATAATTCAATCATACAATGATTATAAAAAATACTTTCTATTTAACAATTATTATAATAAAAACTTGTAATTGGATTTGCTCTTTTAGAAAAAAATTATAAATGAAAAATTAGTTTAAGGAAATTTGTTTTTTATTTATAAATTAATCTTTGTTAAACTTTTAAATGATATAGATAAGTAATTTTTAAATATATATTTATAATATTATATTAACGATTAATTCCAAAATAAAAGAAAAAGGTAAGGTTGTTTAACATAATTATAGTAGTACATTTTATTTTGCTGACTTACGAAATAAATATTAATATACAATGCTGCAGGCGCTATATTGCTTACGAAGACGCACCAAACAACGTGCAACAAATAAGTAAATATAAGATCATGGTAAGAATTTATGGGCATAATCACATAAATCATGTCATTATATTATAACATATAATTTCATCTCACATTATATATCATATTGCATTATATTTACTAATTGATACAAATAAATTTAAGTATGTATAAGTTAACACACATACGGATAATTTATTTTAAAATAGTTACAATTTAAAAACATTGTATACTGTAAAATTTAGTATTTTTAAATTAATTTAATAAATCTTTTGCTATTATATAATATTTATGTCGAATTCCTAACTTAAAAAGATATTTTAAAATACAGAAAAATTATATTTTAGGTAAAATAATGAAAATGTATGATTTACTTTAAAAATTAATAAAAGAGCATAAAAGAGCACGTGAATTAATATCTTATATATTTTAGTTATTTATAATTCGTGATAAAGTGTTAGTATATGCAATTATGAAGGTGTACATATACAACATAATAATATGATATTAAAATAAAGAATAAATACTGGTTCAAATTTTAAGAATTTTATAAAAATTATTGTTTAATATCAACAAAATATTTATTTCAAACGAATTACTTCATAATTAAACAAACGCAAATTTCATAAATATACGCTTAATTAATATATGATAAAATAAACAATGAAATAAATAAATAAATAAAAGCACATAAAATTATTTTTTTAAGACAATAACAAAACATTAAAATAAAAGTATTTTCTTACATTTAATGTAAAAATTAGTATAAAATTGTTGTTTGTTCTTTGAAAAAAATCTAAAGTTCATATCAACATTGTCTTGAGAAAACTTAATCTCTTATTTGACAAACCTAGAGGTTTATCTTTCTTTTTGAATATATCATAAGTTTTGAAAAGTTGTAGATGTTACTGAAAACATTGATATGATTAAGTCGACCTATTTTTTTAATTTCTTAAATTCGCGTAATATATCAATCTGAGAAATTAAAATTTTTATCTATTTCTAAATTAGTCATTTTTATGTAATAATCATTTATTTGTTAAAAATAGTGTAATTTTTGTTTTTGAAATTTTGTATGTTTTATAAAATATTTTTATTCCGAGTATATATATATATTTACTCGAGAATATATTTGAAAATTAGTTATTATTTGTGTTGTAAGTTTTATTTATTCAAAGCAGTTAAACTTTTTATTTATTATTTTATTACTCAACCAATAATGAATTATATATTATATTATTAAATGAAAACATATAAATGAATACTATTATCATATCACATATGTCTTGTGTTTACTACATCTCCTGAATTAATTATTATAATAGAATACATTTTAATTTATTACTATACGAATAATTGAAAGCAAATATATCCCATACATAAATTTAAACAAATAAATGTAATTTGAATCATAGATTAGAATCTTGCTGATTATTATTTTTGAATTTGCAAGCAAACTAGAACGTTTAAAATTTTTAAATTAAAACAATGAGCAGAAAATTGAAGAATGAATACTATATATTATATGCTTTTTACAAAAAAATATAAATCTAAAACAAAAATCTATAAGCCAGGCATTATCACAACTTTAATTTGTTTATAGTAACAAAATCCAATAAATTTATATAGTAAAGAATTAAATTTTTTATTTAGTGTTAAAATAATTTATGTTTTCCATATAATTTTATTCAAATTTTTTAAATAACGAATTAAATACCAAAAAGCTACACAATTAATATTTTTTAATTTTAAATCAATATACATTCTGAAGCTGTAATAGTAAAACATATATTATTTTTAAAATGATTTTATCAATTTTATAATTAACAAATCATTTATTAAAAAAATTATAAAAATTTTACAAATAATTGTTTTAAATAATTTGAATATATGAGTGGAGTAAAATAAACATAATATGCAATTGAAATTATTCATGATGATACAAAGAAATTATTTATTTATAATATTATTTGATAACAAAATTTTCTAGTAAGAATAAAATAATATTTGCATAAACAGACAAACTTATTTTTAAAGTATTGAAAACTAAAATTAAGTTGTACGATGAAAGTAGTAACTATTAAATTCAACATTATAAATTCTGTAAATATTATATTAACTAAAAAAGACAGTTTAATACTAGAAAACATATTCTAAAAAGAAATGAAACACTTAATATTACATGTATATAAATTCTGAAATAATATTAATGCATCACATAGTTTTTGGTTAATTATTATTTAATAAATGCGAGAACAGTTAACAAATTTAACATTTAATAATTATTTAATATATATTTAACGTTTTAATACACTTCGATAGTTTATAATGGAATATTATTTAATTATACATTTACAATATGACACTTTTATTGCCAAAGTAGCTACAGTATGTTGGTTTCATCAGAGATTTAATGAGGTGCTTTTAGATATGCCCATTACAAAAATCTCTGCTTTATAATTTTTAGTATAGAATACAAATATGAGATAATAATTATTGAGAAACTACTAGGTACTCAGCTATTTCCAGATAACAGTTACAGTTACGAAACAATCACATTGTGCTGAGAATATAATTATAATTAATAATTACTCATACACGTTGTATAATTTATATAGTAAAACAATTAGATGACAAAATTATTATCTAACTTCACATAGATTATTCAAAAGTAATTTTATTGCTTAAATTCTTTCAGTGAATATATTTATTGTCTTTTTTGTTTTATATAAAATAGACATTTCAAGGTTTGATTTTATCAATCTCTACGTATATATACATAAAGTAAGAGCTATGTTGAAAAAATTTAATTAGAGTGTTATTTAAATCGAATCAATTATTTTGATTTTGTTTCTGTAGTAGTATATAACGATCTGACCTGTTACCCTGAAAGGCTCCATTAAATAGTCTGGCAAATTTGTTCGTAAATAAAAATTTCTAATCATCTTAAAAAGGAAGACTCTAATTTTAAGCCTTACTCTATTTGGTAATTTCGAGAACTCCTTAATTTATTTTTATGGATATCTTTTCTTTCAATTATATCTTCTATAAAGTTTCTCCCTCTTTATCCTCTTTCATAGAAACGACGTATTATTAATCCCTGCTCTTACATGTTTATACATAATCTAGAAATTATTTATTTATCTCTTATTTTGATAATTTCGTGATGCATACGAATATTAAAATTTATGCTTTATCGTAGAATGATTCTAACAAGTCAATATTCAAAAAAGAAGCCGACCTAATTGCTCGTTAAAATGTCAATAAAAATTATATAAAAGGCGAGAAAAATTGAAATATAATACGTTTATTGAAAAACGATAGAACACTCGAGTAAAAAACTATTGACAAAATAGTAGCTGTATTAGTACAAATAAAAAATAAGAACAATAAACTATTTATAATATACAAAAGTATTTAATATATTTCAATAAGTTATTATAATAAAATCACAATTACATCAGATAAATTAAATAAAATGTATAAGGTATTGATATTAAAAAATCTGTATTTAAATATTCTTTTTCAACATACTGTCTGAATTTACTGATTTTATTTTTATTAAATTATTATTAAAATGACCCATGTATCCTAGCATTCAGTTCTTATTACTTCAATATTCATAAACTTCATAAACTAATTCAGACTTGCTATTTTAAAACAATGATTGGTAATCATGTATATGAAAATTAACTTTATTATCTATTATAGTGTCTTAATAGACGCAGATTAATAGAAATCAGTTATTACCACAGAGTAATTAATTTTGGCGGGATATTATTATATTAACATTATTTAACTAAGAAAAAAAAAGGAATTGATTGTATTAAAATTTCTATAAAACTAAAGAAAAATAAAACGTTATTACTACACATGTCATCAGATTAAAGGTATTTAAAAGTATTGTTATGATTATTATAAATGTAAAATAAAATGAAAAAATAAAAAATTAATGAAAAAAAATTGTTTTATAAATAATTGTTAATAGTGCAAAAATGTAATAGAATTCACGTTATTTACTGTTAGATAATTGACTGACATTTCAGATTATAATACATCAATGTGATTAATTTGTTTTGTAATTGAAAGATTTTAAAGTACCGATAAACATTCAGAAACAAAAATATTAAAAAATTAATATTTATAAATAAAGATATTCTAATTGATCAGATACATCATTATAGTTTGATCGGAACTGTCATAAAAGATAAATGTAAACAATTTTTTTTAAATATTATTTTATGTAATAAATTTTTATGATTTATCCAATGGCATTATGAAACAAACATAACTTTTGCAATTAAATTAAAGTTCATTAAATTATATCTACTAATATTTTGTAGACGTATAACTTAAATTCATTAGACAAAAAATAAAATAGTATAATTTTTCAAATAATCATCATATGTACTAGATGAGCACGAATATTACATAAGAGATTCGTAACTTTTTCAATTAAAATAAAAATTAATTTATCAATAAGATAAAAAAATATAGCGACTGCGATCGAGAATATATATAGATATTTTTATATCATACAAATACTAAGGATATAAAGCATGTTATATTTTTATTCTATGTTTCACAGAAAAGTGTTGGTACATATTGAAGGTGGTTTTGAAAGTAATTTTAAAAAATTTTAAATTTATAAATTATAAATAAAATATGTTTTAAATTCTAATAATAAAATTGATAATTCGATCGAATAAAAATAAAATTTAATATGTTTTAAAAGCTGTGATTTGATGAGAAATGAATGTAGAAATAATTTAGTAGGGAATGGTTTTTGTATACTAGAAAATAAAATAATGATAACGAAAAAGTTATATACATTCAGTTAGTGATTGCCAAATTTTCATAAATATATCATTTTAGAAATATTATATCAAGTCGTTATATTTAAAATAAAAAAAATAATCATAATTATATAAAAGTAAAATAAAAATTAATTGATTAAATTTGATTTAAAATAGGAATCTAACCAAGATAATATAAAAAATATTTACTTCTAGAAATAATAAATAATTAAAGATAAGATATTGTGAATAATTGATTTTAAATATTATATAGATATACGATAATATTCCATAAAGTGTTCTTTAAAGTGATAAAAACATTATTAGCAACACAAATAGTTTCAAGTTAATGAAAATTAACAGTGCAAGAAAGATGTAATTAATGCATTGAAATAAAATGCATTACAATATTAGTTTTAAAAAACTTATTATAAAAAAATTTATTATAAAAAATATTTAGTGTAATAATAAAAATAACATTACGTGTTACAATTCATAATAATTATAATAGAGCAATTTGTACTAATATTGATTTATATATGATAATTCAAAAGAAAAATATTTAAACATTTAATCTTTATTAGTTTCTATAATTTCTATTTTAATTATCTTATTCAAGCCACTAACTTGAATATAACAAGGATTGACTACTTAAATAAAAGTTTCTATTTGAATTAATGTTATATTAGTACACGATGGAATGTTTTGTATGACTATTTAAATATTCAAAACAACAATTACTATTTAATGAAATCGTGATTATAAGACAACGCGTACTTACTATTGGATATGCTTGAACTTTAATATACCTGTTGTATTTAACATGCTTAAATTACAATTTGAATAATTTTGAAATTTCAAAAACCAATAAAAGAATTTGTAGTTTTATGTTCTATACTACTTATGTACATTGATTTTCCTTCATTCATGATTGTAGTTACAGACGATTAATAATAATTCCATTTCTTCGCATAATTAACGAATTATTCAAATCAATTAAAAAATGCATATAAAATATATTTCAGAATTTCCATTTATTATTCATTAATTTATAATTCAAATAAAATTACAGTTATTATTTTTTTTTTACGTTGTTAATTTGCGCACCTACAATTAATTACGTGTAAGTATAAGTGTAAGTTTCATATTAAATAGCTATCTATTGTAATAATATGGAGAGAACTGAAGAGTATAAAAATAAACATAAACGTACGCGCATATTAATTTAAGCATCAGGTGAATATGAATGACATATATATACTCAGGAATTATTTATTCATTGTTCTATATAAATCCTCTATTATTTATCATCTTTTTTATTAATATACTATACTCAACTACTTTTTTGGCTTTTTATCTTTAATGTTAGACTAGAACAGAAAAAAAAATACTATTTTCCCTATAATATATTACTGATTTATTATTTTGAAAGTGAATATTGCAAAGTGAATATCCTGTGAATGTATTTAATAAAATTTCTGCAAAACATGATTAATAAAAATCTTCAACCTACTCTTTATACATTCGTTAATATACTTTTCTTTCATTTGTAATTTATGTTTCTCTGTTATCTTCTTGAACGATGAAAATTTTTTAAATATTGTTCGTATTAGGCGATATAAATTCACTTATTACTACATATTATGTAAAATGTGCAAAATCTAATTAATGTTCTAATTACCAAAAAGAGAGAGTTTAATGCGTGTTTAATGAGTTTAATGTTAAATAAAAAAATTTAATGCCATTTCTAAAGTTATCAATTTTAAAGTGATTCAATTTTTGTAATAATATCATTAAAATATATGGCAAATTATAATCATATTTAGTAATTCTAAAACTCTAATTATCTTCAATTATATATAAGAAATCTACATCAAGAAATTAATAAATAATATTCTACGAAATATATTTAACATAAATCACAAATACTTGTCAAAATTATAAAAAACAATTAATTGTCTCAATAATAAGTTAAGTGATAATATCAAATGTAAAAATATAACGTACATAAATAAGTATCTATATAGAAGTTTATATAACATAAATTATATAACTAAATTGAATGTTTCAACTTATACAATAATATATTAATTTTATAAAATATATTTAAATATTATACTTAAAAAACTTATTTCAATGAAAAATGAAAAATCAGTTCAATATACACATATATAAAGACAATTACCATAAACTAAAAAAAAAAAATTAGTTTAATTTATTAAATATTTTAAATCATACCATCATATTAAATAAAATATATTGATTTTCATTTATATATTTACAATCATATTTATTAATTCATCATAGATTTTTTACATAGATAGATTTTACATACATAGATCTGTATACAAAATAAATAAAAGAATTTAGACTTTCAATGCAAATAATTTATTTAAATTAATATTTTATTATAAGTAAAACTCACTAAAAGAATAATTTAAAATAATATTAATACGATGGCATAGACCATTCTTAAATTATTTAAAAAAAAACTATTAATGTGGTTCTAAAAATATTAAATAGATAAAATAGAATTTACCGAAATAAAAATAAAAACTATATATTTAGATAATATATTTATATAAAATAATTTATATAAAATTTTTTTAAAAATATTTACAAAAGAATTTAATGTATTATGCTAATACTTCACTTGCTATCAATTAAAATAAGCAAATCAAATTAAGACACTCAAACTCTAACCAGCAAACTAAGTTTTCTTCGTTTAAAAAGTAAAGATAAATTTACAAATAATTGAACAAAATTTACAGAATAACATTAGGTATTTTTCAAATATTGATTAATGAATAAATTATTCATTATCATTTTGTTTTATTCATTATTATTTTATTTATTGTTATTATTTTATTTATTGTTATTATTTACTTACTTTCTGTTAAAAAATTATAATCCAGAAAATGTATTTTCATAACTAAGAAATACAAATTTTTGAATTTAAATCAGAATTTACATTAATTAAACAGATGATGTTTATTGAAACAAAATTCGTTAACAGATTTTATTTTATATGAAATAGTATGCATATTAATAAATGCTATTGATAGTAATGAAAATTAATTTTAAAAAATAATGAACAATAATTATATAAAAAATATGTACATAAATATAATACGTCATATTATATATAAATTGAAATAAAACCAAGTTACTGTTACTTCACAATAAAACTTTAATACTAGATAAAAAAAAGCAAAAGGTATAGTGCAAAGGTTAAAGCACTACTACATTACAATTAGTATTTATGGGAATAGTTATAATTTATAAGCTTCTAAAGACAAAATTTGAAGAATTGGAGCGAAATAATTTGTGTATTGAGAATTTTAATGTTGAAACGTAATGGCTTGTCCCCCCCCTCTCTATCTTTTCGTTTACATGATTTGTTATGAATAATATATATAAAATTCAAAATGATATGTGTTATCTCTCTTAAAAAATAAGAAAATTAATTTTCTTAATTTAATATTAATTGTTTATTTAAATAATATAAACACAATTAAAATAATCAACATTCTAAAATATCCAATTAATTCAGTGTATGGTGAATATATGGGAGTTCATACTTAATTAATTTTTAGAAAAGACTAATTCTAGCTAATTTTACCTTACTTCCTCTTTCATTAAAAATAATCTCCACATCAAGAATTGGACCATATTGCTGAAATTGAAAATTAATACCCATTAATTTTATTGTTTTCATACGTATATTATTTACATTATAAGCATAAAATTATTCATAATAAGATTTATTAAATAAGTTTATGCCATATGTGCAAAATATAATGTCACACTTACGCCAAACATGGCTCTGAGATCAGGATCTCTAAAGCGAAATGGTATATTACTGACATGTAATCGCTTAGGCTGACCTTTAAGATCAATGCCTTGTGTTTGTGTTGCCGGTGTCATAGCGCCAGAAGTGACAGGTACTAGCGCGCTAGTTTCAATATTATTTTCCGAATTGGCTTCAGTGGCACTCGTAGGAGGTTGTTGCTGTCCGCCAGTGTTAACTGCGGCTGCTGCTGCAGCTGCAACTGCTGCCTGAAATACATCCGACTGTGTCGAAAGAAATTTTTTTTTCATTTTTATTAAAAAACTATATTACTGTATAAAATCGTAGTTACACTATTATTATTATTTAAAATATATTGTATTTTTATTAACAAATAATTATTTATGAAATATTTCCTATACTTTACGAGTATTTGTAATCGTAATTATCGGTTTAATCAATAAATACAACGAAATCGTACTAATTAAAAAATGTTAATATAACATAATAAATCAAGTTCAAAATAGTAATCATAGTAAATGTCTTAAGTACAATGATAATAAAATAGAAAAACAAAACATACTCAAGAAAGTCACAGAGATAGAGACTTCTTAAAATGTTACACCTTGAGAAAAATTTTATAATGATAAAGTAATATTTTACTAATGCAAATACATCTAAAGAAAAATAGATTGGATATGAAGAAAATTAATTTTTGTAAAAATAATTTCAAAAATTCAAATAAAAACTTCATAAAGAATCCTTTAAACAATGATGCGATATTTTTCATTTCTATCTATATAATTTTTTTTCTTTTAAATAGCACATAGATCAATATAATGTATATCATCGACGAGATTAATAAAAATTTTCACTATATTGTCGTCTTACAGAACAAAGTATTACCACAAATTTATTCTTATTATTTAAAATTATATATTATTAAATTATAATAGTGTTAATAACAAATTTTCAACATTCAATAATTTAGTAAAGTAAATTAAAATTATGTTTAAATAATCTAAAATGGTGTAATTAATCATGTAATCTTCTAAAATCAAACTTTAAAACAAAGTGAAAAATTAATCATTGCTAAAAATTGATTTATTATTACTTTGCAAAAATATTGTTTATTTATATTTTTCATAAATCTACTCACGGCTAATAAAAAAAAAATAGAAAAAAATGTTTACTTTAAATTATACAGTAACAATTTTAATGACACAATTTTTACTTACACATTAGTTGAAAAAGATTTACATTCATTAAAATTTTGTACTATTAAAAGTTATAAATATTATTTTTGACTTACATATAATGCTTATATTGGCACGAAAATAGTACAATTATTTGTATTAGTTAAAAAAATGATTAATTTTTTATTTATTTATAAGCTTTCCAATAATACAAGCATTTGAAAAAAAATCGAACTGGTTATCGGGCCTACGTAATGAATAAATATACGGATGTATTCATTTATTATAACCACATTTTAATAAATTTTAACTCCAATTGTATGTATTAATTGTGACAAAAAATTAAAATTTTTTGTTTTCTTCTAAATTGTTTGTTTTTTGTTATTATTCGTGAAAATATTTAGTTAATTATAATCTCTTTTAATTCCGTTACAAAAATATTTATTATTTGAAATAACATTCAAATATCGATAAACCATATTAATTACATGTATTTTATTTTTTTTAACGATTATACGTTATTTTCAACAACAAATAAGATATTTTACTGCTTTAAGTTATTGATTTATAAAAAAGCGGTGCAATGTACTATAAGAAATGTTATGAATATTATCAGAACTTTTTATGCGATGTAAGAACCATATATTTTATAATACTAGAAAAAAAATTAAGGAACATCAGAGAACATCATTTTGTATTGTTTCAAAAGTTTGGATTATTTTGTAACATATATTATTATGATATTATATATTACATATCATAAATAAAATGCCATGTACATTGTTAAATTTAACATTGCTTAAAGCTTGCCACACTTGCATTTAGAAATTATTGATTGAAATTAATTTAGTATAAAAATAATGTAATATTCATAACAAAATTTTAGTAAAGCAAATAAATTTGAATTAACTTTATTAAGAAGAATATTCCTTTTGTATCCCATAATTCCACTAATAAAGATAATTTATTGTCTATAAAATAAAAATCTATAAATGTCTATAAAAAATGGAAGTTAAATAAATTTACAAGTAAATTATTTATATTAGTGAAAAGTAAATATTAAAAATAGTTAAACCATGTTTAAAAAGCTATTATTACTATATAAGTTACATATATATTATGAATTGGTATTTGTATCATATTAATCTAATTATTTTTTATATATTTAAATTACGTATAATTAATATATAATAATTTCTAAAAAAAATCATTGATTTTAAACAAAAAATTAAAAAATACATGAATTTATGTTTTATATACCAAAATTGAATCAAGCATAGAAACATTATACATAAGTAACAAAAGTTTCTCCAACTTGATTAATAAGCTTTCACAAATATTTTTCTTTATTTCTATATATTACAATATTATTTTAAAAAATATTTTTTTTTATTTGTCGTATAATATTAAAAAAAGTTTTTAAAGTCTTATTTATATGATAGAAAAATCTTTAATTAGAATTTTATAATAATTCTGTATCAAATCTATTGAGTTTTAGTGATAAAACCATAATGAGTTTCACGAGTTTTCACATAAAAATAACTAATCGTTTATAACTAATTTATAACTAATCGTTATAAAAACTCATTTAAATAAAAATTAAGAAATAAAAAGCAATCCTTGTATAGATAATCCCTACTAATGGAAAATAATTAATGAAGATAATTTATTCACTTGTATTATACACAATTATATTGTTATTCCTATAAAACCTAATAGTGCACTTCTATTTAAACTTTAAGAAAATAAAAAGAAATGTTTATAAACTTGATTCTACTACGTGCTATACTAAATATATATATATATATATATATATATTGTCATATACACATCAAGACTGGACTAAAAAAGAAATAAGAAAATCTTTATATCTGAGATTTTCAGACTACTTATTTTATTTCTTTTACTTTAGTCAATAATAATTTAGCAGATGTATCATGAAGAAATAATATACTACATTAACAGAATAAAAAATGTTTGCATTTATATTTTAAAAAAACATTACACTTACATAAATATGATAATTATAAATCGGCAAATTATTATAAAAAAATGTTTTTACATACATAATATCACAGAATTTTTTATTAGATACTCTATTTTATTACTAAAATCTAGTTTAGAAACGGTATTAGATTCTTTTTGTTATACGTAATAAAATTATATTCGTTAAATTTTTATAAATAATTAGTTTTTTATTAATGGTTATCAAATAACTATACAATGTTTTGTAAGCCCAGATAATAATACATTATTATTTAACTAAGTATATAAATATATATTAATTACTCATATATACTAATAAATCTTTATAAAAAGCTTTAATTATTTAATATTATCTAAAACACTAAGAATAAATTTCAGTATTGTTTTTAGATATTTCATATTTTTAATTTTAGATATCTGGAAAATGTAAATTGTACTGTGATTTTTGATAGGCGTAATTTTTAAATTTATTTCGTTCTAAAAAGATTAACAATAATTTAAATTACACTCCTTACAAAAATCTAATAGATATAGATTTCACAAATTAATTTTACAGGAGTAGCTATTAATAAAGAATAATATCTATAATCAATAATTGTACAATTGTTAATTATTTTTTGTATTTATTTTGAATTCAATTAATAAATATTTTGGTTTTAAAAATCTCATTTTTTACGTGAGGAAATTGTTGAAAACTTAAACAAAATTTTTTTAAAGTAATTTTTATTTTTATGTATTAGAAAGATCTTTTAGTATTTTAATGTACCAATTTTTTATTCTTTTTATATAATATATTTTGTCATTGTTTAAACTAAACTGTTCTTGAATCGCAATTATATGCCACTTCAAGATGTTACAAACTATAAATATATATGTGAAATATCAGAGCAAATTTCATTAGTTTGTCTTGTTAAAAGTTTAAATAAAGTGCATTGTAATATATATATATATATATTTTATTAAATAATTTTTATTATTAATTCATAATTTATTATTATGATTTAAAAATAAATTATATAAATTCACCATGTTCGTACGCGAATTTTGTTACAGAAGCTTAATATTAGATTATGATTATTAAATGTTATAAAATTTTTATTTACAAATATAAATTATATGATAATAAAAGATGGTGCAAATTTCTTTGTCCGAATTATTTCTACATTCATTAATAATGTGTAAGTGTAATGGATTCCTTAATTTAACAGATTATAATGACTAAGTGTAATCCATCAATTTTTACTCGATATTATAAAGTATATATTTTACATTGAAGAAATCGCTAAATTATTCTAATCTATAATCTAAAAGATAATAATTATTATATCTTATTATTACAATGATAAAATAAAAATATTTTTTATATTTATTTATAAAATAAATGATAATGTAAAAGAAAATATATTTATAAAACAATAGATGCCGCTGCATAATTCTATTTTAATTTAAAATAAATGACAATATAAAATATAGAAATTTCTTAGATTCTTCAATCATTATACATTTAATTTTTTAAATAATTTGAAATTTATTATTTTTAATATAATTTTTTCATTTATATTTTAAAAACTTTCGAACGAATAATGTTAATGATTATTTATGATTATGACTTTAATTTTTTAACTGAATATATTGTTTAATTGCTAAATAAAATTACAATATTCATTAGAATTGAAATATTCTTAAAAATAATTATATTTATCATTTTCGCTAATTAAAAAATGCTACGTTAGTTATTACATCTTATTCAGGAATAATATGTAAACTTAAATTACGCAAGACATGAAATTATAAATAAATATAATGTTAATATAAATATTATATAAAAATATTAGATTATTTTAATTAAATAAATAGATATTTACAATGGCTTGTTGATCAACACCATTAGGTGATGGTGGACTGAAACTGGCTTGTGCTTGTTGACCTGAAGCAGCAGAATGTGAGACTCCAGATGTCTGTTGTGCTTGTGCTCCACTTGTTGTAGGTTGCTGTTGAGTAACAGTACTTTCTTCTTTGACAGTTACCGTAGGTGTTGATTTAACGTCCCCTCCTGAGCTTGTCGAGCTGATAACTCCACTTACTCCATTTACGGGAGGAGGAAACACACCTCCCCCATAAGGCGCAGTTATTCCTGTCTGCACCATGTGCTAAAGTAGAAAACAGTTTTTAACTCCATTTATCTTTCTTTTTGATAATTATCATTCATTTTAAATAGTACAAGTAATAAGTTATTATATTATTTTTTATAAATGAATTGAAACTAATTCTAAATAAATGAAAAATTTTAAGTATAAAAAAAATATTGGCATTTTATTTTATACATTATAAGAAAACAAATAAAAAATAAAATACAAATTTAAGACACAAAAGAAAAGAAAGATTCTCTATGAAAAACACAATGATAAAAACGATATAACAAAAAGAATAGAAAATATAAAAATATATATTTTTCAGTATAATAATAAAAAAAAACATGACAATTTGAAAGAAAAACTAATAAAATTAATTTGTAATAAATATTACCCAAAACAAATAGTTAGAAGAACAAATACTAGCAAATACATAATATATAATAAATATGTACACAAAATGAATAGTTCGCAGTTAAAAATGAATATCATTGAAAAAAATAAAATCAATTTAATAACTGGAGAAACAAAATATATTACTATATTACTATAATACCTTAAGTAGAATAAAAATTGTGTTATTAAATTTTTAAAATTACTTTTTGAAAAAAGTATGAATAATGAACTGATATAAAATAAAGAAAAATTAAAATAATAAAAACATTTGAAAAATGCATATTTTACATTGCATATTTTAATTACAAAAGTAAACACATATTATAGATCAAAAAATTTTAAGTTAATAAAATAATGAAATAAAAGAGTCTCTTTGTTGATTAAGATGGATTGATTGATATAAATTTTTACATTTGCCTTCTGAATTACCAGTACTTAAGTAATATTGTACTCTGCTAAAGAAGCGTCCAATATAAAGAAGAGTCTTTTATTAGAAGTTGCTTAAAATCATATAGGATTATGTTAAATTCATTTTAAAATACAAAATTATTTCCTCGATATCTTCAAAAATGTAATTAGAAACATAATTATTGACGATATTATAAGTAGTATTAATTTTCAGTTGCAATATAGTTATTAGAGAACTAATATTTGGAAAGAGCAAAAACACAAAAATATATTTTTTGTACCACTGATAATTACAAACATAATTTGCAAAAATCAAATTTTTATGAAATTGACTAAAAATAAATTCAGCTGATGTAAATAAGTGTATAGAATCTAAAAAATAAGTAACAGTGAACGTACACGAAATAAAAAGGAAGTATTTCACTACTAAGCGATGTAGTTCCGACACTAAATTAAATAAAGATAGCGTTTGATAACACCCAGAACTGCTCCATGCATATTGATATTTTATTGTAATCACTTTCGAAATCTGTTAACTTCTACGAATTATACTAAACCATGCCCCAGAACAAACAAATACAAAAATATTTTGAACTTCAAAAACTAATTGTTAACAAGAATCTATTCGAGCCCTCACTCAACTGAAATATAAATTAGTGTTCTTATATATAGATGATAGCCTTAATTTAAAAAGATTACTCATTTTTAGTTAAAGAACTTAATTAAGTAAGACCAAGCTATGCTTCCTTATTGGAGATAAGTATCAAAAAATCTTGAGTTAATATTGAATTGTGATAAAAGTAAGTTACTGATTAATAATATTTTAAAAATAACATTTAAATAAAACAACTATCAATCTAATTTCCTAAGTTATTTCTAAGTGAATGTGTACTAGTTGTTTATTTTTATAAATTTAAAATTTTTGTAAATATTAGCCTTCTTATTTTGAGTAGCCTATATACTTTCGAAAGCGAAACTAAAAACAAATACTCAATCAATTGAACCTCTTAAATTAATTAAAATCTACATGCAAATAAATAATACATAAGTGATAACAGTTGATCATACTGTTTATCTTCTGGCAAATATATGTTTACTTGATCACTTTAATGATTAAATTTTATTATGATATTAATATAATTTATATTTCACTATTTATCGCTAGACACCATATATTTTTAATATTAAATTTTAAGAAATTTCCCATAAAATTTTATATAATCTATATTTATTTTGTTTCATTTTCTGTATTTTTGCAAAATGCTTATAAATTTTGTTATTTTAATATTAAAAATGTTATTATAGAATATTTCATTTTTTTTTAATTTAAAAATTACAAACATTAAATTTATTATTATGGTATTACGAATTATATATTTACAAATATTATATTCATAATTTGAAATTTTAATTATATAGTAAAAAATATTTATAAAAAATCGATGTCTTATTCTGTTTAAAAATTGATATCTTATATACAGTTAACAATTATATTACTAGATTAGCTAGGTTATTCTAGTGAATATGAACTATGAAATATTAAATTTTCAAACAAGCAATGTTTTTTATAATGAAACGAACATTTAGAATTGTGTGAGATAATATTTGAATTAAGGGGATTAAATGGTTCGATATTTTTCAAAATTAAACATTTAAATAGATTAAAATGTTCACAATTCGCATTACTTGTCGGTTCTTTTATGCTCAATAAATACTATATTACAATATATTACAATTTTTGCAATCAGTTCTTTGAAAAAGAATTATATTGGAATAACATTTAAAATAATATATTTATTTATTGAATTTATCATAAAAAACTAAAAGAAAAATTGTATCTAATAATATTGACTAATAAGTCGCTATTCATTATAAATATTGATAGTAATGTCGATGTAGTAGTCGTCGTTATAGATACACAAAACTTTTAACTCTCAATAAAATAATAAAATATATGCATACTGCTTTATATTATTACATTGTTAGCACATTATTTTACGTTTTCATTAAAAAAACAATGAATAAGATGCTGACATTTATTATTATTATATGTTGTAAATATTGTAATGGTGTAAATCAGGCATGTATGAAAATTTGGGGAAAGAACTTAACAAAAATGGAAGTACAATAATTTTAGTTTATTTGAAAATAAACTTTCATGTTTAAATATGAATTATTAGAACAGCAAGGACTACAATTATATATTTTATGATGAACTTGAATAAACGCATAATAATCAAATAAAAAGGGTATTTGATTCTTTATAAAAATATATATAAGATCATAGTATAGTGAACATTGTAAACATAATATAGATATTTCTTGAAAGATTGTTGAAAAATAAGAAAAATTCTACTTAAAACATATCTAAATCATTTACGTACAAGAACAATATTTTTATGATTTCTAATATTAAGAATTATATAACAAAGTACTCATCACAAAAGTAAATATATACCGAATTTTAATTGTTACTAATTTAATAATATTAATAATATTCATTCAGAATTTTTTTTTAAAATATATACATTAGATATATTTTATACAAATTAGTCAATCCACTTGTAAATATGTAATACTGGTATAAATCTGGAACACTTTAAAATTCAGTAAAATAATGTTATATGATAGGTTACTATAAATTATCCATATGTATATATAAATAATAACAGATAGATCAGTTACAATTTTTAATTTTTATCAAAACTAATCCACGCAAATATATTAAAAAATTTTTAAATAATACAAAATAACGTCTATTGTATTTTCTATTAAATTCATTATTGGTAATTGAAATTATTCTAAAATTAAACTTGAATATTAAGTCTACAAGTTTACAATTTATATGAATAAAAAGAAAAGTAAGAAAGTGATAAAATTTATCATTAATTGTATAGTATAGAAGTAAACAATTTTCAGATTTTAATAATGAAAATAATTTATAATAGAATTAAAGAAATAATATTATAATATATTTTGTTTTAAAATTAAAAGAAACAAATATAAGATATTTTATATAAATACAATACTTTTAGAAAAATTAATTACGTTGAAAAATACCTTGTAAAATAATATATATATATAGATAGATAAATAATTATCGTTTTTTTAAGTATACGTTGACATTGTATGCAAATAAATAGAAAATTATTGACAAAGTTTCTTCGTTAAGTTGAAAATAAAGAAAACATTTTATTAAATTATGTGCGATAACCTCTTGGATAACCTCTAACATTATCAGAATGTGTAAATGGCTTAAACAAATGTGTCTAGAATTTACAATTTTAGAATGACAATTATATATAATTTTAAATGTTTAAAAGCAGAATTTTTAATGGAAATAATATATATATCATACGCATACGCACACGCACAGAGAGAGAGAGAGAGATAGATAGAGATAGAGAGAGAGAGAGAGAGAGCGCGCGAGAGAGAGAGAGAGAGAGAGAGAGAGAGAGAGACAGGCAGACAGGCACACACAGGCGCAAAGAGGCAGAGAGAGAGACACACACACATATATATAAGTAAATAATTACATACACTGGTAAAATAATGAAATGTTAACGTATTTTTTACTTTAAAGTGCAAAATAAAAATTAATTAAAAAACCGAAGCCTTCCTTCTTATATTTAAACATTTTTAAATGTACTAAAATGCTTTACATAAGACTTATTAAAAACAAAAAAATTACATCAAATTTTATACCATATTTGAGATTATCCTATATTACAGAATATACATAAGAATTTTCATTTTTTTTAAATCATTATATAATTTACTACTTAATAATTCTGAAATCATTGAAATCAGTCATAAACGATATATGTATTGTGCACAAATTGTTAATTATTTTCAATATAAAGATACAGTTATTATACTTTAATGACTTGTAAAATATTGAATTTTTAGAATATTATATCATATTGTTATTACATTTAAACATAAAATTTATATTCTTTATTATTTACTATAGAAAATTAATAATAGGTATTATTATTGCATAATATATAATTGCAAACTATATATACACAATACATTTTTCATATTATTTAGTGCTATATTGACGACTATTTTCTTATATTAACAATATTCATCTACGGATGGTACCAAAATTGAGTATAAAATGTTTCCGATGTCAGAGCACTTTTTATTAGAGTACTTTTCTTTATAAAATTGTGGCATCATTATAAGAATAACAAAATTGTTTATCTTAAAGTATTAAAACAATTCTATAATATACATTTTTATAACAAACATTTTTATAACTTGGTAATATCAATGAATTATAATATTAAGAAATTCATTGAATATTATAATAATAATGCATTAACAATGTTATGTAAAATCAAAGCAATAATGTTCATTTACTTGAGTAAAGGTTGATTATTGTTATATATTATAAGACATTCACATTTATTAATTTTATTGATTGTGTTTTTTCAATTATCTTTAATTTAGTTAAATAGTAATCAGATGAATCAATTATGTTTTAACTTTTATACTATAAATTAATTAATTTTTATTTAAAATATAAAATTTATTAATTACTTTACAGAAACACACAAAAGTAAGATTTACTTCTTTTGAGTTCAGTTTTTATAACGTTTTTAATTTTTATGCGAAAAAAATATTACTAATATGGGTTGATATTATTACAATATATTATACATAAAATAAAATATTTAAAACAATTAGCGATAAATGTTATGTTTAAAAAATAGATATTTTAGTATTAATTTTATTATGTTAAAATAATTTATTATTTAATAAGTTTTTATTCGCAAATAAGAAAATATTAAATTCATTAAATATTATAAATATATTTCCAATTTTTATGAACTTCATTTTCACCAAGGGAGTTTGGAAGCAGATGTAGATTGAACAAAAAATACATAAATGAAGGATATTCTTGGATATACAAAGAAAGAATAAGAAACTACTAGAATCATAGGGGAATACAAATTTCAGACAGTAGCTAGAGAAAAAAATACTTAAATTTGAAATTAAGATACGGTTTATAGAATAACCAATTTCGTTTTAGAATTTGTATTCGAATTTGCATACGAATTCATGCCTTCATTAAATATTAATTTAATATTTTAATTTAAATATAGTTTATAAAACTCGCAGGTAAAGCAAATAAATTCTTCAATAATTTCAAATTTTTCCTATGTTTTTCCTATGTTCTCCCTAATAATGGACGTATATTTAAGTAGATGAAATTTCACAGAAATAATTTAATAATTACAAATAAACAAAAAATAATATTTTTTAAAGAATTCATTCATTGATATGATAATAAATGCTAAAAAAATTTTAATTTAAAAAATTGATTAATTATATTTCAAGTATGTAATTCAAATAAAGTATAATTGACATTGGATCACAACTGAGGTAGTATAATATTATTTAAATATATTTTATACATAATTTAAGCTACATTAAATAAAAATATATTTCAGATTCGATTAATATTATAAATTAAATGTTAATACGTAATTAATTTGTTAACTTCATTAAAGTAATAAAGTTGAAATTAATATAAAAAAACTACTTTTAACTAAGAAAATATTATTAAAAATAATCTAAATACTTTTTATTATTTATTCATTATTTACACTGTAAATTATAGAATAATTATAAAGTAAAACTTTCAATCTTAAATTTCATAACTAATTTATATAACAAAGATATAAATATGTTAGATAAATACTGAATTCAATTTAATATATTGAATTTGAAATTGTGTAGTTTAGGTAATTGTATAATAACATTTTCTTGTTAATTTTGGCTAAATTATATTTTTCAATTGAATAATTGAATTGAATTGAATAATTCAATTATAAAATTTCAATTGAATTGAATAATTTTCTTATTTACCAATTTTATTGTTAATTATTTCTTTGAATCGTATAATTTCTAGTTTTATTAAATTATTTTAAAATTTTTACATTAAAATTAATTACATGTCCAAATTTATAATTGCTTATTTATATTATATATATTTATTATTAGTATCTTGTAATTTAATATAATTTAATATACGGATACAGCTTAAAATAATATAACCAATTTGATACGACAATAATAAAAATTAAACAAATTATTCGGACTTTAAAAATACAAGAAAGAGCTGGCGAGTAGAGTAAGCCAAATAATGCTACAAAATAATTGCAAAATAATACAAAAAACTTGAACTTGATGAAGTAATTAATTTGGGAATATGTAAATGCTTAGAGCTGCTCCAGAAAAGTTTTACGCATACTCATTACAATTCTTATATTTCCCAGGAGATAGATTATTATATTAGTCCTCCGGATGTTGTTCAATCTCTTCAATGTTACTCCTCTGCTCAACCTTTTCACTCAGCCCCGCCCATCCCTCAATCGCATTCGTAGAACAAGAGTAAAGCAGAAAGTGAGATTCTCTTCGCTGAAACAAGTCGTGAGGCGCATCCAAGCGCAATCGATTTTTTCGTGCTGATACTGCTTATCCCCTCTTCTATCAACTACTTCTCTATGTAAAAAGTGTGAAAAACTACTTCATAAATAATTCATGAAATACTAAATTTAAACATCTTTATAACTTTTATATTTTATTTTTAGAATGTTAGTCTGTTCGTAAGTACGAGCATTCGCATACAAAAATCTCAACCCTGAGCCGACATTCATATTCGGAATGGCGACAATAATGAGAGGGACTACGTATATACGAATTGATGATATGATACGTCTTTTATCTTCTTATTAGTCAAAGATGCCAAAATATTCGAAGGGATTTAATAAAACAAAAAAATTAAAGTGGGAAAATCACAAATATTATTTAAAATACATAATTCTAAATACACGCTCGACTTACAGGGTAGTACATTCCTTGCGGAGGAAGAAAAAACGCTCCAGAGCCCCACAGTTTGAGGCCGTTCTGCTCCACAGTGTGAAGCAGTCTTGATGTAAAGAAAATACCCTAACGCTCCAAGCAGCTGCTCACACAGTCGATCGTCTCTCGAACTTAGCACACTAACTTATTCTTTTTTCGAACGAATGAATTGACTCACTTAATCCGCAACTAACGCACTGCTCACGAGGCTCAACACTTACACTACCTACACATGAAACGTGCAAGGCTCTGCAATTTTCAGCGTCCGGCGTGCGTTTGCGGGCCGGTACTTCTAATACATAAGTACAAACACAAGTGCATGCACAGTCTCTAAATATAAGCACTTAAAAAGACAGTTGCTTCTATTCGTTTGTCGATTATATGTTTTTTTTACGAACGGATTACAATGATAAAGCAATTTACACTCTTTTACTTGTATTTCTCGAAACTCTTCGACTCGTCGAATGCCAGTCACTTAATGTCTTTGAAGTAAGCTGGCCGCACTGCTTGACTACAGCGCCACCCTATTAACATCATGAACGTTCATGGCGGGATTCTCATTCATATGTAATTTCATATCAGCAGCACTGCTAATGATGACTAGATAGTTTGAACATCTCGATTCAATGTTTTGTTAATTTTATGACATCATTTAAATTTCCGTAGTTTTTACTTACAATATTTTCAATGATATTTTACTTACAATATTTTATTACTGCTATCACTTAGTTAAAGTATTATTAATTTTTTAACAAATTTTTCAGTAACATTCGTATTAAAAAATTGGGAACAAAATTTACTTCAAGCATAAAAACTTAAATAAAAGTAAATGTTACATGAAATCGTGAATTAAGTATTATGTAAAAATTATATTGCAAAAATTATATACGATACTATAATAATTATCAAATGGCTTTTTTAAAAACTAAGAAAAAATATGTTTTATTATTTTTTATAATTTAATAATATTATGACTTTTAAGCAACTGTGAAATTAAATAAACCAACATATATTTTATTTAAAGAAATGTACATATTTATTTCTTATTGACTTTAATATATTGGTAAAAAAATTTATCTTTAACAATTAATATTAAACTTGTATAATTTTACTAAATAAATTATTTTTTTAATGCTTTTGAATTATTGTACAATTTTTTAATAATTATTTCTAAACTTAAAACTTTTAATTTTGTAAGTATATTTTGATTATATTTTTAATAAATTTAAATATAAACATTGTATTCAAAAGATAGTTTTTAAACAATTTTGGGCAATTATTTACTGAATATTTAACGTGCAGTATTAAAAATGTTTTCTTCAATCTAATCATATTAGAAATTATGCATTTAATGTATTTCATACGTATTTTTCATTCAGGTTTTTTTATTATAGAAAATTGTTCTTTTAATTGTTAATATTTTATTAAAGCTTTAATCAAATTAATTTCTCCCATAAATTATTAATTCAAAAACTGAATAATAAAAATTTTGGTATCAAAAATATTATTACCTAATTATATAAGATATCATTATCCATTTAGATGGTAACATATATTGTAACAGATTTTACACCAAACTTTAAACATTTGGTGTTATATTTTATAAATTTATTGAAGCACAATGTAAATTGAATGTTTTAAATTATTTTTATATTATATTAATTAAAAGATTAATCCATTTTTCAAAACAAGTAATGTGGTAAAATGTTAGAAATAAAATTATTCGCTTATTTTTAGTTAATGTGCATAGTAGTTTTAGTTTTAAATGTGTATGTTTGTATAATTTAATTGCATATTAAATGATTATTAAATGATAATTATATTTGATATTTTAATCGATGGAAGAATTACATTTATAATGCATTTTTAAAACCTTTTTGTGATTCTTTAATGTCGATTAATTAATCAACAGTATATATACAATTAAATCATATAATTTTAAATTTACTAATAATTGCAGCTGTTGACCTTTTCAATGCTTATTAGATAAAAATTAAACCAAATGATCAACTAAAAATTAGACGTATAGAGAAAAAGATTATTATTAACGAGAAAATGATTATTAATGTATATAAAGGAAATAACAAGTAGAAGACAACATTATAGCTGTTACTGATTAATGTTATCTGGGAAATGAGTCGACGATTGTATTGTAATAATTAATAACTTTCGTCAAGAACTGAGGCAATGTAACAGGATACTGCAAATTAATGATATAAGGAATTCATGTTTAGATACATGCAGTATAAGTTTTTATTATAATACTAAATATCAAAATGCAGTAAATAAAAAACATTTTTAATCTAGTAGAGTTAACTAATAAATTTTTGTTTCAATTAAACAAAGTATCAAATCAGTTAGAATTAGAGTAATCTTTAAACTAAAGATTGATAAAAGCATACTTTAATTAACAAGATCCTCGACTAAACTACCAAACTATTTTATTTGTTTTCTGTATATTAATCATGTTTAAGACAAAAGTTATTTTTGCCATAGTAAACAAATTTTTTTATATATTCATATTAAATAAAATTTGTATGATACAAAATCAGAAAGATGAAATAGAAAATATTCGTGTAAAATAAAACTTTATTCTTTAATATTTAAAATATATTGTTAGACCAATAAAGAAATGACGAAAAATCTGGATGTTTATTACAATCAATTAATATTAATAGCAGAAATATTATTTACTCATTGGATTAATTTATAAAACTAGTTCCTTTACTTTAAAACCATTACATTTAAACAATTATTTCTTGTTATAACATCACTAAAAATATAAATATTTAATTTACTTTTTTAATTATTCATATAAATAGCAAAAAGACACTTATCCAATATTTACTTAATAGGATTTGTTGTTATTGTATTTCTATAAGAATATACACTAATTATTTTCTTGTCATAGAAGATTTTATTTTTGTACTATACTATATATTTTAAATATATTTAGAGAGATAATATACATTTTTATAAGAAATTTATTAATATTTTTATTCAATTTTGATGTTTACTCATTTCATAATCACATATAGTAATTATTAATTGATAGTATATTTAAATAACTGTATAATCTAACAAGATGCATTTTAAAAATTTTATAATTTTTAAAAATATTGTGTTAATAATTTATTAAAAAACTAAAACTTTTAAATTTATAAATCTATGGTACAGATTAAATCGTTGATAATTGTGCTATGATATTCTTTTATGTTATAATTTATATTGAAACAACAAATATTTACTATTATTCGTTTCAAATTCATTCTATAATTTCATTGTGTGATTATATTACTTATATTATTTTTATATTAAAATATTTTTTAATCACAGAAATCTGAAATTTCAAATTCAAATTTTTAGTTAAATATTATGTTTACATTCTGATATAAGATATAAATACTCATTTTATACACTAAATAAATGTTTAACAACATTTTCAAAAGTAACTAATTTGTTTTCTAATTACAATAATCTTTATTTTGTAATAATTTATAATAGTTTATCAACTTGAAAATGGTTTAAAATAATTAATATCGTGTACAATAACAAATGTATAATTATTCAAGTTTGCGAATATTTATTCAATATTGTTTCAATACTGAATGTTTGAAGTAACTAAAATATCTTAAATATATATTTTCATGCAACTTAATTAAAACCCATTGCTGAAATTACATAAGAAATTATAAATTTTTATATTATAGTATATTTTAACAGTGTATATCATTAAAATATATACATTTTATTAAAATTATATTAAAAGTAAATATCTAAATTTTTTACATATTATATTAAAATATGCTATAAACTTTTATATGTAAACAAATTTAATTTAAGACGAATAAAAATTTTACTAAATCATACCCAAATTTTGCGATTAATTATTTCCCATTCACAATTTAATTCTGTCCTTAAATGAAATACTCTAAGTTGTTGTAATGCATTAAACGACATAATGTCAAATGAATAATATTGTTACACTTTTGTTCAAAATTTATATCTTAATTAATTGATTTAATTATTCATGATTGAATAGATGATATCTACATATTATTTAAATGATATTGAAAAGTTCGACATGGTAACAATTACTTTGACAATGAGGCCGAACCAATGTATAATCTACTTCATATTATTATTATTTTTTAAATTCTTTTATACGTGAACTTTCTACATATCAATGTAAAGCAATATAAGTTTCTTTAGAATATATTTAGGACTATGTAATTGAAATTATAACTTTATGCTTAATAATAAATTTAATCAGTAATCGAAAATATATTTTAATTCATATTAAATCTCAAATTTTAGTAGCACAATAAGATGCTTATTTTTATGTATATTTTTTATTGCGTTATTACTTTCAAAATTTTAAATATGAAAAATAATGCTATTGTATATTATGTAGGTAATTTGTAATCTTATATTTATTAATATATTGTGTTGTATATATTGAAGTTACCATCACTAAATATATAATACTAATCTAATAATTCTGCAATTAAAGTGAATAGTCAAATCAACAATTTATATAAAAGTCTTTTTAATATTTATATTTATTATTTATATCACATATATAAATTATGTATATGTATAAATGATATTGTATATAGTTCTATCATTTTATATGTTATATTAAAATCAAAATGTATTAATAGTGTTTTTTTTTATTAAAGTAATATTTATTCGTGTATAAGTATTGTTTAAACATAAATATAAACTTAAAATTAAAATTTACTTAATTATTCTTTTATATTTAAATAAATAACATATATTTTAATAAATATTAAAAATATATTTTATACTTTGTATAAGAATTATATATACAGTTATGTTTGAATTGTTAAAACTTTTAAAATTATAAATAATAGTATTGGATTTTCATTCTTCTTAATCAGACTCTTCTGATCTATTTTCATCGTGATTATATAAATATACATAGAAAAGCTTCTATTATTTATACCTTTTCCTTGTGTTTCATTATTTTTATGTTATTTATAATTATAATTACCGGTTGATAAATTAAAATTCTAGAAAAGAACACGAACAAAAATAATTTATAAGAATTTTTTATTTGAATGTAGGAGCCAAAAACCGATTAATATTTTCTAATAAAAATTTCGACATTAATATTTAAAAAAATAAATCGTTTCAGAAAATAATCAAAACAACAATCAAACAAGGCTCTCCTTAATAAACCCATCCAATTTACACAATTTATAGAGTTTGTTCGGAAAATAATCCCACAATTTAACTCGTCAGCCAAACGTGCAATAATTAACTTAGAGCAAAAAACTCACTAGATGTTGTGTGGGGTTGCCGGGCAAGTAAAGGGTGAATGCACTGATTAATAATTGACACATGTCTTTATTATTTCTGTTTATTTGAATTAATTTACAAAAGGGTGAATTACAGACGAACTTTATATTTCTTAATAATCTTGTGGTGTTGAAATATATTTACTATGAATGAAGCAGGTTATAATCTATTGAATATTATCACTAAGAGGTTATGGTGATTGTAGTGCTCTGATCGAACACTGCAATGATATTGTGTTTATCTTAAAACGTGTGCAGTTGCCTCTAAATATCGAGCTGTGCGCCATAGTTGGACTTTATCCGTCCGTCTTCTACATAAGCCGAGAAATCAAGAATGAGTACTAGATGTAAGGACTTACTTACAGTGTATCGTGATTTTCCAGTCTCTCTTCGGTGGCTTGTTATGACGTTCCCTTGCAATGTTGCAACTCTAGTTCTTCCTTGTCTCCAAGTGAGATTACAAGTGGTCAGATCCTACGCAATACAGTCTTGATGAGATGAATTCAACTGTACACTAATTCACAATCGTAGAAAGAACTTCTTATTAAAACTCAGCTAGCTAAACGACTTATCTCTCCGGTCCTCCTCCGTGAGAGTTGGTCGTGACTTATCCTTCAACTGTGAGAAGTATTTGGAAGGAGTAAGTCGTGACTTATCCTTATACTGTAAGAAGTATTTGGAAAGAGTAAGTGAAGGTACATTACGTAGTCCTTTCTTAAATGGTTCACTGATCCCGTTCCACTTGGGATCCCTTCTTCCTTTATTAATTAACCAATCAGAGGTTGATCTTGGGTCGTACAATAGATTATGCACGCCTTCATTTCCACTTCCTTCCGGGCTCAGTTCCGAATTTGCTAATTGGGAAAGTGTCGGAAGGTGGCGAGCCTTTTCCATTGGTCACCTCTCTTTGGTTGCCTCATCCCTCTCTGGGACTTGGCTAGAAGAAGGGTCCGCTTGGGCGTGGTCAATTTTCCAATACGATCGACCAGATGTGGCATAGCCAAGAACAATGCAAGCATTGTCTTAAAGGCCGAGTGCGCACGTATGGTCATTGCATGTTGTTGCACGTACGGGTTTTGGGTTGCAGTAAATATTTGTACTCAATGCTTTACGCATATCTGATATTCCTTCTGAATCTACTTTGGGGTTCTCCCGGCAGTAAACCCATTAGATTCTACTGCACTGGGAGTTTGATCACGTTCCGATAGAGTTTGCCAGATGTTTTATGACACTAGTAAAAATAATTATGAGCAGGAAAGTTTTGAAGTCTTAAATACAATTTTCATGATATTACTTGTCAGATATTTTATTGCCTTACTAAACGGAGTCTCTCATTCTCAAACACATATACTTATAAATATTACAATCAATTAATTTTTCATGATTTGCTAATAACTATATAATGCATTTTTCATGTAAAACTCATCGTTCTAGTAATTAAATCTCAGAAATACGCTAATTGCTTTAGAATGATATTCGGTTATATTGTAAAAAAATTTTATTTATGAAATATAGCCATAAAAATCAATTTTTTCCTATGATTTGGCCAAACATAATAAAATATCACGGGCGAAGAGGCATTATAAAAAATTGCGCCTGTTTGCTAATTTTTAATTTATAGTGTTTCTTCTTAATTTTTATAATAGTATGACTGTTTCAGAATAATCCTTGGCTTGTAATGATACAAATTTTTTCCATATTGAAAATAATTTCTATAATTTTCAAATTGCAATTAATATTACATCTTTGTTTCTGAATAACTTTTTACTTGTAACCATATAATTTTATTTTCTTGTTATTTGCACTAATTTTAATATTAAAAAAAAATACGTTTGTCTGGAATTCCAGCCACCAGAATGGTCCGAAGTCCAAGGTAGTTGGATTAGACCGTACCTCCGGTTTAATGGCGGAAAAGGAGGGGGGATAAGTAAGAGGTTAATGCATCAATTCAGCGTAAACACAATTGGTTGTAGTGATTTTTATTTAAGATTATGTTACATAGGTTCTTGTTACCGGTCTTTGTGAGAATTGTTGAATTCGTCGTGAATTTAACAGTTGGCAGTAACTGTAGAACGTCGTCCGGGTGTGCAAAAGCAAGACTGATCTGTATGTACTATTAGCAATATGTTTTGTGGGGAATGTCGAATATATTCATCGCCCTCTTTCGCCATCTGAAAGATCAGCATCAAGCAGCAGACGGCTAACCGATGATAACGCAATACCGAGGTTTGGCGCCCTTTTCCGCCGTCTGCAAAATCAGAATCAAGCAGCAAAAGGCTAACCGATAATGTTGGCGCAATGACGAAATAACAGTAATGATAAATGGCTTGCTGGTGATGCCAGACTATGTCATCGCCCTCAATCCGGTCTAACTAGAGTCAAATTGCGGAGGGCACACCGATAAATAATAAGTAATGTAAACAAATGAGTATACCTTGCACGGATTGCCGTAGACAGACGTGCAGAACTTTAACTGTTATGACTTCAACTATTTCTCTTAGACTTACTCAATAATAATGATTTTCTTCGTCGTCTGTTGCTCCTTATATATGATTTCGTACATTAAGAGTTTGTAATTTTTGGAAATTCTGTCAAATTCTCGGAAAGCAAGCTTTAGTAGGTTCGCGAATCTTCCTTTGTCGCAATGCGGATACGGTATAAGACTTTAAATACATCGAGAATTTTCGTAGCACATACTTCAAATATTACGCATTATAATAAATTTAAATATAATGGAACCATATATTAGTCAAATAAATAAATTCTCATTGTTGGGTGCTTCAATCCTGAACAACGTTGATTATCATGAATTAAAACAGCAAATTAATCAAGATCAATTGAAAACGGCTTATAATAATGTTCATTTTTTGTTATTAATGAAATTATTAACTTTATCAATAAATTGTATTAAACTAAATATTATTTAAATTAAATGAATGTTCAACGCTTTTGTACAAAAAAAGATAATATAAAACTATATTTTATAAAATAAATATCAAGTAATTTAAACTAATGAAGAAAGTATTATTTTTTGAAAATTAATTTTTATTTTGTTAATATTAAGTATTAATAATATAAAAATATTACTTCAATATCTTGTATTATACTTTCACTGTCATTTATAATTTAAAATTTTTATAATAATTTATAATTGTAGTATAAAATAACATAAAACACTTCATTTCAATTAAACACTAAAATCTATATTTGACTTCTAAGACATTAATGGTTAAGTTATGATACTTAAATATTTGCTTTTGCAAAAGGTGTTTGGATCTCATTTAGGTTACTGTATTGTATTCAATGCATACAATGAATCATTTATAACTACACACACATACACACACAAGCACTATATAGTTATATATATATATATATTTTTTTTTTTTTTTTTAAAGAAACAGATCCTTAATAAATAATGCCCAAAATTTAATATTCAAAAGCTTAATTGTCAAAATACATTTACAAAAAATCTATTATAAATATTATTTGTTTTTATTAAACATTTTAATACAATATTTCCTTTATTTATATCTGTCACTGTTAATTTTCATTATGTAGTGATTCAACTTTTATACCTAGTAGCTTCATTTATATTGCACTTTATTAAAAAATTATTTTAAATAAATAGCATCACATTAAATCTGTGTAATAATGGCATAATTAATCTGATTTTTCTATTAATAATAACTTTTTAAATATAATTTGTATAAACAGTTTTTAAAGAATAATTTATTCTTTTATTAAATATATATTAAAAAGGAAAATTGTCAGCTTCTCTTCGAACATCTTATTGTAACAGACGTTATTGACTCTGTAACATACAAATTAATTTATTTTCAGATTTGATTAAAAAACTAAATTAAACCCAAAAGTAATATACAGTTAATATTAAAACAATGTATTAGTTTTCGAACGTAATTATAAAAAAAGTTTACTACATGGCTGCAAATTATTAAAAAATATTATACTTAAATTATTATATACCTCAAATATATGTCATTAACATTACTTTTATTTATTACAAAGTTATTTGATTATAATAAAACTTTCTAAGTTATATAAAAACGAATTCATTGAATGACCAGTTAATGCTTTATTCAAAGAACTAAATTCTCCAAATGATTAGTAAATAAAATTTCATGTAAGTTCTGCAAATTTTATTTTTATATTTATTGACAAAAAGATTAAAAAAATTCATATTATTTATTTGATTGTAACTTTATAGATTAATTAAAATATAATTATAAATTAATATGATTGTAAAATCATATGTGAAGGTGGATAAAATTTATATATTTTAAAGTATGTTAAATTAAATTTGTTTTTCAATTATTTTAATTTTTTAATACTTTTGCTAAAGGACATAAAACATTGACATACAATTTTTATTTAATTTAACTCATTCTATATGTATGAAGTTTTTAAAATATTTTGATATCTTATGGGTGATTCTACCTTAACTTCTGTTTGATAAATCTCTTCTTCTTCAGTTATTTCATTATCTCTATTTTTTAAAAACTGAACAGTATTGAAACTATTATCATTTGTTTTTCGAATCAAATGTTTACACAATTGTTTATTTCTAGCATCTAATTTCAATATGTATTCTTGAGCTTGAGCTAGTTGTTTTGTTAATGTATCGACTTTTTCCTCTAAAACGGCAGATTTTACACACTTCAAAGAATACTTAGCAGACAATGAAAGAATCTCTTGTTTGATTTCTTTCATTTCCTGTCTGTAAATGAAATATATATACACTTAAATTAATATCAACAAAATCTATTAAATGAAAAAATTGTTATATTGAATTTTTAATTAAAGTTGATTACTCATGTTCTTTATGAAGTATTCCAATATCTTCACGTGCTTGCACTTGTTTAATAAATTTTTGTTTGAATTTAGCAATTTCTTTTTGAACTTCGTGCTCATGTGCTTTTCTCATTGCATCTAATGCTGCCAATGTTGCTTGAGTTTCTTCTGAAAGAGCTTGTTCTTTTTCTGTTCGTAAATTCTCAAGTTCATGACGATGTTTTTCCTCTAATTCTGAAATAACTCGTCGATGAGAATTTTCCATAGCTAATAAACCTTTTTCACATAATGCTCTAAGTTGTTTAATTTCTTCTTTATAGCGTTTTCTCGTTTCAATATCTGTGTCCAAATCAATATTAACTGATCTTTGATATGCAGCTTGAACCTTATTTACACTGACAGACTGTTCAGAATCTATTGTATTCAATTTATATTCTAGTTTCCTAATTCGTTCACGTAATTTGGTTATTTCTTGTTCATATTGTACAGTGAGAGAATTTCTATGATTATCCCATTTATTTTTTATATGCATTAGATCTTTTTTTTGAACACTTCTAAGCTTTTGCAATTCTATAGAATGTTTACTATTAAGCCATTGAATTTTATGTTCTAATTGTTCACATCGCTTACACATCATATTTTCAACGCAATTAGTGATTAGTTTAATTTGTTTACGAATTTCGGAACATTTGTTATAGATACTGACCCAATCTGTTATTATGATAGATAATTTTGGCCAATTGAAATTATCGATTTCTTTACTTATCCTTTTTTTTAAACGTTGTTTTAATTTATCAATATCATTAGTTATATCTATCAAGGTTTGAGCAATATTTTTAATTTGTTCTTGAGATTGTAGTTTATTTAATATTTTGTTTTCATATGCCTTTGAAAACTGTTGATAGAGGTAGATATTTTCTGTTTTATGCACAGGATTATTTTCAAAAGCATAATTTTTATTTAATACAATAGAAAGAATATTTTCCTGCTGGACTAGACTAGATATAAAACTCTTTCCACTATTAATTATTTCATTCTTCATGCAATCTTGCAGAAGAATCATTCTAGCATCGATTAAAGCTTTATTTACTATAGTATCAACATAATTTGTTAACAATTGCTTTAGATCATATTGTATATAAGTATTACTCTTACTTTTCTTTAATTGTTTTATACATTCTTTATAAGCAATTGTTAATTCATGTATAGTATTTTCTATTTCTTGTTTTAATATATTTTTAACTTTGTCTATACACAGTATTAAATCAATATTTTGAGTAAATGAAATATTTTGTTCAAAAATTTGACTACAGCACATGAGATACGTTACTTTTACTTGAATTAATTCTTTACTAATAATTTTTTGTGTATCTTGACTTATTTTATCTTCGACAAATTTATTGTCTATAAGATTAATTTGTTCAAATTTTTCTTGCTTGTACAAACAAAAAGTTTCAATAACTAAGGCTTCAACAAGGAATCTTAATTTTTCAGTTGTATAAGTTATAAAAATTCCATTGATTTCTTTGTGTTTTTGAAACAAAAAATGTAAATCCTTAATTTGCACTGATGAAATTTCTATGGAATTTTCGATAATTTTTGGGAGATTATCTTTAGATACTAATTTATTAACTAAAATTTTAGTAAGATATTGAATATAAATTGTATTTTGGTATATTTTAGACTTAGTTTTATTAACCTTAAATTTTAAGTTTAAAATAAGTTGACTAGTTTCGATCAATCCATTCAACACTGTATTTCTATCTGTTTCTTGTATTACATCCTGAATTTTCTTTAATATAATAAATTCAAAGGCTACTTTTTCTGCAATTAATTTTATTTTTTCTTTATCATTCAATTTATCAATTTGAGTGAGTTTTCGATGTTTTTTCATTACTTCACAAATTATCTTTCTAAAAACATATTCTAATTTAAATACTACTTCATTTATTGAGTTTGTGATTCGGGATTTATTTTGAATTTGTTTGTATTCTGTACAAAAATTGATAATTTCATTTATTGTTTGTGAACACTTCTCTGCATGATCATCTACTTGTCTTGATCTTAAATATTTTTCTAATTGTTTCTTTGATTTAGCTACAGCTCGTTCAAGTTTTCTTAGTCTTGAATTTGTATTAAATAGACTAATTTCATTACATTTATTGAAAATCTTTTCTATTTCACCAAATATACTCTCTGTAATATTAAAAATTTTTGATTTTAGTGTACTCAACTTAATAAACACTTTCATAGGTTGAGAATACGTTACACTATCTAATGATTTTTTACGTAATATATTTATATCCAAATTTTTATTTTTTCTTCTAAGTTCTTTAGTAATATTATAATTAAATTTTTTGGAATAATTTCTAAGTTTAACTGTAGATTTAGTTTTTTCAATTGTACGTATTTTTTGTTCAAAGTTTAATAATTTATCTTCAACTTCATTTGCAATTTGTAATGATTCTCTTTCTTTTAAAGAAAGCGACTTTCGTTTATCCCGAGTTTCTACTCTACTTAATTTTTGTTTTAAAGTACGCATATGTTTTTCATTAGTAGTAAGTTTATTTGTTAAGTCTTGTATTCTTGCAGCCATTAGGTGAATTTGAGCCTGATTTGATTCATTACTACGATTAGCTTCTTGCCTATAAACAAAAGTTTGAAGTTCAAAAGCATCTTGCAAGGCATGTGCTTCTCGTAATTCTTTTCGCATGGCACGTATTTCTAAAATTGCCTTTTCGAAACGACTTCTCAACTCTTCATACTCGTCCATTAAACTAAAATTAAAAAATTTATAAATTAAACAAAGTGTGTATATGAATCAATTTCATACAGTATAATATTAATGAAATTCCTTTTAATTTATTGTTTTTAAAATATTAGTAATATTAATAATCAAAAAATGCTATCAATTAAAATAATTCTCTAAAAAACTATAGGTAACTTATATTTATTTTCATCAAATTAATTGTGGAACTTGGTTCTGAAAAAGAGTTTTAATAATAATGTTTAAAGTAGGAAAAAGTATTTTATATGAAAAATTACACATTTTGTAAACAATACAGTAGTCTAGCTAATATACTACATATATTTGATATAATTTTTAATTAAGCTGCATTATAGATTTATTTATTTAATTAATATAAAATATTATTGAAAATTAAATATTTAATCACAATACTTGAATAGAATATTGTTTTAGCTAATGTAATAATACAGTATGAAATACAATGAAGAACAATTTATCATAACTGATAATAATCTTATAGATATAATTTATTCCTGGTTGAAAAAACGTATCAATTCATCAAAATTCTCAACCTTTAAAATAGGGTACAATGTTATTTGTTTTAAATCATTAAAAAAATAGTTTTCATATTTATAGTTATTAAACTTATAATAGTTATTTGGCTACAAAACTTTTTAAAAATCTAAAAAGAAATGATTAAATCACTATTTATTATATTGTTTTTATAACATATTTTATTGCTTGTATTACTATTTTCTCTTGTTCATTTGTAATCTATTTTACAATCAAATTAATTTATAAAACAAATAATAAATAGAATTCTTTTTATTATTTTACAAACTTAGAACTTATGAAGAATGTATTTTTAATGAGAAGTTTGTTATCGACAGTAGTGAATTTATATTACTGTAGAATATATAATAAATGTGCGTTTTTTACATTTAATAATTGCATTATTATATAAATATTTTATTGTTTTTGAAAAAAAGAAATTTGTTTATTGTTATGAAATATTTATCAACTATAAAAATATGGGTCAAATAGGCTGTACAAATAATGATTTTCGGACAATGTAAAAATGTGAACACGGTTACACTTTTTTTTAGTGATTAATAACATATTTATTATGACACATATAAAATAACTAATTTTATATGAAAAAATTTATTTTTAGTAAGTAAATAAATTGTATAAAAATGTTTACAGTAGCTTACCGTTCTTTGTCTAATGCATTTAGATTAATATCTAAATCAATGTGAGTTAAATCACTGAGCGAATCAAAACTTCTTCCTCGTTCTCTTGATGATGAAAAACAATTTTTACCTTCTAATTCCCTAACTCGGATATAAAGTCGCTCATTTTCTTCAATACCTATAATAGATTAAAATGGAAATATATTTAAAAATAAATTTATACAAATTATTTGAATAAAAAATGTGTCACAATGAAAATAACCTTGTGCTAATCTATCACTGAGAGCTGTAGCTTCTATTTGTAACTGCTCTTGAGTTACATGACTAGAGGAGAGTTCATTTGTAAGGATTTGACATCTCTGAGTGGTTTCTTGTAGTATTTTTTCATTTTCAAAAAACTTGCATTCTATAAGTTTTTTGTCATGATTATAAAGTTTTTTCATTTTATCAAGATCATCCATATACTTCTTCTTCTGTTGTTCAACCGTTTGTATCGCCCTTAATAATTCATTAATCTGTTTTTCTCTGAATAATGTCTCAGTTTTATGCTGCCTGAGCTTACAGATTTTATTTTCAGCATGAAGAAGTTCTTTACGTACCGTATTCAACTGTAACTTTAAATCTTCTATTTCATTTTCCTGGCGCTGAACAATAACTAACAAAAATTTTAATGAAGTTCCATTGCTAATTATCTGATCTTTGAGCATTGTAACTTTATTTTCTAGTAAATCAATAACCAATGGATTATCATTAATTTTAGAAAGGCACGCATTAACAGATTTGTAACTATTACTTTGTTCAGTTTCACTGAGTTTATAGCAAGCTATTAATAGATCCTCTGCTTTAACGCTATCGAACGTACGGTGGTGTGAATTAGGAGGGGCATTTCGTTTATAAACTCTAGAACGTGAACCAGAGTGTGATCTTCTTTTTACTTTAGAAAGAGCTGTTCTAGTAAGAGGTGGTGAGGGTGGTAACTCAGACCATTCTTGTTTTTTAAATTCTGGCCAGGTTGATAGCTTTGCGCTCATTATCCTTTTACAGTTTTGTGTAATAGGTGGCGAGACTAGTATTCTAGACCAGTCATCAGATTCTCGACGCCCACCTTCTGATGCCGTTCGATGTTCTTCATCTGATGAAAACAAAATGGAACGTGACGTTATGGATTCCGAAGTAATCGCACCTTCTTTTTCTCGTTCAATAGCAACTCTAAAATATTTAAATTTAATGAAATACAGGATAACTAAAAATATAAGTTTTTCTTATTATATTTTTCACTGAATTAATAATTCGAACATATATATACAGTGATGAATCAGTAATACTTAACCAAATAAGTACATAAAATTCAAAATAATATTAATAAATATGTAAATATGTGAATAAAATTTGGAAAAAATATAAATAATTTATGTGTATTTTTACTGTCAATATTTTTTATCATTTAATACAGTATTATTATTTAAATAAAATTTTTTTAACGATGATACGAATTTGCTAACATATGTATAATAATATATATAGAATATAATATATATTATTTAATTATAATTCTCTTTTATGTGCATATTATAAAATAAAAACAAGAAATATTAGTTTTCTTTTAATTCTCCAAGTGATTTCAATTGATTTTTTGTTATAAATTTTATTAAAATATTTTGCTAGAGATATAGAAGTTAGTACTATATTTTTTATGAGTACTTGCAGGAGCAATTATGGAACCGCTCAAGTAAATTTGATCATGTGGCATTTATGACTTAATAAATTTAGGTTTATATAAACATTATTTGTGTATTCATATTTTACAGATAGGTATGACAATTTTCTCATGTAAGCTCCCTTTGTCTATCGTATTGAATTTTACAAACTTAGAACAATGAGCGAAAATATGCAAAAACTTGGCTCATGTATGGTCACCCCTCTAGATATAAATGCAATTGTTTGCGTCGTGATCCCAATAATTTTCAATTTTGATAGTGATACATGAATTTCGGATAGTCTTCTCATTAAGTTACTTATTCTATATTATTATATAATTATTTTATAATTAGTTATAATTTTTAAAGACAGTCAATCATTATGTAAAAATCAATTTATTTTTCAATACATAGTTTATAAATTACTTAACTTTATTCTAAGTATCTAATAGTTAAATTTTGAATTGTTTCATTTAATATAAATTTTATTACTTACACTACAGAAGATTGATTATTAACATCCTGTTTCCTTATTTTACATAAAGAGTATGGCTTATAATTGTTTTCCAAAATTGGTAAGTTGGCAGCTCTTCTGATAGCTGATATCCAACTGGATCTTATACCAGCTGTAACTGCAGAGAGGATCATAGAATGTTGTTTATTCCACGTCTGTAAAACAAATAACTCTTAATCTTCAGACTATCTAAAGAATATCTTAATTTAAATAAGAAAAAATATCCAAATTTTTAAGTCATAAGAATAAAAAAAATAAATATAAAATAAAAGAAATGATGTTAAAATAATAACATATTTTATAGAATATATAGTGAAACATACTATTGCTTGAAAACCGTAATTTCTGGTAACTTGTATGGAATTAACAGCTGTTACAGTGTTCAAGTTAATAAATCCATCCATTATACCTTTTTCTTCTGCACCTGGATCTTGATAATACACTAGCTTACATCCAAGTAAAACAAACCAATGCTTATTCCACTCCTAAAGATAAATATCTTGAATTCACAAAATTGTTGTATTGTTATTTTTATACATACATAATACATACATACATATACATATATATATACATACATACATATATATATATATATATATATATATATATGTATAAAATGGTATCTATTAATTAAAACAAATATTCATTTATATACTTACCATATTTAAATTTTGTTTCATTAACCATCCCTTTTTGGCATTTATTAAGTTTTGTATAGGAAGATCTATTCTTAATTCAGATGTTGGAGTATATCTGATATCATAAATATCCAGACCGCACCCATCAGGATCTCCTCGTATCTATTAAATGAATAAAATTATGAATATTTTACCATAAATTTTATTTTAAACAAATATATAACAGATATGCTTAAATAAAGAATTATTCATTTATGACAATCAATGGACTCAAATAATATCAAATTTATTCATAAGCTCTGTTAATTTTTATATTTTTGTTGTTTGTAATGTTTTAATCGCGTTAAATCTGTTTGTAGCATTAAATAATTCAATTGCAAAAAACTAAGATAAACTAAACAAAGTATGGTATATCTTATGAATTATGAACATAAACTGTTTGAATGCAGTATTTTAAATAATTGCAGTTATAAATTAGAAATAAGAAAAATTAAAAATACTTACAAGTTTCTCTTCATGTGCAATAGTTGTAGCTTCTACATTTTTTGCTGAATTGGAAACTTTCGGTAACGTTAGCGTATTCATGATATAAAGCAGTTTATCTACGGTTTCTTTCTCACGTTTTAAACAAGTTCCACTGCATGCATCGTCATCTAAAATTATGTATAGTAAAAATTATTGTGATTAATTATAGTTCTTTTATGAATTTATCTAAAAATGCATACACTTTATTTACGATCAGGAGTAAGTTATTTGAAATTTTTATAGAAAAAAAAAAAATTAATTTATTATAATATAATTTTAACAAAATACATGATAATGAAAATATTTTTGGTGTTAACTTCTGAATTCAGAAATATTTATTTCATTTCTGTCTTAATTATTCCTTTTCTTTCCTCTCTATCATTCTCTTTTCTTGATAAAAATAGGAATAGTTAGTACTTTCCTACCAGGATAATATTAACTGTATGTTACCTGATTCGATATTTCACTCTTTACATATATATATATATATATATATATATATATATAAAGAAGATGCGGTGATTTTTATATGATGATTTTTACAGGATATTTATATTTTGTAGAAACTATATATTTAGTCGAATTTAACACAACAAATTATTATTGATGATATTTGTACATAATAAAATCTTACAAGTTTAGTTTAGTTTTATATAAAAAATATTGTTTCGCTTCTTAGAAATTAGTTGGAATAAATCTCATATTGTTTTAATATAAAAATAGTATAATAAATAGTTGAGAACAAAGTCCAATACAAATTTAAAAACTATGATTGCTTAGGTGTTCTTATCTTCTCACACTCCCTTCCCAGCCCAGAATCCCACGAAGGTTTGAAATGATCACATATTTTTGTTATATGTCGTAACATCGCAGTATGAATAAATTATTATATATATTGCTAAAAATTATGTATAATATAATACCATACTTATTAGTTGATATATTAGCGCGCATTATCAAATGAATATTTGTTAAAAGTTTTAAAGGCGTGTGCATTTGAATATAGACATTAAAGAAATGAGTAATAAAATACTAAAATATGCAATGAATTAGACATAAAATACTTATGACGCGGATACCAAATTCATGTTGTGGATATGCCGATGCACCGATATAGTAAATGTGAATGACTATGTAACAATTAAAAATGGTATTCGATGCAACATTGTGTATATTTGTACACAAAATTTACGTAATAAATATAAAAAAAAAATGGGTGTAAGATGTATGTATAATATATGAATTGTGAGTATCTATTCAGTATGTATCATTTAGTATATATCCAAAATATTTCATCAACAAATAGTAAACTAACATTTATTGTAACAAAAATAATTAAAAGAGGAAATATATCATGTAAAAGAGAGAATAATAACTATATATCTGCAAATATTCTATATGTGCAGAGAAGAGTAAATAGAAGCACCCGAAACATTTTTAGTAATAATAGGCAAAAACTACTGTAACTAACTTCATAAACGTTTAGTTTAAATAGTTGGAGTTAAAAAGTTACTTCAAAAGTAATAAAAGATTCAAAAATCTTTATTAATGTATAAATTTTTATACATTATATAATTTTTAAAATTATTACATTTCATATACTTCATAAAAGAAAAGAAAGAAACATACTCAATTTTTCATTTATACTAGTTGCAATGTTAGTGTCTTGAGATTTTTGAGGTCTCTGTTGCTGTTGATGTTGATTCATAATTTTTCTATGGCTTTTGTCTTCAATCCTGAGTTTATACTTTGACGAAGATAAAATATTCTTGGTTAATTGATCTTTAAATGATTTATCACTAACAATAGTATTTAATTTCTTGCTAATAGATGGTTTTTCTGAGTTAATGGTAACGTTAGACTTTCCAAGACATGATTTTTGCAAGGTCTCGTTCATAATTTCTGCGGCATTAATTGTTTTCACAGTTGTAGTTAATGGAATTATTGACTTTGATACATTTGACATTACTGCAGATTCTGTATCAGAAAATGGATATAAAACAATAACTGTAATATGTATCAGTATTAATGAACTTATATGTTAGAAATTCCTACAAACTATTACACGGTTTTTACATTTCATACTTCATTTGAATAATAAAGTTACTAAGAAATTCCTATCATTTTGGATATGCTAGAAATTAAAATATTTAAATTCATTAATAATTTGTTATTATCTATACATTGTAGCAAAACATCCTAAGTATTTATAGACAGTAAAATAAATTTTAATATTTTAAAAATATGGTTTTGTTTTACACGTTTAAAATAATATAATATTTAAAATAACAAATATTATTTTATTCATTTCAGTTTTAAACAGGTTAATTTATAAGTATAATATAAGGATAAATTAAAAATAAAATTTTCTTATGCTTTCATTTATTTAGCATAAATTTATCTTATTCATACTATGATTGTAAATGTAGAACAGATAAAAGTAATTATAAGACCATTTAAAAGCTCTCATTCTTTTCTTTATCTATTGGAGAAATTTTACAATATAGATTTGTTTTATAAAATTAAATAAGGAAAATTTTCAGCTTCAAAAGATTTGTTATTAATTTATAAAAAATGCTACACTTCTTATTAATTTATTTAATACGATTATAAAAAGTACTTCATATATCATTCGATAAATACAGTTATTTTTCTATAAAACTTTAATAGTACTGGCTCATGACTATAAATTTTTGAAGATAATATAATGATATTATAGAATAAAAATTTATTCTTTACATATTAAAAAAAAAAAAGATTTTATAACATTACTAAATAACGGTTAAATTTTTAATTTTCATATATCATTTACATTTTATTCAGATTATCAACTAAATAATCACTTAGAGGTGCTTAAAAATTGTCTGATGTTAAAATATTTTACAGAATTTTTAAACAAAAGAAAAAGCTGCTGTCTATTTTCTTTTCTTTGCTTTATCTATTTTCTCAAATTAGCAATAATTTTACTACGCAAGGTAGTACTGTTTATAAAGTGTTTCAAGGCTTAATTAATCTCTACTCAATCTTTTTAAACAAAAGAGCTAATAATTTGAGTACATTTAAAAGATACAAATATCTACAAACCAAATTGCTCACTTTTATTTTTAAATAGACAAATTTTATTCACATATCTATTAAATAAAATAATTATGAAATAAGACAAATTAAATATATAGTTAAAAATAAGAAAATATTAAGAAAATATATAAATATAGTTGCATAATATTTTTAATAGAATACTAGTGTTTTTAATATACATCATCATATTTATGTTATTTTATACTAACGATAATTTTGTTTATAATATTAATGATACTATATTTAGAAAGTGTTTCCTTTTAAAATCAACAGTTAAATATATTACCTTTTGAATCAATTTAAAAAAATAAATTTAAATGAATCTTATAATTTAAGTTAGATTTACTTATTGAAATAATTGATAATTGAATTGGTATTTAAAAATATGTAAATTTTTAATGTTGAATATTTATTTTACATTATACTTTGTAATTTACATGTAATAGAATTTATTATAGTATGTAAAACTTTTTATTATACTATGTAAAATATGTATATATAAATAGTTATAAATTGACTGTATATTTCAAATAACATATAAAATGCTAATTAAATGATAGAAATTAAGAAATGATTAAATCCCATGTAAAAAAATATTTTTAATTTTGCATTAATATTTTAAAGCATATAATAAATAACATAAACTTATATTTTTGGTTATTAATGCTTATAAACCTTATACAACTTACGATTTGGATGTGTAATATTACTAGTGGATTTTGGTGTTGCAGAAGATGACGATGTTAAGTATAGTTGTAGATTATTCCCAACACCTTTTCCAGGATTTACGATAGGAAATTTTAAACTATTTTTTTTTGTAAGAACATTAGAATTATTGACTATTGAAAACGTTGGACTGCATAATTTATTGGTTGTTTCCAGCATCCACGGACTGTTGGGAGTTCGAGATTCTGATTTACAATTTTGGTATCGTGATTTCAATGGATTAGGTGTATTACCTAATAAGATTTTATACATATTAGATATAATAAATGCTAATTTAATTTCGATTTGACTAAGTGAAGAGTAAAAACAGTGGAAAGTTGGGAATGGAATGATTGGAAGAATTTTTCAATTAAAGATAAAACTATAGTAGTAATATAGTAGAACTATAGTATATATCCAATACTATTAGATTTTCGCAACTCAGAGAAAATAAATACTTTCTGGAGAAACCACATTCTAGAATTTCTGATAAAAGATAAACTTGAAAAATCATTGTAAAAATATTGTCAATATTACTTACCATAGAAATTCATTGTATACTAAATATCAATTAAAAAATTATAAGATTATTAGTCTGATATAGTTTATTTTAAAAGCAATGTAACATTTAAAATATAGTAATAAAAGAAAGATACACAAATTAATGAACTATAATATAATTCTTAAATCATAAGCAATTAATTTATGACAACGTAAAATTAGTGTGTATTGCATTGATCGATGTAACTGACTATATTTAAAATGAGACAAGTGATATATTAATATTCCTAGCATGCTTGCAGAGTTTTGCAAAATGTACAGGATATTTGTAAATATTATAGAAGCAATCATGGCAACCTCAAAAATGATAATTTTTTTGTTAAATATTCTTTTTAATCTATGAAAAATAATAGTGTATAAAAAAAGTTGAAAAAGCATATCTAAAATTTGGCTCTCGTATATGATTGTATTTACCGCAGGTGATATATTTTTATAAGTTATTATCTTGAACATAGTTAATTAAATAAAAGGGCTTTACTTAATCACTAAGACATATTATGGTATGTAATGGTTTAAAATCAGATTAGGAAACTTAAGGGTAAAATCTTCTGATTAGCGAGTTAGACAAAACTTTATTTGCTGAATCATTAGTACTATGGTTATTAAAGTTGCCCATGAATAATTTCAGACTGTATGAATAGTTCAAGGCATCCAAGTTCACGCATAATTGACATGATCTCGAGAAACCTGATTATTATTATTCATCTATTTTTATATTTGTTAAAAAAGTAAAGTGCAAATATATAACAATATTAAAAAAAAAGATATATCACTATTTACTCTATATACTTATTTTTAATGATCTTAGCAATATTTCACTACGTATAAACGATTATATTGTTCTTAGTTATTTTCTTTTTATAATCTTGAATAAAATATATGTATAATTATATATTTATAATTTAATACAAAAAATATTAAGCCTTCTTTTTAATATTAATTTATTAACACATCTTCAAAATTGTAATATTAAATTTTTTTTAATTAAAATATAAATAAAATTTCTTGCTTTAAGTATAAAAATTAAATCAATTTAATTTAAAAGTCTAATTTAATATTATTATTAATGCTTGTAACTTCGAGGTATTCTAGAATCCAGTAAAATCGTTTTATTAATTTTTGTATAAACTATATTTTTTTTACAAATTATAATTACTTAAATTTTTTTAGTTTGAAATTACTTCAAGAATATATCAATAATAGTTTAATATAATCGAGGATAAGACTGCAATACCATAATCTCGCTATAAATGGATCTGTAATAAGATTGAGGTCTTTTCGTCCTATAAATGGATCAATAATTATTTTTACTGAATTGAATATATTTATAAAGATTTTTTATTAAAATTTTTGCAATAATGTATTTATTAAATTTGTTTAGTATTTTTTATTTTCATTATTATGATAATTTTGTAGAAGTCTCTTCTTATATGTAATTTTAGTTGTTTTTATTTTTTCACTTAATCAAACTTGGAAACAACAAACTCTTCAAGGTGCAAAAAAGAGCTAAATAATTGAAAAACGAGACAATCATTATTTTATTTTTAGTATGATGGTTACTAGTAACAACGGATAAGTCAAATAAAAGATATCTACATTTTATATTAAGCATAATTTCACAGATTAAATGAATATCTTTCTTTTATGAAATCACTAAAACATAAATTTAAATTACCGAAATCTTTTGCAAATTAAATGAATAACTGCGAATATGAAATTCATTTAAAGAATAATTGGAATCTGTTGTCTTAATTAAAGATGCTCTTTTTTCTATTTTTTTTCTCGAAATTGTAATTTCTTTAAATTCTTTTAATGATTAAACTATTGATTATTAATATTATAATAAACTTCATACATATTTCATCCGAAGGCTATCGCAGTTCTTACTCTTAAGGATAATATTTAAATTCCTTAAAAACGCGATGCATTAATAAATTTTAATTATTGGGATTCCCAATAATTAAACTTCAAATTAAAATCAAATGTTTTATTTTCAGTGACTTCTAAACATTTGTACTCACAACGCCTATCCAAGGCACCATAAAAAACTGTGTAGTTTTAGAGTATTAATGTATAATAGTTATATAGTTTGGTTTAAGATAGAGATAGCTAATTAGAGTACATTTATTAATACGGTAAAATATTACTAACATAATTAGATTACTTCTGTATAATACACACGATTGTAAAAAATTATGATACCATTTATAGAAATGTATATGGACAATTTTAATGTAAATATAAAATATTAATTTTTTTTTTTAATTTTTAATAAGTTTAAAAATAATTTTTTTTTAATTTTCTAATATTATTAACTAAGCTTATATTATTTTCATTATACTGAAAAAATAAAACAAAAATGAGACTTACTTCGCACCATTGGTTTGATTTGAATTAATTTAGCTTGTCCGCCGGGAAATGTAGTATTTCGTTTATGCCGAATCTGTCATTGAAAAAATAAATATTTATACATTAGTCACTAAATATTCTAAATAATAATCAAAGGAATCTAAAGTAATTTTTTACATAAATTATGTTTTTTACCCTTTAAGATACATTAAATACATTATTGAAATTTATTAATTATTCAGGATTGAACTACCTAACAATAAAATAATTTGTTTGTTATAATACGATTCCGATACATTATATTTAGCTTAAGGCGTAATATTTGAATTATACGTTACGAAAATTTCGCTGGAAATTTAAGCCGCGTGCTATGTCTGCATAGCAACAAAATTAGTTCCTGGAACGTACTAAATCTTACTTTCAGAGAATTCACTAGAACTTCCAAGAATTACAACGCTAAATGTACGCAATCATATTTAAGGAGCAACGAATGGAGAAGAAAATCAGTCTTGTTGAGTAATTCAAATGAAATTAGTGTCAGTCATACCACTGAAAGTTGAACTCGTCTAAGGGAATCCGTGCAAGGTATAGTCATTTGTTTATATTGATTATTCTATATTGCTGGTCAACTATCGGTGCGTCCTCCTCAACGTGACGATAGTTAGATCGCATTAAGGGCGACAACATAGATTGGCATCTACAGCAATTTATCAATACTACACATAATTTCTTGCGGTCCGCGCCAACACTATCGGTTAGGCCCCTGCAACTTGATTCTTATCAGACCGCTAAAGAGGGCGCCGATACTGACTGGTAGCCTCCGCCAAATTCTCATTACTGCGGCAGAGCGATGATATTATCAGTCACGCCTCTACGACTTGGTTCTGAGCAAACTACAAGAGGGCGTCGAAATTCCGTAATAGTCCTCACTACCTTCACGAGCCGGACAACGCTCATTAAATTCTATCCCCGATTCAAAGAACTAGGTATTCGCGAGCCGAACAACGCTCCGTAAAATTTATTGCCGAATTAGACGTTTAAGTAGTCGCAAGCCCGACAGGGCTCTCTGGAATACCATTGCCTAATCAATTGTCTAATGATTCACGAACCGGAGAGACTTCTTCAAAATAGGGACTAAACCGAGTGCCCAGTACTCCCAACTCACCCTTCAGCCTTGCACTCCAGGACAATGTTTTATAGTTCAAGGTTAACTGTCTAATCACTACGAACTCTACAATTCGCACTACAATCAGTAACACCAACATCACTTTAACAACTGCTTAAATGAAGGTCACTAAAACCAATTGTGTTTGCTTTGAATTGATGCATTAACCCCCCCCCCCATCACCATTAAGCTGATGGTACGGTCTAATCCACCCACCTTGATCTGTGATCATACTGGTAGCTGGAATTTCAAACATTAATTGTTTTATATTAAAATTAAGTAATAAGAAAATTAAATATTAAAATTAGATGAAGTAAATATAAACGAGTACAAATAAAAATATAAAAATAATTAAAATCTATAATAATTATGCTAATAATAACATTTAAATTTGTAACAAATTTGTTCGTTTTTTTTATTAAAGATATATTAATAATAAAAAGTAAATGTACTGAATTACAAATAAAGCATTATTTAGCATTATCCAGTTAGCAATAATACTTTGTCTGACTTTCTGTCACTGAAACAGGTATAAGTAAAAAATATTATTTAAATTGAAAAAACTCAAGACAATAAATATTTCTTGTTTTATTCATTTGTGAGGTTAAGAAAACTCAAAATCTGGAAATCTTGAAATTTAAGCAATTTGTACACTTGTCAGTAAAACTACCAACCAGATTTACAGAATTAGATAACTGCATATTAAGTGTATTATACAAATTTTATTTTCAGTTCAACTTATTTACATGCGTTCTCGGTGCGTGTAAATTAAGTTTTCATCATATTTACTGTACATTTTTCCCAGGGGATGGATCTATGTTATATAATCGATGAAAAAACTACAAGGTGCCGCACTAGGCAAAGCCTGCAGATATCACGAACTGCCACCAAGAGTACAAAATCTGCAGAACTCACAAGGTAAAAGTTCCATTCCTTAATAATGGTAATTATACACAATATGCTTCATAAGGCAAAGAACTGTAGAGCGACTAAGCGCACACAATTTGCAGACACATAAGAGGCAACTTTAGTTCCCAGAAGATAGACTTACAAGGCACCGTACGCAGCAATATCTGCAGACCAAGATGAAGTGCCATTAAGAGCACACCAGCAGAGCCTACAAGGTAAGCAATAAGCCATTAACATAACAAACTCAAGCTACTACCACATGACACTACACAAGGAAGCGCGGGGGCTTACGACCTCGCACTTCTACGTGTACAATTACACCACTACGCGCAACACATGAAGAGGACCAGGGGAGCTACACCCTCCTACCTATACATGTAGTTCATGTTACCACCACGTAGCAGCCATAAAAAAACAGCAAGACAGATAAAAATCCATCATCAACATTTAGAATTATTATAGTGTAATTTAACGGGATGACAGCAATAAATACTAATAAATAAAGTATTAATTATTGAATACATGCACTATCCTGTCTACTTGCCCGCAATCCTCCCATAAACGATTTAGGAGTGTCATCTAACTGTAGATATTTGGCTCTGCTAGTACGCTACTCTATTTTTAGACACTATGAATAATAAAATCTTTGGGACCATTTACGTATTTTCATAAGTACAACAGAATTTACTTTGCAATGTCGTTAATTTTATGATTTTAAATAAGAATTCGGAATAAAAATTTTCAAGTTAAGCTAAAATTATGCCCAAATAAATGAATAATTATTATTTAAAATATAAAAACCATTTTTTTTTTAATTTTATTTTTTAAAATACAGTATTTTTTTTTAATAATTAAACATTAATATTTTATATGAATATAAATATATTTGAAATATTTTAATTATATTAATAAAACATTTATTGTTAAAATAATGAGTTCCTGGCTTAATGTGAAATAATCATTTGTCGGCATTCTTTGATTGTTAGTAGATATCTGATTTAATCATAAAACATTAATTGTATTATTAATTTTATTGAGTTTTAAATGCGATACAAAGACAGATTTATTCTATATACTCAGGTTTATATACAATTATTTATTATTATAATTATAATTATTTATTATTATAATTATAATAATAGTATCAATAAAATTTTTTATTTTTATTTATAATGCAAGAATAATAAAATATAAATAAATTTCTAACAATTTACCTTATTTCTTATGAAAACTTGGAGGATATCGGCCCACCAACGTGTTTCTTCAAGACAAGTACCTTTGATGAATGTTACATGTTCCTGTGACGTAATGGCAAGACTGTTTGGATGTCCAGTAACGTCTTCCGCTGTCGTTACATCTAAAACTCGAGCCATATCAATTCTTGCTTGTGGCACTGTTTCTGGCTATAATAGTTACAAACTCTGATAATTTTTTGTATTTAGTAATACACTACAAATCATATATAAAGACTGTTCATAAATAATATTCAATAATAACAAATTATGTAAAGTAATATCAATAAACGTAGAAAATTATCAAACTCTAATATACCAAATAACAAACAAGAATTCAGTTTCATCACTTGTGTAGATACATTAATGTTTTGAAAAACCATCTTTTTGGAGCAATAAAACCTGTATTAAAATAAAAATTATAAAAGAAAATATGTAACTTGAACCTATTCATATATAAATTAAAATACAAATTAAAATAAAAGGCAAGTTTCATATAAGTCTAAATATAATCAGTAATGATATATTCTGTTATTGACGTTATTAATTATTAATACTTTAGAAATCATATTATACTAAGAAAAATTAAACACTTTATTTCAAAAGCTTAGTTAGGCCAGGTCCTAACAGGGTACAGTATTATAATGTCAATGCAGCTTATAAGTGCGTGTTCAAATAATATCAAACGGTTATTATGAATTAATTATATGCTTTAAAAATAAACCTTTGTCTTTATAATATATGAAATCTAAAATATGTATGAAAATATTGTCACAAATTTAGAAACATCTGCAAATCGATAGTGAAATGGAATGTGACAAAATTAGAAATTTATATATATATTTTTTCAGGGAAAATATTTATTGATTTTCTTCAGTTTTTAATAAATACTAAAACAATTTTTAATGGAATAGTCATAATATATGATAAGCTGCTAATGATATTTACTTTATTTAATTATATATTTTATTGGTAAATAATAAACAAATTTTTAATTAAAAATATATTATATTCCTAGATTTATATATATGTTAACACGATTTCAAAGCTTATTTAAAATGAACAGGTTATATTAATGTTTGTTATAAATGGCTATATACTATCTGTTTGATTTTTATAGGTTTGTTTTATGGCTGGAACTGCCAATTCAATAGTTGAGTTGATTAGTCTCTCGTCATGATAACTTAAAAGGAAATAATAAGTGGAAAGGCTGAAAATTATTATGTATTATATATTTGTAGTAAAAACAATGTTTATTATTTGTTAAATATTATAATAGTATTGCATTGTTGTTGAGAGAGAGAATTATTCTATTATAGTAGTGAGGGTGTTTCCTTGCGTTCTTGATTATTGTAGATGCTGTAGAAATTATTGTGTATCGTGAGTGTTGAGGCTATGCTGACATTAGCCTGTGTAGTCAATCATGCTCATGAGGTAGCATGAGAAGATGGTGTTTGAATTAAGTATGCTTGATAGATGGAATAATTATACTTGATAGACTGTAAGATGTTTTGATGGAAATTGGTGGGTAATCAACTATGTCTTTAGTTATAATGGGAACAGTATAAAAGACTAGTCACAGGCAGGAGTCATAAATGACTAGCCTTCGAGCTTTGAAGGACTTGATGAAATGTGTTTATAGTCGATTATTAGATATATTGTTGTCTGACCTTGACAATGTGCTTGACGTATTACGTCACTTTTGTCGACTCTTGCGGGCCTGTACGGTTTCGAAGTGTTAGTTCGAGAGAGCGTAAGTTTGCCCGTGTGACTAGCTTATTTAATAATATAACTGCCGATAAGGTGTGTTTATTTACTGCGTAGCTGATGTGTCCCTTTTGATCACTATACCAATTGGCATCATTGTAAAATCAGTACCTAATCTTGCTGATTTCTTTTTATTTTTAATGCACGTGTATTTTTAAGTAGGCTGCCGAATATGTGGCCACGTGTCGTCGTCACAGTATATACTAAAACATTGAGTGGTAGTAAATGGTAGTAAACTGGCTTCAATCTCGAACACTATCAATTGAATAGATTAGACGCACGCTGACAATTCAATACCAATCAGCAGAAATGTTAGGGATTAGTAAATTTTTATTTATAATTGATTAACATAATAAATTTTAATTATTACAAAACTTTATATATACAACTTTTAAAGTTTTCAATTCTTGTTACTTTAAAAGAGAAAAAGTACGTTATTTTCTGAATGGCAATAATAATGTCTAAAATAAAAGTTTATATTATATTTTTAAAAATAAATTCACTATTAGAAATATACATTTTGAAATTTGTACAATAACAATAACAATATAAGTGTATTTTACTAATAAAAATAAAATTTATATAAGCCTAATATTTCATATGCATACAAAATTTTTTATTGAAAGATTCTGTTAATCAATATTAAAATGTAACTATTAATATTAAGCATTGAAATAGTAATATACATTTGGATTATAAAATAATTTAAAATGTTAAAATATCATTTAAGGGTTGATAAATATTTATTTTAAAAGTTTCTTTTTTTATTGATTCGTTTCAGTAATATAAAACCATAATGTTATTAAAACAAAATAATTTTCCAAAAAATGTTTGTAATTTTGGGATATTATTATTAAACTGTTACTTTAAATAGTAATAAAACATTTGTAATCTAACCTTAAATAGAAAAAAAGGAAAAAAGTTTTAAATGAAAGAAATGTATGTAAAGCTGTTGTAATTAGTGACCGAGTAACACTAGGAAACTTACATAATATTGTTACTATAATTAGTCAAACTGTTCACATAATATTGTTCCTTATCATTACTATTGGCAATAATCAATTAATATTTGTATTTGCTATTTTCAATTAAAATTAATAATATTATAAATTCGTAAATATGAAACATAACTATAAATAATTAAATCATTAATTTCTAATCATTAATTATCTTAGCTTATAGGGACAAATGTATTTATAACTACTATTTATGATTAAAGTTGATAAGAACTTATATAGTGAGTTTAATTATATTAATCTTATAGTAATAAACAAATTCGTTGGTTTATTACGCGATGTTGTTTAGAAAAGATATGCATCTGTTTTACAAAGTATAATGTATACACATGTAACGAACCATATGATTATTGTCTCCAACAGTTAAACATTCCAAACTTTTCTATTTTATCTATAACCAAGTATTAAAATTAGACTGTTTTAATTTGACTACTTATTTTGATGCACTTTGATTGTGCTTTAGAGAAATTATATTACATTTCATTTAAATGTGATTAAAACAAAATTATATTTGATTAATCTGAATAATTGTATTCGCTATACTAGCGGTTTCAGCAAACATTAAATGTTGGGCATAATTTGATTTTATCATTCTATAACATTTTAGATCAATCCATAGGCATTCAAATGAGAAGTCTTTTGATACAGATGCTTAATCTAATTTAAAACCGAACAATACTTCGTATTTCAAGAAATTAATTAACTTAAATAAAAATGTTTCCTAAAATAACAATTGACAAAAATTATCTAATATTTAGGTTTTCCATGAAAAGATGAAGTTCTTCAGTTATGACTTTCTTTCAAAATTTTATCGATTCAAACTTACTTTCATTTACTATGTCTTATAATTTCTTATATATCGAATTTTTTTTATTTAAACCACAAAATTAGTTTTTTATGTACATTATAAATGTGTAAAATAAATTAAAAAATGTTATCTTTATAAAACTAAATGACAGTTTTTATAATATAATACGAAATCATTTATAAAAAAAATCGATATTGTAATTCTTCAATGGAAATAATATTCAATTTTAATAATTCCAATGCAAAAGAAAATAAGATGCATTTAATAGATTTAATCATTAAAACGAATATTCACATTTTATATCAAATGTTAATACATCAAAGTCGTTCTAAATTTTTCGATATAATGTCAAAATTCAATCCAACTGTTTTTTAGAAGATAATAAAATATAAAAAAAGTGTAATTGTAATGTTTTTCTACAATTAAATGCAATAATTTATTCAATACATTTTATTATTCGGAAATACATTACATTTGAATATCAATGATGTTACCATAATAATCGAATGTTACTAATTAAGTAATTCAATACCGTAATCGACATTTTGATGAAAATTTTAATTAATTTAATACAATTCAACAATTGTGAATGAACTTGAATATATTTTGAAAAATGTTAGCACTAGTTGACAATAACTTTTAAAAATTATTTACACTAGTTTTCATTAGAGAATAAATTTGTGCATGTAATTCTAATAGCTACAAAATTTATTCTATATTTATAAATTTTATTACTTACGTGTTCATCTACAGAGTAAGTTAATTCACCATCATTATACAGCACAAACCATCGTCGTTGCCATCTCTAAAACAATATAAATATTGATTAATATTTACTCGAAACATAATATATATATAAATACCATTTATTGAATAAAAATAAATAAAATATTTTAAAGCATTTTTCTGAGATTATAATTATTTCATTTAATATTACAATTATTTTTTTGTATTTATACAAGTTTGTTTATTACATAAATAATCGTAAGTTCAATATTGAAATTAGATGCTATTTTCTTATGTAGAACTATTTGAGTATACTGCAACTTGCTTATTCAGTTTGTAATAAATAAATATTGTATGGATCAGTACATATAAAGTATAATTAAAAAAAAAAGTAGTATAAAGTGCATTAAAATTAAATAAATTATAATACACTGGTCAATTCTGATATCATTTCAATTATATATAGTTTTTAGTTGCTTAATATATTATTAATAATAATTGCATATACATAAAAAAATTAAGAAAATTAAATAAAATTATTTTTCGAATGTAATATTCAAATAAGAAAATAACTTTCTAAAATAAGTTTCTGATCGCTATTTGTTCAGGATTGGAGCACTTTCCAAGAACTTTGGTTCTCAGAATTTTTATAATCTTTTTAGGTCTCGAAATCGTAAACATTTGATTTCGAAAATTCTCGATCATTCTAAAGAGTTTGCGTTCGAAGTCCTATAATGATTATCTATTCTCTGCATAACAACATTCTCCAACCTATAAAGCTTGCTTTCCTAGAATTCTCGAAATCCTGTACAAATCTCGCGTGAGTATAATGCAAGCACGGGACAAATCAAGGTTCGCTCTCTTACCGGGGACGCCGCAGTACTTGCTTGAGCTACCTAGGAGGAAACACGCTATACTACAAGACATCACTACATATTATTTCTCTATTTTAGATCAAGGCACCATAACTTCTGCACTACATCTGTATCAAGACGTCACTACATTCTGTGCTACATCTACATTAAAACACCAACACGTGGCACTACACACGGAGTGTCCAGAGATTTACGATCTTTCACTTCTCAGTGTAGTAACCCTCCATCAAACGCACTACACGAAGCGGATCCGGAGATTTACAACCTCCAACCTTGACTTGCAGTGCATACTACCTCTACGTGTAAAATCACTAAGGAACGGCAAAATCAAAATCTCACCATCAACGTAGAGTCATAATCGTATTTTTAAATTAAAACTCAATAAACAACACGAAAAGCAAATGTGTTGAAGCATTAACCTCTCCACTTACTCACATTAAGCAGTAAAATAGTGGACATGGTCTAATCCAACCACCTTGGTCCTTCGACCACTGGGTCACTGGAATTCCAAACACTATTAAGGTATAAACTATAGGTGTATGGAGATGTTCATAATCTATAAAGTATAACGGCAATTCTTTATGACTCAGAACTCAAGCATGAAGAAATCGATAAAGCTCAATAATATGGTTTTAGGAAAAAAAAATGTTAAAAATGAATAAAATAATAAACAAAATAATATAATAATTGAATATATAATTATAAAAATAATAAATTAAAAGTAACTATTTTATTCTATAATAGGTAATATTTTTTTAGATATTAAATAAAGGTGTAGATTTCATGAGTTAAAATCTTATTTATAGTGAATATTGTAATACACACATTTCACAAAATATAATTATGAAAGTTTTAATTACATTGCTGAAAATTATAGTATTGTAAGTACTTACTTTAGTACGGTTAAGTGGATTTGAAAAGTCCCATCCTGGTGCTACAAATAAGTATCCACATTTGAAAATTTTTCTTATAGCCTATAACAAAAATTATGGTTTTCATTCAATATTTTAATAATATTCATTATAAAATATATCTATATTAAAATTATTATTTAATAATATAACTATGTTTTCTAGACAAAAGGAATTTCATTTATGCTGTATATTAAGTAATTAATTTTTTGTAGTGGGAATGAAGAATCATTTATTACACTTTTTAATAAATAAAATATTAATTGTATTTAAAAATAATAAAAATAGCATTCTATAATATATATTTTATATAAACGTATACAAATTATACATAAATATAAAACAAACACTTATTAAAATTTATCTTCTAAACCCGTAATATCATAAAATTGTGTATTGTGTACTTACATTAAAATGAATTGTATATTGATGAAAAGTATTAAAGAACTACCACAAATATCTTACAATTTTAATATTATTAATAATATTTACAACCGAAAAAGAGCATATATTGTGTAAATTATGTTGTGGAAGTAATAACAAGTTTTATTAGTTATATACACTGATTTATAATTAAATTGTAACATAGTAAAATATACTATACCAAAGTCATTTGTTTATATCCATTCTAAAAACATCTATAACATTTATCAAAAATTTATTTCAAAATACTTATATAATTCAATATAAAACACCAAGAAACACTTGATCTATTTATAAATAAATTATATACAGATTTAATTTATAAAATATAGTTGTATAGATTCTTACAACTCAAAAGTTAAGTAGCATTTGGTCTTTAAATTAAATTATTGAAGAAGTTATAAAAATTACACAGGATAAAATATACAGATATGAAATATTGTAGTATTTAAGGATGGAGATTAAAAGAGACTTTTATTGAATTAAGAACATAAATTTTATGGGCTATTTTATGAAAGGAAAATTAATGTTAGAAATTATTTTATTCCAAATTATATATTTTTATATAAATAAAACATGAATAATTGAAATTTCTATAAACTTAATCGCTTAAAGAATTATATTATTTCATTATAATTAATTTCAAAGAAAAATACCATATGAAAAAATTCCTTGTTTTATGTTAGTTTTATATTATTTGCTAATTTTATACAATAACAATAACAAATTGTATACAATTTACTAACTAATTTACTATACTTTCTCTATTTTGCCCTTTTGTACTATCATTAAATAATAGTTCTATGAAAATATTAATCTTCATCATAATAGTTTAAGAAATAATATACTGCATGATTAAGAAGATCACATACTAATAGAAGTAATAATCACATTTACTAAGAATCTTGAACATATATATGTTTATGATACACAAAATATATTTCTGCACTATTGTGTAAAACCTAAATATTTAAAATGAAAAATTAAATTTTGATAATTTGTTTATAATGTATTATGCAAATATTTTAAATGTATAAGTAATTTAGTTTATATAATTTAGTAGTTTTGTAATAAATTTTTTTATTATTTTATTACCTATAAATAAAATATTTTCTTGTAATTCTAATCTGATTCAAATAGTTTAAGAAAATACTAATTAGAGTATTAAAGTAGCAATGAAAAGTTATATTAATACACATATGATACAATTATGATAGCATAAAAAATGATATAATAATATAACACATTTTATCATACAATTAATACAAAATTATAAAGAATTTTCAACATTTATATTAATTAGTTTAAGTATTATAATGATTTTAATTATATCGACTGATATTAAATTAAAACTACATAAATTTGAAAAGAACAATTTGATTATTAGATATTAATTGTTACTTTTAATTCTAAATAAGTAATAACCTTGTATAAACTTGTTTAAATCATGAAATAATTTTAAAATGTTTCAAAAGGAAATACACATAATCAAATATTTTTATAAATTTTATATTATTATATTGTAATCACTCTTGACATCATAGAGTTTGATTTTAAATATTTTAATCTATGTTTATTCTTTATTCTTATAATTATTTTATATAATTTTTTATATTTTTAATGTATAAAACAAAATTATAATTGACATATTCAATTTATAAAAATAATATGCCAACAATGCATTGATTGATGATATAATCCTAATACATATGTTTAAGTATTAAACTTTATGCTTTTTTATTCTCACTAATACACTTATTATCTTATTACAATATTACATGCATTTAATACATACAAAATAGAAATTAAAAAAAAATTTTAAATATATTTTTGTCTTTTTTCTTATTAAATAAATTTATTGATTAAATACAGAATATAAAAAATTAAAAACAAAAAAATTCAGACCACAACACATTTAAAATATTTCTATATATCATGTGATTATACTAACAAGGTACTCCTATAAAAAAACATGTTTTTGCGATTAGTGCTCACCCTATTACTTTCAAGAGCTGCAATACTGTGTTCCTCCATTTGTTTGAAACAGCTGCTACATTTATTCTTGTTGAATACATTAGGTGCAAATTTTTTGCATTCTACGCTAATGCTTTTAGCGCTATAGACTAAGTTACCTGACATTGTAACAAAATGTTACAGTCCAAATATGAAGGTTTAGTGTCCGTGTACCATTGTCTGTGATGTATCCAAGAATCACGAATATCAGGTTACACTCGTAAAATTAGACACAATCTTATATAAAATATACGCTTTTTATTTTTTCCTCTTTATTGTATTTGCCTACATTCGACTGTGTAAAATAGTGTTCTATAAAAAAAATAATGAATTTGAATATTAAATGAGTCACACATTTCATTAAGTCTCAAGCCATGTTGGTTCAATACCAACATCAGTTTAAATTTCTTCTGCTCACTTGTAATCGTTATAGTCGTGCTGTATCACAGGTTATATTTGAACACTATTCTATTACACTATACAAAATTATAAAAATTTGATTATGTTTAATGTTCAATATTTACCTCCTACAAAACCACAGCTGTACGATAAAAGTTGGCTAATCGCCACAAACCTGCTGCCCACTAGAAACATTGACACATCTATCCACTCATACACTCGCATCATTCTTATTAGCTGAGTTTCTTTTGACTAAAGTTATTATTTCCAATTTTATTCGGCGTTCCATTAGATTTCAAAACTGACTATTTATTTGTCTCTTTTTGTATTAGTTATTTTGTACTCTACTTCTTTTCACTAAATTTAGTGGAGGTAAATTTATTATAAAGTTTGCGCTTAATAGTAACTATATAAATTTGTTAAACTCTATGTAGTTTGTGCTATCGTTTTTCAATTCTGAAAATGAGAAAATGCTAATAATAAATTATTTACCGTAGGTAACACATAATAAAAAATTCGTAATTACAGTAAAAAAATAAAAGTAAAAACTGAAGAGAACGGGAAACATAAAGAACTACAAAGAAAGTAAGTAAAAATGCCAAGGAAGATCAAGGCGAAATACTACAAGAAAATTGTCTAATATAGATGATATTGCCATCTGTATTTTAAATTTTAAATTTTTAGCAATGGTTTCAAGGTCAATTTATTAATTGTATTAAATATTTACAAAGAATTATTGAAATTTTTATTTATTATAATTTTAGTTGATTTATCTAAGAATCATACTATATTTATTTATTTTAACTATTTTAAACAGTGTACATTATATTATTAAAAAAATGTGGTAACATTAATATTAATAGTATTAATATTTTATGTACAAAAGTTAAAAAGTCATTCTGTAATTTATATAATTAATTTTTTTATTTATACGATAAAGATTTTTACGATTTTAAATAAAGTTTAAATAAAATTTTAATTACTTGAAATAACTAATTCCTATTTTAATAATAAAATTTTTTTTTTTTAATTTTGTCTGATAAATAGAAAATTCTTTTTAGTATTACAATAAGATTATCTCATACATTTACTATTTTAAGTATATGAAAATTTTCAATAAACTTCAATGTATAATGTAGAAATATAAATCCACTGTATCTAAATTGAATGTAGATTTGTTTAATTGTTATTAATGCATAAGTTTTACAATATTTTTAAATTGTTCATGAATCTAATAGAGCTATATGTTTATATTTTTTACATATAAATTCAAATATGCATGCGTATTTATACGTTAGTTAATACGTATTTTGTATTTTTGTTTTCTGAAAAATTTATGGACAAATCAATATTCAAGAAATCGTATAATATACAATTATAGTGTTGATTAGATACTATTTATATATATACTAATTAATTAGCGTTTCTAAGTAATCTATACAAGACTTATTTATAAAGAATTACAAATTTTATTTGATGTTCTTTAATTTATTATAATGTATATATAAAAATTCTTAAATACACTTGTTGATTTATTGAATTGTATAAAACTATCAACATTATTAAATTTTCATTAAATAAATCTTTTAGCTGAAATCTAAAACAATAGATTTTAACTTATAAATTATTTTACAGATGGTTAATTCATAAATGATATCAAATAAATTGAATACATTAACTAAAATAGAAAATTTCGACATCTACAAAATTTAACTTAATCAATTACATAATTGTTTAAATATAAGTATTTGAAAAATTTTAATGGTTTAATTTCCAACATAAATTTAAATAATTTCAATAATATGACAGTTACAAAGTGAACTCGACATTTAAAATGGTTTATAAATATATATAAATAAATATATTATTAAATTAGTAAATAATTGAAATTATTTTTATTATTATAAATATTTAATGCTATAAATACATAAATTATAAAAAACTAATCTAATATATGAAACTTCTATAAAACAATTATTAGAATAATATTTTATTTGAATTAATATAACACCTCATAATTTGTTCATAAAAATAGATAAATAAAAAATGAGTTAATTTTGATATTTTACTTAAATTACTTTTGTTCATTCATATGACGTATCATTAAAATCATTAATGTCATATAATTTTTTATTTTTCAGTTTACACGATCATTATTTTATTAAAAACTTGTTAATATTAAAAAACTTGTGTGTTTAATTTATAAAGAGATATTTCGGTCTAACCCAAACGCAATAATTGTTTATATAATTAATTTTTATTCATTTTTTTTATAATTGTTTATTATTTTATTATTAATATACTAATATTTATTTGATAAATTACTATTATATGTAAATAAGTAATTTATGTTAATGTAAATTACATTTTATGTTTAGTGACACTTAGTAAAAGTTATAGTTCAGCATGTATAAAAATTGCTATGATATAAAAGAAAGTAACACATAACGTTATACATATAATGTCAGCATAAATTATATGAAAAAAATCTATTATTTAAAATATATAGTATTTAATAAAATAAATTTTAAATTAAAAGAAAATTTGACTAATTTAATATTTTATGTTGAAAAAAAATTTTTTAGAAAAAAATTTTATGTAAAATAATCCCCTAAGTTATTTGAAAAATATGCATAAAAATTTATTCTACTGTCATGACGGAAAATCGGAATATTTTAATCTGATAATATTATTAATTTTTTTGATAAGATGATAATATTTATATTATGAAAAAATATTAATAGTTTCAAAATTAATTACAGCTATTACTTTGTGAAAATAAGTTATTTCAAATAAAGTTCCACTTATTACGTTATGTGATATTATATGTAGTTTATTGCATAAAAAAATATTCTTTTATTATATTATACTTTTACTTAGTATTTTGTAAGTTCATACTATATAATATATATAAAATAAAAAATATGTCTGTTTAATGATATTTTTTTAGAATCTGATGTTGAATAATATATTATAATTCAAACAATAAAAAATGCTTAAACAGAAATTAATACTACGTATATCAGATAACAATATAAAAAATTTTTATCAGCTGATCTTTACATCCGGTTCATGTATTTCTAAGTTTAGTTTTTCCATCCGGTTCGCGGGAATCTTTATTTTAGTATTTAATCGGCTGATCGAAAAAATGGTAGATGAAGCAAGTGACAGGTTTGTTTAGATAAAAATGTTTTTTGATTGTATTTAATTATGCTTCAAAATTTATCATTTTCAAGTAAAATTGAAGAAATATATTAATTTAACCTTAAAAAAATGTATAAAGTAAATATTTCATTAATCAAATTTAATCTTCTGATTTAAAATCAAAATATATAATTTTAATGTATTTCAAACGGTTTTATAAAATTTAAGATTATTTAGTGTAACATTAGAAAAAATTATGTTAAATATTTTTTTAAATCGAATTAATTAGTTTCCATATTAATTAGTTATCTGATATTAATATAATTCTCTATAAGTATTTCTTAAGATTACAATAATTAATTAAAATTAAAATTTAATAGTGTATTTTTTATTTTCTTTAAAATATTAAATTATTAATTTTAATGAGTATCTTATATAACGTTTAACAGAAAGAAACTATTGTGGACACAGTAAACTACTATACATAATTTTTTATTTAATTAGTCTTTTATTTAATATAGTTTTAATATGATTATATTTATTTTAATTAAACAATTTGTTTAGTGAAAACTCTAAGAAAGTTGCTATCATCCGTGAAGTATATGATGGAGAAAATGCTCATGAAAGTTTTGAGTATGAACTTGAAAGGGCTCTTGAATCAGAATGTCAATTAATTGTTATAGAACCATCTAAATTAGGAGATGAAACTTCTAGATGGATTTCAGTTGGAAATTGTCTTCATAAAACTTCAGCATTATCTGGTTTAGTTGCAATTATTACAGGTAGATAATTTTTTTACAACTAAATTTAAAAAACTTTTATTCATTTAATTCTTTCATAGGAATTATATGGAGCGATCGACCTTATATCTGTGGTCCTTTTGGATTTACAGCTGCAATATCTTGTGGTTTATATACTGTATCATGGCAATTTGATCCATGTTGTCAATATCAAGTAGAAACAGATACTAGTAAATTACCTCATGTTGAGGTACTTGCTGTTCTAGGACCTTCATCACCTACTTTTCTTGTTAAAAAAGATGATACCAGACGAAGGATGTTACATACTACAATAACTACTTTAGCTCTTAGCATCAGTGCTTGGAGGATATATCAAGCCTTTAAATGAAAAAATTGATATTTAATATTGAGTTACAAAATTGAAAGGCTTAAAGGTAGGCCTTAGTGGAGAATTGTATGTGATTGTAGACCAACGTAGACTACAACTATAAGAATTAGGAAAAATACAGTTATGTTCTGATATTATAAATATAATTCATGGGAGATGTACAGAATATTTATGTCAATGACACATAACAGTGTCCCATCTTAAATTAAAAATAAATGGATTTTTTATTTTTTGTAATATTCATGTGTGATTACAGCTTTTTATGGTGTGAAGTTAATATAAGTGGTGTATATGTAATTATGTATAATTAAATTAGTAAAGGATTAGATTTTAAAGTATGTATTTTTAAACTATAAAAAAACTGGAATACACTGTTTATAACAAGAGTTATATTAAGAAAATTTTGTCCAAATTCATTCACCTTACAATTTATAGCTTTACCATCAAATATTTGCATTAATTGAAAGTTAAATTTCAAATTGATTCATTACATAAATAATTATTCATTTATTACACTTTATGAATTTATTATACAGATACAGCGTATACTTTTTAATTGTCAGTTTCCTTAAAATGAACGTGTCATAATTTTTCCTGTAATTTAAGAATCCTTTACCTTCTATCACAAGATATAATAAACCTTATATTTTTAAGTTTAAAGTAAATATACTTAAAAAATACTAGTAATTTGAAGTAATTTGAAATTAGATATATGGGATTGTAAATATAACACTTTAAAGAGAACATTAATTTTGTATTCTTCCTAGCTCTTGTTAAAATACATAATAATTGAATGAAATTTAAAGAAATATTAAACAAAAATCAATATGATATTTCATTAAATTTACTTATCTTGAAATATTTCTTTTTTAAAAATTCGTTTAAATTATAATTAATTAATTATAAAAATTAGTATAATTCACATAAAAGTTAACTTTTTCTATAAACTTAAGTTGTGTAAACATATAAAAAAATTATTTTATAGCTGAGTGTCAAGTAAAGATGATAAGTATTTATCAATTCACTAAGAATTTTATCCAAGTTTTATTTTATAAATAAAATAAAATTTTTATATTAAACTAAGTTTTTAATGAATTAATGTATAATTGTAACATTTTAAAAAATTTTATAATTATATAATTTAGATAATATTTAGTCATAAAATAAAAATTGAATCTTGTATGCAATATTATACTTTCATAGACAAAATGCAAATTATTTAATTAAGTAAACTAAATCAATTTTTCAAAAATACAAATGCATACATTGATAAGATGGAGTAAAAATGTAAGCATTTACGAAAGTGTTTAATTGTCTAATAAAGAAAACTAAACTAAATACATTACCATAAACTTAAGAAACAAAGTTTAGTTGGAACTCAATAATATATTAGTTTTAGAAAAATAATGAATATAATAATTTGGATGGATTATTAGTATTAATTTTAATACAGTAAATGAATGAATTAAAATAAATAATTGTGATTTAATAATAGATTAGTAGAATCATTATGTATATTAAAATGTTGATATTAAGCATAAATAAATGTATGAATGATATTATTTAAATACATGTTTGATAATAAATTCAACAACATTAATATTTTTTTGTAATGTTTTATTTTTAAGGAAGTTATATGCTATAAATTATACTTCTAATTTATAATAACTTGCATTGAAGTTAATCATTAAGCAGTTTTTGTAAATAATTAGTCAACATAATTTTTAATTTTTTTTAAATTTTAAATATTTTCTATAAAATTTCAGTTTTTGTATTAAGTAAATTGTTGAAAATCAAAACTTTACTATTATTGTATCGAAGTGTAATATGATATATTAGTATTTGCTTAATATATTTCAAAAGTATATTTTTTAAATATAATACAAAACTATTTTTTTTATTATAGAAAGCATTTATTAGTTAAATTAACTTAATTCAATAACATTATATTACACAAAAATTTTATTATAATATAGAAAATTTTTGTTATGAAAAACTTAGTTCAATAAAAAAATGTTCATTAATATATATATTTTTTATTAAATATTTATATAATATATATAGAAAATATCATTGTTATCCGTTTAATTATAATTTTATCATTCATATATACGAAAAGATAATCAAATATAAATTTTGAATATATTTTTCAATTATTAATTTTAGCTAAAATAAAGAAACTTTATTGATGTCTTTAACATTTTTATTACCTATCATTTCATATTTTTGATGTAAACAATTTTTAAGGATTCATAATTAAATTTTATTTAATAGTTGATGCTTGTTTATAAATTATTGTATGTAAAATATATGTTTTTAAGTAATTGATTATATTTTAATAAGATATATATATTACTACAATTTTTTCATTTCTAAATTTATTAACTTTTTTATCTTGTATTTTTAAGATATAGAAATAATTTTCTTCATAAAAACAATTTAAAATTAAATTTATTTCTTTTTAAAGGGTACAAGGAAATATTTTGTATAATTAAGTAAGAAATTATCTATATTGTGAAATGTAAACAGTGTAAACACCTTAAATTAAAAAGGTAAAAGTAATATTAGAATATTTAATAATATAATATCTTAAATAATAATAATATAAGAAATACAAGATTATTAATAATATTAATAATAATGTTTTAACAAATTTTTATTTTAATTAAAGTATTTTAATTTTATATATTTACACAAATTTGATTAACAAATTTTTTATAACTAATATAAATAAAAAATTTTATTTAATATTGTATTTACATGAAAAATTACTCTTTTTTGATATTATTTATTATTTCATAGTGTTTTAGCATGTGGTTTAATAAGCCAAAAGTAAATAGAAGGTAGTAAAACTCGTAATGAAATAGCAATCTTTTGTGTGAAAGTAGCTATTGTGACTTCTTTATCACCCCTTAGTATGCTTTCTAATATTTTGTCGGCCACATATTTGGCTGAGTACCCATTTTTAGTTGTTTTATCCATAACTAAATAAATGTAATACCATAAATCAATATATCAATTAGCATCAAAAACCAGTGTACTAGTTACTTACTTCCGTATTTATCACCAGTTCCTGTTAATGCATTTAATGACAAAGCAGTATAAATATATCCAGCACTAATAACAGTTATTTTAATATTTTTTGTAGAAAGTTCTGCTCTTGCTGAATCACACCATGCTTGTAAAGCATGTTTTGAAGCAGTGTATGCTGATCTAAATGGGATGGCTATTTTACCTTGTACACTACTTGTACATACAATATGACCAAATTTTTGTTTTATCATATATGGTAAAACAGCTATGAAATGAACAAAGATACAAATTATAATTGTATTTTTAAATTATTAATAAAATGAAATACCTTTAGCCAAAGCAATTTGACTGAAGTAATTTATTAACATTACTTTTATATCAACATCAACTTTAGTATCAATAACTTCTCCTCTGTATGATATACCTGCATTATTAATTAAAATATCTATTCTTCCATAAATTTTTGAAACTTTTGCTACTTCACTTGTTAAAGTATTGATTTCAGTCAAATCTAAGGGAAAAACAACTGGTATGTGTGTTGAAACTGTCTAAGAATTTATTTTATTTTATTTTTGTAGCTTATTTAAAGATTCTATTTGTTAATTTAGCACTTACATGATGTGTATTTAATAATGTATCTTTTACTCTTAGTAATTCCTGATTTCTTCTTGATATTAAAATTAATTTACAACCACAACTATAAAATACATGAGCCAATGCTTCACCCAAACCTGAACTAGCACCAGTTATTATAACAACCTATAAATTATATATTTGTCCAAATTATGTAATTATATAATAATTATAAAAGAAAATTATAAAAGAAATTTAATTCATTTTACTTTTCCATAAAGAGAAGTTCTTCTCTTTTTATACATGATGATATTAGTGAAATTATAAATAAACCAAAGAAAAATGATAGCTGTACCAAACATTGTTATCCACCAAATCATATGCCATCCTATTAAATTGTTTTGTTTCATTTTTCTATCTTTTGCTTATAAAAGATAAAAACTGAATTTGAACGTTTTACTAAATAATGAAGATAATAATATTACCAATGTTATTTTGTTATGAATAAAAATTTATGTAATAAAATTGTTTTGCAATTAACTAAATACCAATTTAAAATATGTAATTTTATATGTATTTAAAGTTATAAATCTAATTATGTATTTGCTTTTAATTAATACGTAACGATAACAATTAGTATGCTTTCATGAAATATTAAAAACAAGATCTTATAACTAAATATGTTGATAGCGACAATGTTTAATGTTTAGAGTATATATTAAATAATTGTTTTACTCGTGCAGTTATCGCCATTTGTATAATAAAGTTCATCTCTGATTGGTGCTGATACATGTACGAATTACAAATAAATTTACTAGTGAATTCAAAGTGAAGTATCGAGATATTTAATCTAACAAAGAAATTAATCAACAAATAGAATTTTATTTTTATTATTTATAAATTTTGCATTGAATAAAATAACTAATAAAAATTGAATAAAGTATATGACAGTAATACTAAAAATACAAAATTTAATTTATTCAAATATTTTACACAAATAATATTAGATTACTATTTATATTTTACCTGAAGTTTATATCCAAAACACCAATAAACTGAAGATGATCGAATGAAGTGTATTCTATTTATGGCTTTATTATTACTGTAAGTAAAATAGGATATTTTATTAATTTATTGAATATCATATCATGATCTCATAAATCTTTTTGTTGAATCATAATCATAATCACAATCATAATCAATATGAATAACTGTATTACATTTACATTTGGTTGATAATTGTATTTTAGAAATCGTGATATTTAACCGTTCATTTGTGCAAATAAAATCTAAAATTACTTTCTTGAATTGATAATATTGTTTCTGAAACTAGTTGAATTAATGTAGAAATAAATATTCAAAGAATTTCGTCATAAATAATAGCATTATAATATTTCAAGTAGTTTTACATGTGATTTTACTATTAGATTTTTTAACATTATGTTTATTTAAGACTTATAACAATAATAAAAAATACATTATCTATAATATTAATTATTAAAAATATAATAAAATATATAATTTTTAATCTTTTCAAAATAAATTTAATCTATTGCCAATTAAAAGGTCAAAAATTTGTCTTTAATAAATTACAATATAACAACAGCGCACATAATATTTACACGTATATGATTTCCATAGGTGAAATTTGATTTAGTAGATTGGTACAACGAATCATTCATTTTCCAAACAATTTAAAATAAGATGTCAGAATTCATTATTAAATTGTTTTTAATATCTTCAATTGTTCTTTCTTGTAAGGTGAGATATCAATTAATGTAAAATAGAGATTTCTTGAAAAATCAGCATTTTTAGGTTTCCTAAATATTTTTATATATAAAAAAAAAAGTAATTATTGTTTTAAGATTTAATTAACGATAAGGGTGCAGAAATTAACTCGTTTATAAGATTTATCATTTTCATCAATGAGTTTAATTTTTGTTGGAACGATAATTAGTTTTAATTTACTTTGATAAATAGGATTTATATACAATTCTTTTGTTATTAAATTATTTGTTTAAAAATATTTTTGAAATTTTATTGCAAAATAAAGTTACTTAAAATTGCACAAAATTTAAAATGAGAACGATATTTTGTTGAACTACTTAAAATAGATGTGCCTATAAGGATTATCTTTTTTTTAAAACTACTTTTAGTTGAACAGTGGTTAAGTTGTACGAATCACTAGTATTGATAAATGATTTTTGTATATAATTGAACACATTATGCTTTCAATATTAATTCAATCTTGTGCTTTCAATATGATAATCTAATTGTTTAGAATCGATGCAAAAGAATTCATAAAATAATGAAATTTTTATTAAGTCTAAATATAAATAACATATAATAATAATGCTTACAAAGTATATAATTGCTCGATTATAATAATTGTGAAAACTCTCTAATTCGTGTTTTTTAAGTTTTAAATAGTGAAATTAGGAACATACTTAAAAAGTTTCATTATTGTTACATCTCCTATTGTTACTATAAGAGTTTATGAAAAGTATTTGCATATATTCGGGGTGAGTTACAATATTTGAAAAGCAGTTTAAATCGATGATTTTTCATTTGAAATATCACTTTTATATTTTTATATGCCTTTTATAATTAATATAATAAAAATTTTAAATAAATGCGCCTATGTCAACCAATCATCATAGCACATCAATGCGCAGAAATCACATTTCCGACTCGCAGCATACGGCTATTAATATAAAATAAAAATAACTGGAATAAAATGTTTCTAACTTCAGTTCATACCAAAAATCAAAGCATTTAATAGAAAGTACATAGAAACATATATTATTGTGTAGTAATTACCGTGTAATAATAGTAGCATTAAAATTGAACCCCCTTTTTTTTATCTAACAGTATAAAGTACTTTAGTATTTTATTAATTTATATACTATAAAAGATTTATAAAATATTTTATTTTACAGACATGTCAAAAAACAAATATTGTACATAGATACAAAGTTATATCTTTAATAATTTTGAAATATCTTTGTAGACTTCATATAATTTTGTTTATATAAAATAAATAGTAAATAACGATTAAATCATAATTTTGAAAATTTAATGATTAACAGAACCTTTAGTTTATTTGATTATTTTTTAATCTTAAAATATCTATTAAAAAATATAAATTTCAGTAATGGAAATCATAAATTTTGTTCTTAAAAATTATTTGTACATAGATAGTTTCTAATTTAAATTAAAACTAGGTGAATATCTCAGTTTTATGTTATATATGATATGTATTGTGTTATGTTATAACAAAGATTTCCATTATTAAGTCGATATGGAGACAAATGAAAATGAGCGGTATGTTTCATTTTCTTTAAACAGTGTACATGAAGGTATTAAGTATTTTTCAATTAAATTATTTTTCTATATATTTATATAATTACATAAGTAATAATTATATTTTTGTCTTGATTTATATTGTCAACTTTATAAACATTTTTTAAATTATTTCAATTTGTAAATGTTTAGGTGTTCAAGATAATATTTCTCATGAAGAGATATGTGAACCAATTAATGATTGTGTCCTACAAGATAGTATAAATGAGGTTTCAATTGATGATATAAATCATGATATTACAGAAACTGAAGTTGCGGTAGAAATTTTAACAGAAAATTCTGGAGATGAAGAGGAAAATTCAGTTGTATATCCTATTTATATTAAAAAGGAATCTTCACAATTATTTACAACTGGAGATGAGTCAATGGCTGTTGAAGCCTTGCGTCAATTAGGTGGAATGTATCCTTGCTTTGAAAACAAAAAAGTTACATGTCCTCATTGTACTAATATATTCAATGAAACAGAAATACTTAAGCATCAGAGTATATGTCCATTTGACAAACATATCTGTAATATATGTGGTGAAAAGTTTGAAAGAAAAATTGATTTAAACAACCATTTAGTGTGTCATCAGGTTGATCGGCCGCATGCTTGTAGAACATGTGGAAATTTATTTCGTTCTAAACCTAATTTACAAACTCACATGGTTGAAGTTCATCAAGTTTCACGACCTCACAAATGTACTGTTTGTGGAGCAGATTTTCAAAGACCATCAAGTTTGTCTAATCATATGAAAATTCATAGTTATGTAGCTGGAAGAGCATTGATGCAAGGAAATAATATAATAAATTGTCAAACATTAAAAAATATTTCTAATTCACAACAGTCATCAATTTTAACATCTGTTCAAACAATACAAAATTTTGATATACCTCAAGTACAATGGACCATACAAACATATGATCAAAGCAATGTTGATGGTCTTACTAGTCATTCTGACAAAATAGACACTTTACAAGAGTTTACGGTATTACCTAATGGAGAAGTTGCACAATTAGAATATAATTCCCAAAATACTATAAATGATCAAATATGTCAAGAATATAACTTAACTTTAAATTCGTTTAATAATTCTGATACTTTGTCAAAAGTAGAAGCAATTAATTTGAATAACCAGGCTAAAAGAACTTATATTGAAGTAGATGTACAAGAAAACAGAGGATATATTTGTAACCAATGTGGTGTTACCTTTGCACGTGCATCATCTTTATTTTTACATGAAAAAACACATACAAAAAGTGATTGGGCTACTCCAGTTGAGTGTGAATATTGTGATAAACAATTTCAAGATTCTAATTTTTTAATTACTCACCAAGCATCCTGCACCAAAAAATTACTCCAAAATAATACAGAGTCTACTACCACTAATGCAAAGTGGGGTAAACATGCTTGTTCAGAATGTGGTAAAAAATTTACAACAAAACAAAAAATGTTTAGGCATCAATGGATTCATAGAAAAAAGACTCATTCCTGTGAAATTTGCGGATCACAATTTGAAAAGCAATCTGAACTTGATGAACATCGATTATCTGCACATCCAGGGGATTCACCATTTACTTGTAATGAATGTGGTAAAAGTTTTGTATCGCGTCAAGGACTCTGGGAACATGGTAGAACTCATGCAGGAAGTCCAGCTTACTTTCATTGTGATACTTGTTCAAAAACTTTTTCTTCTAGACAAGGATATTTAATACATCATCGTACACATACAGGAGAACGTCCTTATGGTTGTAAATTTTGTTGGAAAGCTTTTCGTGATGGAGGTACTTTAAGAAAGCATGAACGAATACATACAGGAGAAAGGCCTCATGTCTGTCCATTATGCACAAGAGCGTTTAATCAAAAAGTAGTTTTACGTGAACATGTTCGATGGGTACATGCTGCTGGAAAAAATGAAACTGAAATTTCTGGACCTCCATTTTCATGTCCTTTATGTGCTACGTTAACTCAAGATCGAGATGAATTATGTGCTCATATTGTCAAACATTCTGATCAAATGATAGCCGAAGCTAAAGCTAAAAGTAACAATGTAATTATAAAAGCAAAACCATTGAAAAAGAAAGGAAAAGTATTAGATAAACCAAAAGCATATAATTTAAAAGCAAGAAGTCAAATGATTTCTGATATAGACCCTAATAAAACTTTATTTAATATTACAGAACAAGTAAAAAATTCATCGGAAATACAAAATACTTATTTAATCTTAAAAAATGATTATAATAATGTTTCTCAAATAGATAGACCGAATAAATCTGTTGATGTAATATCAATTGATAAATCTAATATTAATGATAAAAAAAATCAAGAAAGAACAGTTGATATTATAAATAAAGAAGCTAATATTAATACAATGCATATAATACCATTTACATCTGATGAAACAATTCATCTTATTGCTACTCATAAGCAAACTAGTACTTTACATTTTATATCAAAACAAAACGAAAACTTACCTGTTTTAGCAATTCCTAATTCTCAAAATAATGAAAGTTTTTCAGGTCAAATATCAGAAATTAATGACCCTGAATCATTAATGAAGTTGGTTACAAATAATTGTCCAATACACGATGATGCATTTGAAGAAACTGATAATTCAAAAACTATGATAATCAAGTCTGCTTCTATCCAATCTCCCAATATTAGGTATAAGCAAATTGTAAATAAAGAAAATAATCATACTGAAAGTGAAGAATTAATATGTGGTATTTGTGGAAATGATTTTGATAACAAGAATGTATTAATGGACCATGTAAAATTTCATATATAAACAATTTTGATAAATAATAGCTTTCATTATATTATTAATTTTATAAAATATTTATTACATTCAGTAAGTGTTTTGGTTATTAAATTTATTGTTACATTGATGTGAGAAAATATTTTGTTTTTCATGTTTTATATTAAATACGATTTCACTATATAATGAAATAGATTCTAAATTTTGTAACCAAACTATTACAATTACATTTTTTATTTTTAGTAATTCTAATTTAATTAGTTAAAATACATTTTATTGTAATAGCAAAGATATTTATAATATTATTTGCTTATCAATTAATAATAGTAATATCAAATTAATTTATAAAAAAGCATTTAAATAAACTTGATTAGTCAATTGATAGCTATTAGCTACTAAGTCTGTAATACCGATTGTAGTTAAATGTTATACGTTTTTTGAGAGCCACATGCATTGCCATAAACAATTATAATTTGATAACGGGTTTATATACATTTAATATTTACAGTATTCTATTTTTAAAAAAAATAGTGTCACTTTATTTACAGATTTGAAGTGGGAATTTATTAAGTATTAATTTTAATTAAGGTTAGTCTTTTACCATTAATTTTAGTTACTATTAATGTATTAAACTAAATTATTTATTGATAAATTTAAAAATAGTAAATATTGATATTTTTAATCATATTTTAAATTATAACCGAACCTGACACGATTATGTCATTAGCCAAATTTTATTACTCACGTTAGTATTAGGTTATTTTTGAAAAAATATTTGGTTTTGCGTTTGTGTAGTACTTGATAGTAATCTAGGTTATCATATATATACAAAGAATATTTTCTCATTTATTATATTAAGGTATAATACAATTTTTAATAGTTTAATTATATAATTCTTAAAATTAAATTTGAAAATGCCTACTTGGAGCCAAATTCAAACTCAGCTTCGAAATCCAAGTAATTCAGTAGTTTTTTTTGATATATCTGTGGGTACAACTGAAATTGGAAGAATGATTTTTGAACTTTTTGAAGATGTGTGTCCAAAAACTTCTGAGAATTTTCGACAATTTTGCACGGGTGAATACAGAAAAGATGGTGTACCATTAGGGTTTAAAGGTGCTATTTTTCATAGAGTTATCAAAGATTTTATGATTCAAAGTGGAGATTTTGTCAATGGAGATGGTACTGGTGTAATAAGCATATATGGTGGAACATTTTCTGATGAAAATTTCCAATTAAAGCATGATTCTCCAGGTTTACTTTCAATGGCTAATAGTGGCAAAGATACAAATGGATGTCAATTTTTTATTACTTGTGCTAAATGTAACTTTTTAGATGGTAAACATGTTGTTTTCGGTAGAGTTATTGATGGACTTTTAGTAATGAGAAAAATAGAGAATGTTCCTACAGGACCTAATAACAAACCTAAAATACCAGTTACTATAGCTCTCTGTGGACAAATGTAACATTGGCAATAATTGTATGGACAATAGAGTAATAAATGAATTATAAAATTAAAATGGATAAATATATTTTAATTTATTATAGCATAAAATATATAGATTTTTTTAATATAAATGAAAATTGTTTATAAATTATAAATTGTAATAAGGAATAAAAGACAATTATGTATATAACTTTTATGATAGATAATTGAATGATAATCATTTCAGAGGATTAAAAATTTTAATATCATTTAAAAAATGAATTATGAAATTTTAATTGTAAAATTTTTTAAAATAATTCAGGCATTTATTTCATAACTTATTTAGTATTTTTTGAGCATTTAAATAATTAATAATAAGAATTTTAATTTTTAATTATTATAATGTTAATAATATATTAATTTTGTTTATACTATTAATGTTATATTACAAATATTGCATTTTTTATTTTCTTATTAAATAATCACTAAGTTTATGAAAATAATATTACTATTATAAAAATTGGTTAACATATTTGTAAATTATCTGAAATATTAATAATTAGAGTAAAAAAGTTAATAAATTAATAGATATTTGTATAATCTATATCAGATCTATGCTAGTAATTCTTTGTATCTTTCTATTTTTAAATGAAGAGTATCAACAATATTATGTGCAGGGGATGACTTTGTTCTTATTATTAGTTTATGGCTTTGAAATTATATTTTTTTTTAGATCAAAAATAAAATTTATTTCTATTTACATGAGCTTTGTCTATTTAGACTATGAATAAATTAAAAATTAAATGATTGTTGAAAATCTAATTCACATTTTTTCCCATTGTATATTTGATTTATCTTGACTCATACGTTACAATGGTTTTAATCAAATATTTATTATTAATATTAATCTACTTTTAACAAATCTTAACAAGAAATAAATAATTTTTTATTTGATATTGGAACTTATCAAAATGTAATACTTAGCACTAATGAAGATCTTGGTTCCATTTATAAAGAATTTGTGTTTGACCTTTGTTGATATTTCATTATTTCTGTGGTAATAAAAAATTGTAAACAATTTTTAATTCTTTGATAGAATTGAATCCACAGGGCTTGTGATCTGAGGGTTGAATAGTCATGAGTAGATATAACTTTATCTGGTTGCAAATTATAGTTTTAGAAGTAAATTATTAAAGTTTTTAAAATCTTCGACCTAAAAATATTGCATAAATGTGTACTTAATCACTGTAAAATTGAAATGAATTTGTAACTAAATATAAGATCAGCAAAAATATATTTAATAGTGAGATACTGGTTAACAATTCCTCTTACTTTAACCTCTATTTAAAAAATGTATTTTTAAAAAGTTGTTTAACAAACACATTAATACTTACTAAATAACATAGAAAAAATTATTTATGTATGAGAATTATTGTCATGAAGAAACGAGAAACAAAAAAATATAATATTAAATATATAATATTATTTTAATTTTTTTTATGTCATGAGTATTACATTAATGTTTTCTTACAAAAAACAGGTAAGTTAAAACAATCTATCTCACAGCTTTTAGCTCTTTTACTTGTATCATAGTTACCATTTATGATTATAATTTTATTGATTCTATTTTGTAGAAATCTGTACATCTGAAATGGACAAAAACAAATTATGTAGTCTACCTTTTAATATATGTGCTGATAATGCTTAAGCTCTATTACATTCCCAAAAGTGTTTTATACATTTCAGATTTGTGTTTCATATTTTATGATACTTTGAAATTACTAAACTAATTATATTAATGAGATAATGAAGCATTTGTGGGATAGATTTATAAATACAATATCTGAACAATATTCATCAAGTATGCGAGGTCTTGATTTGTTTTTGATTGACCTATAGCATGACATGCTAATTAATATATAAAATACAACTGTTATATTTCTACGGTAAGGATTTCAATAAATAGTGAAATTTTTCATATTCCATGAATTATGATTCGGCAATTACTTTATTTTCAACATATATCAAGTAGAATAGGTGTTACAACTTATAAGCAGCAACATATTTTATATTGTTACATATTCGACAATATTCAATTCAATTCAATTTTTCTGACTGTTAATAACATCTGTATTAAATAAATATCTGTCAATATAAAATAGAGCGTTGATCTCAACCATTCTTAATTTTTCTACCTGTTTGGCTTTTCTGAAACCGTCTTTATGTTATCAGATAATTATCTCGGTATTATAATATTGTTTTTATAATAATCTTTACTTTATAATTTTTAATAATTACATTTTGTGTTGTTATTACTTTTTTCTAGCTAAACTCTTTGCTAATAACCTAATTCTTCTTCATTTTCTTTCAGTGTATTGCTCATATTTTCATAAGACGTTTATTTACACCTAATTTTTTACTGAATATTATTTTATTTTTTCATAATAATAGCATGTAGATTAATATTGCCTTTTCTTCAATTCTGTAATACTATATTGTGCATCTCGATACTGTACCATTTTTTGAACAAATAGAATGTACCTGTAACATTTTTGTAATGGCTTCTAATTATCGAGGCTGTCTATTCACCTCTACTCTACGCTGTAGATTCCATTTGCAACTTATATTATAAACAATTTTTCAAAATTTAGACATTAAACTACGATGTAATAGAATGAATAATAAAAGGTAATGATTACTTAGTTATATATTTATTTTTAATTATGTATTTACAAAAAGCTCTCCGATTTTTTGAAAATTGCATATATTCTACTCTCGCTCGTTACAGATTATGCTACTTTTCTTTTATTTTTTTTCATATTATTATTATATTTTCTTTTTATCTCAGTACACAAATCAAAGTAGATGAATTACCAAATAAACCTATAAAATTTTTTAAAAGTCATTTATAATTTGTAATACCAACGCTTATGTTGATATGTTAACTCTTTCTAAGATGAACAATTAAGCATTAATAATAATTTATATATGAAGGTGTTTTTGATCATTATTTGTAATTGAACTTTTAACAAATTAATTTTATATATTATTTCTTGAATATAGAAAATAAAGTAAAAATATTATTTCATTGCTATACATATTTTTGTATTAAAATTTGATTATAATTAAATTTCATGTTATAAAGGTTCAATAATTAATAAATTGTAAGTTTATAAATATATAACTTAATTATATGTAATATTACATATATTACATTAATAAAATGTACTGAATTGTATAAGATTAAAAATATAAATTTAAATCTACATATAAATCATGGTTATAATATATACTGAAATATACAATTTTCATTTTTGAAACTTTCTCTATCAAAGATATAATTATAAATTATTAAAAAAAAATGTAATAACTGAAATATTTTTTAATTAAATCTATATAAATTATAAAAACATGCAATCAAATATGCAATGCAAACAAATACATACAATGCAATTATGCAATATTAAAATTTAATTAAAAATTAATTTAATATAATAATATTATTGATTTGATAAAACAATACAAAAATTCTTAATTTTACTTGTTTTTTGTACATGTATTGGTATAAATTTGTCAATATAATGCTATTATGAATAAAATGATTGTATTTTATATTCTAAATTCATATTTGCGTATATAATATTAATAAAATATAAAAAATATGCTGATTGTGCAAATGAATACATAAACGAAACTCATCAAATACATTATTTCTTTTGGCTATTTAATTATCTAAGTTAATTAATTAAGTTAAAAATTTGCACTCGTAATAGTGAGAGAAGTTAATCTTATTTTTTGGATATTGTGAACTAAAATATGTTCTACCGGCTCTGGTAAAAGACATCTTCTTCAATAGTATCGATAGATGGATCTTCTACAACTATGATTGGTGTTGCACCATCATGTAAACTTGTTTTAGATTTTGAACGTTTGTAAGCATCGCGTGTAACACTACGCGTAAAGCTGAACTTGCGTACAAGTTTTTTATCAAGTGGTATAGGACTTTTAGGACTTTTAATTATACATTCTTCATTGACTTGATAATGAACTTTGAGAATTTCAGTAGCATGTTCCATAATTACATCGACGGCCCAATCTATTTCTTTTTCAATTGCATTTTCTTTCACAATACAAAATCGTAGTGCATATTTGCTATGAACCCATGCTGGAATCATATGTAGTTTTCCTGAAGCATTGATATTGGCAAGTAGTTCTTGATTAAGCTCGTCATTTTCTTTAAGTCGAAAGCAAATCAAACCAACACGCACCTCATTGAGCACTTCAAAACGTTGATCTCCTCGAAGTCGAGATTCAAAACGTTGTGCTAGATTTATATGATTACGAATGTAACTCTGCAGTCCACTTATACCATATGATCGCATAACAAACCACAGCTTAAGTGCACGAAAACGTCTACTCAGTGGTACACCCCAGTGCCTATAATCAATAGATTCTTCTGACTTAGCATGTTGTAAATATAATGGATCCACTATTAAAGCCGAGGTTAGTTTTACGCGATCACGCACCCATAAACAGGAACAGTCAAAATTAACAAGCAACCATTTATTAGGATTTGTATTGAAGGAATCAGCGTGTTCAATGCCGACCATCAAGGGTCGCATTTCTGGACAAATAAAAGAGTTTCCAGCATAAGCACCATCAACGTGTAACCAAGTACCCGGAAAACGTTTGCACACTGGTCCAATTTCCAGGAGCTTATCAAAAGCGCAACATCCTGTTGAACCCAGAGTTGTCGAAACATAAAATGGTACAAGGCCCTGAGCTACATCTTCGAGAATGGCGGCTTCGAGAACAGTACCACGTAGACAACATTTTTCATCCGGTTTAAGAATACGTAATTTAACTAGATTAATCATTGCAGCTTTTTCAACACATGAGTGTGATTCAGTTGAGCAGTAAGCAACCAACCTTGGTAGAAAAGCTGAATCTTCGATAAGAGGATTTTGTTTTTTAAGAATACATATGGCCTGCCATCGGGCAGCTAACATTGTTACAAGAATACATTCAGATGCTGAACCTTGAATAACACCACCACCTGTCGAATGTTCAGTTTCTGAAAGGAAACTATTGGGTAGATTCAAGGCTCTCGCGTACCAATCTAAGACAATTGTTTCGAGTTCGGTACAAGCAGGTGAGGCTGCCCAAGAAAAACCAATACAGCCAATCGCATCAGATAGCATGCCACCAAGGATTGAAGGAAATGAGTTTCCTGATGGAAAGTATGCATGAAAATATGGATGCTGCCAATGCGTTATCTGAAAAAGGAGATTTATTTATTCGGATCAATTGTTAGGAATTTTTTCAAATGAAATTTTAAAGTAAAATTGATTATTTGTATAATTTTAATCAATCTAGAATTAAAAATTTTCTGATTATGTATTAAATTTAAATCGAAACAAAAGCTAAATTTCAATATATATATTAAATTAAATTTACTTCGGTCTAATAGCAAAAATCAATAATTTGATTTTATATATTAAAATGCCTTCGTTATTTCAGTTTTTATTAAGGATTTATGCATGTTATTTAAAATAAGATTCATTCTTTTATATATATATTGTTTTGAAGAATTTAAAATAAAAAATAATATTATCAGAAAATTTATTATAGATTAATGTGCATCATTAAACCTAGTATATAAACAATATGTAAAGTTATTTTTTGTTTTTGATATTTATATGGTGTATATATAAAATTTGTTAATATCACACGTATATAATTTTCGGACATAAATTTATAATTACTAATAATTACTTAAATAAAAATTAAAATTTTTTATTTTATTTAGCAATTAACGAATATGCAAGAATTAATTCATTTAATTTTTATATATTCTAATATTTTATTTAATATATTTTTTATAAATTGTAAAATTTAATTATATGCTGGACATATTTAAATTAAATTATATAAGGAACCATATTTAATGAATAAATAGAATTCATCACATTGAACATTTCTACTTTGTTGTAGAACAGTGTAGCAAAATTGCAACGAATTGGGAAGCTACTTAGGTATACATTTTATGTTTCTTTAAGATTGCAATCATTGAAAGTTTTCTTTTATCTACAAAGTTCTTTTAAGACAAGAGTTTTACAGAATACTACACAGTTCTAAAAAGTGTGTCATCCATATTTGAAACAAAAAAATTACATCCTATGGAATTTTAATAACTAATAAATCATGTATAAAATCTTTTATTACAATTACATTAACAGTTTTTTCTAACAACTTTAGGAAAATTAATTTACTATTCATTCGATATAATATTAATAAATAATAATGACAAATATAATACAGAATTTTTAGATCATACTCATTGTCATAATATTCTGTCAGCCTATATTAAGTTATTAATAAAAACTAAAATTTATGGAATAGGATATTATACAATATTATATTGTATGTTTAGCATATTTAGCAATGTCGTTTTAAAAGTATAAATTAATCGTTTCAAATATCATAAATAATTGTGACTTTTATTCATTTCACTGGAGAATATTCGATTTTTTTATAAGAAAGAGTGATTTATTGAGTTAGAAAAGTGTATGAAAAATAATAAGTAATTGATTAAAATCTCACGAGTAAATTTAATAATAAATATATTTTATTCAATAAATCTATAAAATTTTAAATCTGTAATTATAAAAGTATTTTTACAATTGATTATTTATTTTTATTTATTCCTTACCCCAGGCATTATTTTACATTCAACATCTTTCATGATAACGTCAAATGATTCTGGTTTTGTTGGTGCTTCATTGGGTAAAAGTGGTCTTAAATATCCGGGATCTACGTTTGCTGTTACACGTTTACCTTCTAAAGTCCGAATATAATTACAAATATATTCTATCATTTCTTTACCACGAATGCGGAATTCGTCAATGTTCATTGCTAACTATTAATAAATATATAAATTAATATGTAGACTTTCATAATGTTAATTGACTATTAACATTAAGTTTTTACAGATTTTATATCAACTTATTATATAAGAATATCATATTTTTTTATAATTTAAATATTTAATAACGTAAAATTTCCATCATGATATTAAAATTAATTTTAAGATAATTGAATTCACTAAATTAAAACTTATACATATAAAAGAGAAATAAAATATTTACTTATATTATTTAATTCCGCAAACTCATTAAAAAAATTATATAAATATCGTAATCGAAATCAATGTTCAATATTTAATATCACTATGTTTTTAAATAACTACGAACATAAAAAACAAAAATGCATATAAATACATATACATATATATAAATTCTGGTTAAAGAACATAAATATTAATAAAAACAAATTTTTTAAATAATTGTACTTACATTTTTTGCTTTGAACGAGTTAAAAATAATTAGCAATAAGGATTCAAATAACGTTAATTTTTACAATCATAATAATTTATGAATATATAATAAGATAAATTTAGAACAATTAGGTAAGTTAATTCTTTCACGAATGATATTTCTACACTTGGGATATAACTCAATAGCTGATGTGTCAGCACTTATATTTCAGAAAATTCGTTTTAGACTATAAAATAAAAACCAATCAAGTGCGCAAGTCAACTTGTTTGTGGCGTATAACTTCATTAAAATAATTATCATTCCTTAAAGATTATTCTCTTAAAAATTAAAGAAATTTGTTATGATTATATAGATTTTCAATTTAAATTGCAATTTTTTCTTTTTTCTTTTTAATAGTTTTTTAATTATGGAAATTTGATATTAACTTCAATACACTTATAATTAAAATAAAAATGGATAATTTTATTTGAAGGTCAAAGTTGAAAAACGTTATGGATAAAATAAAAAGAAAACCTATAAATTTTAGGAATAATTAAAAGAATACTTTTAAATTAAAATAAACTTACATTTTGTGACAATGAATTATTTAACTGGCATACTGTATAAAAATATTAAAACTAATTAATTAATAATAAATAAGCTATCAATATAAAAATATCATAATTAATGATATGATTACTTTCACCTAGATTTCCATTTTTTTCATTAAAAACTATTAAAATAGACATAGTATTTGAAATATACTAATTTTATCAAACAAGGACTAATATTGTTTTATGTTTATAAATAGCCATTAATTGTTAACCTATATTTTACAATAAACTATTAAAATAATTGAACAATAGACAGGTCAATAATCAATTAATATACGTTTAATACTTGACTAGCTATGCGTCGCCATTTACAAGTTTGTAATATTTTGTATTATAATATGTATTATATCGATTACATATTCTATCCTTATTAATTTTTTAAATCTAACAAAAAATAAACAAGAATTTTAAGTTACACGGTTCGTATGTCTATACTTGGTTTTTTAATAATATATATTCGAATTTTTATTTATACTAAACTTTTAAAATGTATTGACAACATACAAGAATATTAATACATAATTTTATTTTTATTTGCTAATAATATGTTTTTAATATAAACCTTATTACACTTCTAAAATGGATAACCAAAGCTTTATAATTTTATCAGGATAAATGATAGTTAAAAGGTAGGGATGTTATTATTATAAATGAATAAAAATTATTAAATGAAAATTATGACATAATGTTAAAAATATTTGTTGCTTACAGTAATTAATACTGTTAAATGAACTGAAAGTATCTTACAATTTATTTAAATTCAATATTAATTAAATATATAATGATTTCTTCGATTAATAATAGTTTTATATACGATAAAAATTAATTTTATTGTTATAATAATAGATTACAAATACTGTAGATAAATATTATCAAAATAAATTATAGTTACTTGTTGTTACCATATAAACCTATATAAACATTTAATTAAATTTATAACATACAGTTTAATATAAAATACACACATGGTAATTAAAGAAATAATACTAAATCCGTATTTATGATTGAAATAGAAATTTGATAAAATTAGTGACAGGCAAATAATAGAAACATAGATTGTAATAGTATTTGAACTTCGAGTGTTGATTATATAATGTAAAAACTAAAAATTCTTTGTGCATCTATTAACAAGAGTTAAAGTAAATTGAAAAATAAAATAAATTCAGTAATCTTTAATATAAATATTGAATTAATGGGTTTATCAAATTCTACATATGCGTAATTGTTTTTATTGGGTTTTCATGAAATTAATCAAATGAATGAAAAATAAATTCAAATTCAATATATAGAAATGTAATATTCTAGGTGTTTTTTATTAATATTAATTATTAATATTAAATATTATACTATAAAAAATGGAAACATTGTTAATTTAACAATTAGAATTTTCGTTACCAATTACTTCTATAAACAATAACAAACTAATTCAATCATATAATTTTATATCTAAATATAGGTACACATTTATTTCCATTTAATGTTTGTTTTAAAATATAATACATAGTATGGTGTAAATAACTATAAGTTTTAAAAATAATATTAATTATTTAAAATTATAATCGTTTTAAAATATATATTTTTATATCATAAATTTTTGTAATAGTTATTTAAAATTCAAATATTAAGTTTTATTGTAAAGATTACGTTAATACAGTTATTTATAAATCATGTGCTTATCGTGTACTGGTACTCTAATAATGAATTACTCATTGTCTTGTATCCGAACAATTTTCATCCATATCCGAGATGACTAGACGATTGATTATAAGTATTTAAAATTAAAATTTTTATATATTTAATAGCTACATTTTGCTTTCCAATTTAAGTTCTTCCATTGGATAATCGGGATGGTGAAACAGATGGAGAAGGCTCAGGGCTACATCCATTACTGTTATCTCGTCGACTTCCTCTACCAATTTTCTTTAATCGTACCATTGTATCTAGATGGCGAAACCTTTGATATTAAGAAATTTGATTAAACCTCAAATATTAAACATGTTTCATATTGTCAATATTTTTATCTATTAAAAATATCATTCTAATTAGTATTTGTTTGGTATATTATTTTTAAAAGAATCATTAAATTATACATTTAATATATTTGCAATACAATTTATATAAATATTGTTAAACTTTCATTATAATTTATGACTAATAATTATTGAATTATAAAAAAAATTCTTTTAATAATTGATCGAAAGCATTTGTTTTATTTAAAATTGAAGGCTTTGAAAGTTGAATTTATGTAATTCAATAAGTATATTTAAATTTCATTTATTTTTCATTTACTGTTTTTTATATTTTGATAAGTAAATGTGTTTAATGCATTTATTAAACTTTTAATTAATTGTTTACTATTATAATATTGAAAAATAGCATTAAAATACTGAAATATTTATTTTTAGATTTAATTTGATGTGTTGACAATTCTGAAAATCATTTTTTGTTAATGTTTTTCTACTATAAAAAAAAGTTTTATCGTGGACTTATGTTTTTAATTATATAGTATAAACATACAAATTAAAATATTAATTTTGACACAATACTAAAATTACAAATATTAGTTTTTGGTAATATAAGCTATTAAAAGTATAATGTTATTATTTTCTTCTTCATAAGTAAATCTTAACATTAAAAAGTATATGAAAGGTACTAGTTTCAATTTACGTAAGTAGTGCATAATCCATAGGTGTTGAATATCTACGATTTAATGACGTAATGACTGGATAAACCCAAGATGGTATATTATTAATAAAAAATATAAAAGACTATTTTTTTACGATTTGTAACTGTACTCTATAAAATAATTAAAAAATTAAGTAATTGTGTAATAATGTTTTTTTTTAATTTGATAATTCAGTTCTAGAGTATTAAAAAACTTATTTGACGTTAACTTATCAGTAATAAAATCATTTTCATTTTTTTCGAAACACGTTTTGATTATATAATTTATAGTTTTATGTATTATATTTAAATCTACATCAGATTGTAGTGAGTGATTAAAAATTCGCGAATAGTTAGGAATTGGTTTATAATATACAAATAATTTTCTTTGAATTATCTTATCACGAATACATTTTTATTGAATATATATATATATCTATCGTCATAAAGTTATTTTAGACGCGCCCAACTTTTCAATTGATATATATATATATTTTACAAAAATTATGTTAATTTTTCTATATGTTAATTATTTGAAATACTAATAATTAATTAACTTTAGTTCAAGTTTGAATTTAACTTTTCATCTTCTTTCGATGGTAAGTAATCGAACAGAATCGTCAGATACAGTAATCAATCAATAATCATGTATTACCATATGTAAATATACTTTTAGTTATTTGTTTTTTAAGTACCTTAAAGATAATTCGCTAGTATCTGCTGCATCACGAGCATGCATTAAATAAGCAAGTGGCCATGAGATCCATGAACGTCTGGAGAAGTAAATAAGTTTTTATTGTTTTCAAAATATTTATGTATATTTGAAAAAGTAAACTAACATGGGTATTTGTGTATTAGGACTAATGCTAGCAATCGTTACTTGAGTATCAAGTTTTATGCGATTTGGAGTTTTGGTGAAACCAGGTTGAATTGCTGGATCAGAAACCATACGCACAAAGAAAGAACGTCTTTGTTCAAGTGTTGCTTTTCTTTTCTTTTCTCGAATATCTGCGAGTTCATCCATAACATCCTATTTAAAGCATGTTCTTTAGTATATTTTCCATGTCCAATGTATAAATGGAATAGAGCTTTAAAATATATACCACCTTAGACTCTAAAATTTCGGATAAGAAATCAGTTATGATACTCCATGCCATATCTAAAATAATTTCTTTTGAATAAATTACACAATTCATTTTCAGTTTAAAATGAAAGATTTGTTTATTAAAATTTATAAATTTTTGTCTTGAATTAAAATTGAATACAAAGACATTATTTTTATATGAATTTATCTTACCGACATCTTCTGTTGTTGCATTTGGTGCAGCAAGAGCAAATCGTATTGTATATCTTTGATTAACCTTTGCTGGAACCATGTGTATTTTTCCTGAATCGTTGATAGTACTTAAAAGTTTCTGATTCAATTTATCTGATCCTTTGGCACGAAAACACACTAAACCTAACTTCAAAAAATATTCTATTTCTACTTGGATATTACAATTATTTGGAATTTTTAACTTTTATTCATTTATTAATTGTAATTAACATCATATCATTGATCAATTTAATTAATGTTCGAAAATAAAATAAATATAATAAAAATAATTTTTAATAACAATTTAATCATTATTATATATATGGTTACATAATCAATTAAAAAATTCTTTTAATTAGATTATAATGTATATATTTTATAAATATCTTATTAAAAATTAATCGTTATATTAAAGTACTCTTAACTTACCACAACTTCATTACATAATTCGAATCTTAAATCCTTTTTAACAAGCAGTTCAAAGCGTTTGGCAAGTCTTATATGATTACGAATATAATTTTGAAGGCCAGAAATTCCATAGTTTCTTATAACAAACCATAATTTTAGAGATCGAAATCTTCTACTCAATGGTATACTCCAATGTCTGTAAAATATACAAAATTTAAATCTAATGTTAAATTCCGAAAATTCTATTTTTAGTACTTTATATTTTGAATAAGTAAATATATTATTGATTAATTAATATGCTATTAATTCAAAAAATATTATATTTTGAAAATAGTTAATATATTTAGTAGAACTTATTAGTTATATAAAAAAAATGTATATCATGCATTTTAGACTAGTTAATTATAATTATATTATTGGGGAATTTTTATATTCATTCCATAAAATAAATAACTATTCATATGTTCATGTATTTATTGTATTAACGTTATTCTTAGATGCATAATTTCGTTTTTATTTACTTTCCAATCTTATATTATATTGAAATTTTTTTTTATAATTCTTGAGTTTACGTATAATTTATCATTGTTCAGCAAAGTAACCATTGAAATATAATAGAGCAATATAGACGCAATTTTTAAAAAATATTACATCTTTTATTACAATAGTCTTTTATGAGAAATATAATATGCAGAAACTAAAATAACCTACCTATAGTCGATGGCAGTATCTGCATGTGTATGTTGGAGATATAGTGGATCGACAACCAAAGCGCTCGTTAATTTGAATCGATCGCGCACCCAGAGACACGAGCAATCGAAATTCGTTAGTAGAAATTTATTAGGATTTGTATTAAATGAATCTGCATGTTCTAAGCCTGTCATTAAGTATTTCAACTCTGGACAAATAAAGGCATTGCCCGCATATGCAGCATCAACGTGTAGCCATATCTATAATAATATATTTTTGCTTGCTTTATTAATCGTCTAATTATTATATGTTCAGTCTTTACTATAAATACAATATAGATACAATATACAATATATAAATATACAATACAGAATACAATATAGATAAAATGATATAATTCTTAAAAATTATTAATAATACGTTGATTATGCTTAATAGACAAAACTTAAACTTTATTGAAGCTCAATTTTAATTTTAATTGATTGTGAATATTTAATATTTTTTATAAGGAAATATTTTTGAAGATTATTGGAATTTTTTAAGTAAATTATGGATATAATAAACAATATTTAAATATAAAAAAAAATTTCATATATTATATTGAATTTAATTTTTTTTAAATACTTATAAATTTCTCTTATATTTGTCAAAAGTAAAGACTAACTAGTAACCAAATAAAATTACATAAATAAATTAAATAATATAAAGTTGATAATTTTAAGGTATGCCCTCAATTTTATAAGGAGAGTTGATTGATGATTTAAAGCTAAGAAATTGTAATCATAAATTTTCAAAAAATATAAATAAAAAAAATCATTCATTCTACAAATTATTATATTTACAACCCTGAATAGATGGTTATGTACATCTCGAAATTCAAGAGGTTTTTCTTAATTTGAAATATTTGGAATTAGTGCTACATATAATATTCATACATAATATTCGTATATTAGGCAGGATTCAAATTAATTGAGTTTTCTACGTTATAGTAAAATCTATCACTTACTCCAGGATATTTTTTACAGAGAGGTCCAATTTCATCCAGATTGTCAAAAGAACAACATGCTGTTGTACCAAGCGTTATAGATACAAAAAATGGTATATAACCCGCGGCAATATCAACTTCGATTGCCTACAAAAGTAGATTTATAGTATTTTTAAGAAGTAAATGTTTTTTAAACATAAAATACAATAAAAATATCAAACAATTTTTAGAAGGTTCTTTACTGATATATATTAAATAATTACGTTGATATTTATTATTAAGGATCTTAAGAATAATATAAATAATTCAAAACAATCAAATTTTATATAATTAAAATTGCTTTTTACCTGGCGTAATGTTTCTCCTCGAAGCTTACTTTTTTCATCTGGTTCTAATATTCGTAATTTAACAAAACAAATCATTGCATTTTTTTCTACACAACTATGGCTTTCTCTGCTGCAATAAGCCATTAGTTTTCCTAAAAGAACTGTTTCATCTAAATGTGAATGAATTGATGATTCCTTTAGTCGAGTTATTGCTTGAGCTCTAGCTGCTAACATACATACTAAAATACATTCTGAAGCTGAACCCTGAAAGTTTATCATTCAAATAAAATTGTTTATTGTTAATGAACTTAGTTTATTTTTAATAATGTGAATATATTCTGAGATAATTTACAATATATACTTTGATGTTTAAGTAATATTGTACAGTATTTGGTCTAATTATGTATCATTTCAAATTAATTTTCATATATAATTAAAAATAATTATTTATATACGGATTCTTTTCATTTGTTCTAATTTCCTGATCATTTTATTTGATTTTATTTAATTTTGTTTGTATTCGATGTATACTTAAGGAGAATTATTTAACTCTCTATTTTCAACTTAATATAAAAGGCATAAAAAACGTAAAATATTTTGACATGTAAATATAATTATAAATATTAATATAAGGATATATTTAGATAAATCCTTTTGTTGTTTTGTTGTTGAATTGTATGTAATTTATTTTTATATTACAAATACTAACTTATTTAATTATGTAATACATTCTAGACTTATTAGTATTAAGGTAAATTAGATTATATTAGGAAAGTAAATTAAAGGTATCCAGCATACTACTCTTGTATCCAATATTTTATAAATATGATGGAAATATTATGACAAGATCATCCTATAATAACTTTACCCCTGACTTCACTCCAGTAAGCATACCCGTAATGCAACGCATACGCCTTTTATTCAATATTTCTTCCGCTCATTCCATATCCCTGGACTTACCTTTTTTCAATTTGAAGTATTTGATTACAAAATTTTAATGGAATTATTACTATACTTATATTATATAAAAAATATTTTTTTTTATACATACCTGAAGAACACCTCCACCTTGACTTTTATCGCTAAAATATAGAAAATCGCTTGGTAAACCAATAGCTTTCCCTTAAAAATTAAAATATAAATGAATTATAATTAATGTAAAATAGATAATTATATTATTCAAATAAAGCTAAAGTACAATTATTTAAAATAGTATTTATACATTGTTTGAGTCATTTTTTTTTTTCATTCATTTTTTGAAAGAATATTTGTAAAATAATAATAATAGATAGTGTCGATTATATTATTTCGATCATTTTAAAATAAAGTGAAACACAATATACATATCTACACCTAAAAATTTCATACATTAAATTTAATTAGAAAATACGAAGAAACTGTACCTTACATCACAATACGAATAAAAATTAAAAATATTTAATAAAAATATAAATGAATAAATATTTTCCATATTTTTTTTATTAATGTTCCTTAATTATTTGAAAACTTTTTTATTTTATTTGTAGTGTAAGATTAAGTATATTAAAAAATTTTCAATCATTAGTTTTCTTATAAAATAAATTTTTAAAATTATTTGTAAATTATAATTCAAATAAAATTGATGTAATACATGCGTCAAATCTAAAAACAACAAAATTAAAAACTCTTAAAAACACCAAACAAGTAGGATCAAAAGATAAAATTAATATACAGTCAGTGTCTGAGATCAGACTAAAAATCTCCCTTTGATATTGGGTGGAGGTGTTGCTGGCAAATGGAAGGGACAGTGGAATAATTCAATACTACACGCAATGGTTCTTGTCTTTCCTTTTATTAAATATAATAAATAGTTAATGATCATAAAGTGTATGAATGAAGGTGTTAGTGAATAATTTGGGGATGTTTCTTCAATTGTGTTACGTGCTAAGGAGAGTGTGTATCCTCTCCGTGGTGTGAGAAGTCGATGTAGTCATAGTATGCGTAAGAGCCACCACTGTCGTACCGAAGCCGTGTAAGCGAAACCGGGTCGCGACTGCTTTAATGTAAGTGCGTAAGAGCTGCTGCTGTCGTATCGAAGCTTTCTAAAGGAGACCGGTTTTCTGCTACCTTAGTTGTCGGTGTGATCCGTTAATATATGTAGTATGATTTCGATCGTTTCACTCTCAATTATGTTAGCACTAGCGCTTTAGTAGTTTAAGTTTGGTTAACGGGTTCTGATAATGTGGCGTCACTATTGAATTGTTAGATTCCTTATTGTTTGAGTATACAATACGCGTATCGCTACAGTGAGTGATGACTGTAGATAGAAGATTGAAGATTGAATAGAGAGCCCGTCATGATGACTGTGTAATTGTTACTAGACTGAGACTGAGCGCTGAGCGTGAAGCTCAGGCCTTAAATATTTTCGTGGTAGTTTTAGACGCTGGTAGCGATCCGGTGTCCGTTACTATGCCGATATTTGTCGTGACGTCAATAGGGCATAGCCTTGAAAGGTTCATAGACATTATTTTTTGGAATTATAGTTATATATTCGAGTTTGCGGCGTAGAAACATGTCTCGAGTTCGTTGGCTAGTGTTTATAAACAACTGTTTGCGCGCTCATACCTCTCCCATTTTTGTATTCCGCCTTTCAATTGTATTCAATCCATAACAGTCAGTAATAGAAAAATAACTGTTTTAAGGAATTGCAGTAATGCAATAATGCGCATATTAACATATTACAACATTTGATAAATCTACAGAAATATTGGTAATTACTTAAATAGTTTTTAGAAAAAACTGACAAAAATGATCGTATGTATTGAATATAAGTGTACGCAAAAAGACAAAAAATATTTTATCAGCAACAAATATATATATTAAAAAAAAAGTAAGAAGTTTTTTTTTGTATAAGCATAAATAAAAACAGTTTTTGTAAATATTAACATATACTATTCGTATATAAATAAAACATATCTATTTCAAATAGTTTTCTGAAAAATATATTTTCAATTTAAATATTTTCAAGTAACAAATTATTTTAAAAACTATATAATTAATCAATTAAAAATTGTATACACTTTTTCAATATTAAATTTACTCTTAACATAAATTCTTTTTTTAAATAAAAAAATCTAAATATTTAGAGAATGTAAAATAGAAATATAGTTACCATCTTGCCATAATCGTATATATATATATGAATGTAACATTAATGATAATTGATCTTTAAATGATAGCTCTAGCTATCATATCCTATTAATTATATATTTTAATAAAAAAATGAATTTATCTTTCCTTCAATAAGCGAAGTACTTTAATGTTAAAAAAGTGTATATGTTTTGTAGTAAACTATATATAAAATAATAAATGTATAATAAAATAAAAGTATATTATTATAAAGATATTAAGCATAATTATTTTAAGCATGATTTTGTATATTTTTATAAATACAGTTAATTAATATGATATTTCAATATTATATGATATGACTATGAAGTTTAGCACACCTTTTTACACTTCTATATTACAACGATAATTAAATTTTTTAATAGCATTAGACAAATTTCATTATAATATTTATTTGCTTGATAAATATAAGAACTGATGTCTAAAGTTTATAGTTGCAAGTATTAATATTTCTTTCAACTTTAATTTCTATTTATCTATGTATAACGAAAAAGTGGGTAACAAAAAATATATAAATAGTATTTCTTACCTAGCCAGTCACACACTATTGTTTCCAGTTCTGTACAGGCGGGCGAAGCAGCCTAAAATATTAATTCGAATACATGAAATAAAGTAGTCCAATGAAACATATATATATATATATATATTCGGTATTTGTAAGTTTTTATTATATTATTCTAAGTATTGATTATTGTATTTTGTTAATAAGAGAAAAATTCATCAATGTTAAATGAAAATTTTTTATAATTGTTTTAAATATAAGTACATTTTTAGTATTTTACTTTTCTTTTTATTTATTATTATCTACTTATGAGATTACATTTGTAATAATTAATTTGATCATGAAACATTTATATTCTATATTTTTAAATTACAAATTAAATATTGTAAACAACATTAAATCATATAAATTAGTAGATTGAAAAAAAAAATATATATATAATAAGAAACAATATACTTAGATTTTATACAATAAATAAATAAAAGTAAAATATTAATAAATAATACGATATTTTGTGTTGCAAAATTAAAAAAATTTAATTTAATTACATAAAATGGTTAATACTTCAAAAATTTAACTAGTATATATTTAATTTTATGATTTCTAAAATATATAAATATTATTAATAAGAATATCTTTTTTGAATGATATAAAATTATTAGATTTTGAAAACATCATCAGTCAACACAAAGACGTTTATAAATAACTTACATTTCACATAACAAATGTCATTCTTTTATACCCTTATTGAAATTAACTTCATTTCTGAACAGATATAATTTTTCTTTCTAAAACTGCTTTGAATTAATCAAATTTGCTTGAATGTTAGTAGATTGAAAATAATGTACTTAAATTAAGTCAAAACTGGAAAGAAATATTTTAATATTGGGAATTTGCATTTGTAGTTTTTATAAATTATGGTTATCTTGGTCCAATTAAATATTTATAACAATAAGTGTTACGGATTACAACAGTTTTAAGCGGTATACAAAGTGGGAGAGGTAAAGACATCTGTGCTTAGTTAGAAACATTTGCGCGCCGAGTCATAAACACAATTCTGCGAAATCGGGAAACCTCACTACGCAAAATATTCGAATATTACATTATAATTCCTACTAACAAGATCGACGAACTCTCCAAGGCTAGACTCTGGTGACGTCACTCTAATAATCGGCATGACAAGAGTGATCCGGTAGTCACCGCAAGCTTGTACTAGGATATTTAAGGAGCTGCAGTTGACGCTTTCGCTCTTGCTAGTACTGATCACGCGCTCTTCACATCAGGCTCGCTATCCAACATGCAATCGCCATCATAAAGCCGTAGCAAGCATCAAACAACCTAAGGAACTAATAGCGATGCCACAACTATACTGGCACCCAAGCCTCCATAAGCAACGCACCACGCTCGTTCTTTACTACTGCTCTTACTAGTTCAATCAAGCATTCATCACGACAGAATCGCCATTCTTCAATTCGGCTCCAGCCAACACTACAGAGATCGACTCCACATCATACGTAAGCTAAGCTCATTCGGCCTACTACTACTACAGAGTCGACTCCAACTCATACGTAAGCTAAGCTCATTCAGCTTACTACCACTACCGAGATGGACTCCACATCATACGTAAGCTATGCGATTACGCACGTTCTTACGGCTCACTAATACACGGCTCCCGTCAACTACGTAAGCAGCAACACTACCAACATACACCAATATCGCACACTATCTATACCTATTACACCGATACGAGTAAATCTCCCACTCCGTCAAGCAGTGACGTCACATGGACATCCTCCCACCACCAGACCACTACAGCGCTCACCCTACGCCAGCGGCTAAGGCGGTCCCAACTAACTGCCCCTACCAGCGAGAGTCTCCCACTACTACTTCGAATTCATAAGGAAAAGGAGAATCAAGCTCCAGACTATCAAGAATACACATACAGAATTATCGTCACTAATATTCATTGAAAAAGCTCTCATCCATTCATTGTATCATACATTCATTTCGACATCCATAGATCACTGACTATTTATTATATTTATTATATTCAATAAAGGGAAAGACACTACATTCTATTGGCAGTATTGAATTATTGCATTGCCCCTTCCACTTGCCAGCAAGCCTCCATCCACCATCACAGGGAGGCTTTAGTCTGATCCCAGACAATAAGGATTACTTTTTTCCGTTTTATTTATACCCCTTTTAAGTGTAATAAATGGAATCAACATACAATAATATTTATAGTCAATGAACAATTAAGAATATTCATTTATTTTTAAGAAATTTACTATAAAATATTTATCATAAACAAATTATACGGATTATATTAATTTAAAAATTAAAAACAGTAATTTAACCATTTCTTAAAATCAATCAGAGTATATAATAAGTACAATGTTAGCCTTCAATCTGAATAATCAATAAAAAAGAGGATAAAATAATATTTACCTTATAGGTATGGAGAGTCTAAGCAACATAAATTTCGCATGTGAATTTTATAAAATTATTATCTATAGCTCATATGTAAATTATATGTAATTGGAATAAGTAGCAAAATAAAACACTATATTTTACTATTATGATAAATCAAGAGAAACTAAAACTAAATTATTCAAGTTTTCTCGAATTCACAGATAATGTATATAGTATGGAATTTTTATTTATATTTATTATTTTAAATATACCTTACTGAAATACTTACATTTATAACTACTAGTTTTTTACGATTTTGTGCAGATATTAAAAAGATTTTTTTAATTATATTGTTGTAATATATTAAATATTTTATAAAATTGATTAAATATATTTAAATTAATTAGGAATATTTTCGGCATAAATAATTGTAACAAATATGTAAATATGTTACGTTATATATTTAGGCTATAAAGTATTTTATATTGAAATCAACGTGTCGTAATACGTATTTTAAATTATTTTGTACATATGCATATTATTGCATGCACTTTAATAAAATATATGATTTATTACGGAATTTTAATTTTCAATTCTCCTTAAAGTTAGGCCATATATTCATATGCGAATAAAACATTATGGTCGATTCCAATTACAAAAATGTATTAGAAATTGTTATATTGTTTAAAATAAAGAATAGTCGAAAAATACTAAGAATAGAGTTTTTCCAATTTTAGATGTATTTTATGATTTGAAAGAATTAAAAAAAAACAGTAGAAAATATTAAGAAAAATACGAAATTAAATCAATTTTTGATAATAGGTAGTTCAAACGAATTTACCTTTTTCTATGATATATTCAAGTTAGAGTAGAAGTAGATTATTTTTTATTCCTAAGTAATATTTTTCTTGATTTATTGAATTCTAATCGTTTGCTTTCCCTATAATGTTTAATTATAAAAATTAGAATTGTAATTATTCAATATTTTCATTGAAAATATTTACATTTATTTGGATCGATAAGTGTAATACAAATTTATATATTTCATAAATTGTATAGTAGATTTTACATATTTACGTTAAAGAATATAATTTATTGCTATTATATATCATTTGTTATGCACGATTTTTACAGAAATATTAATAGTGATAACGATTTGTATTACTTGATGACTATATAAACCAAATTATTAAGATTATATAGATCTAAATTTACTTTGAACTTTTTAAAATTTATATAAATGAAAAATAATTATTAATGTTACAGTTTTTTTTATTAACTTTTAATATTTGTATTTTCACTTATATTTGATTATTTTATCTACATCTTTGTTGCCAATTATTTTTAGCAGTTTAACAATTTCGATGATTTTATTTCAAAGAACATTTATATATCTGTAAATGTCACATATTATATAATTCACTGTGCAAATTCATAATTCCTACATCATGTGTAAAAATACTTTTTAATTTATATATTTTCAAAAACTTGTATACACATGTATTAGTAAAAGGAAATTTTCAATTAAAATATATCATTAAACATAATTACTAATATATTACAGTAAACACTGTAATTAATTTTATTAGTGTATTCATAATTAAAATAAGCGTATTACTTTATAATCATAAAAATTATAAATATTGAATATAAAAATTTAGTATTGTATTTAGCATATATTAACTTATCTAACACGCATTTAACAACATCTAACAACATTGAAACGATCTGATATTTGCTTAATATTATAAGTACAAAAATTTCTTCAAAATTATGTAACCGTAATTTCATATTTATTCATTATTTTGAATAATGATTGGAATAATTTTGATAGCTCGCAATTTTCTAAATTCATAGATTTATCTTAAAAATTCGAAAATATGTATTACAATAGCTCAATAATACATTTTACAAAAATAAAATATTTATATGTACATTTATATTAAATATTTGAATTATTTCAGTCAAATTTTTATTTTTATTATGTTAATTATTTATCTAAAATTATTTGCATTATAATTGTATTTTTAAATACTTTATTACGCAAAATTTATCATATAGATATTAATAGTAAATAAAAGCATAGAAACTTACCCAGGAAAATCCTATACATCCAATTGCATCAGATAGCATATCTCCGAGAATGGACGGAAATGAATTTCCCGCTGGAAAATACGCATGAAAACGAGGATGCTGCCAATGCGTTATCTATATTTTAAAAATTTTCAACTATATACTTTAATTGATCTTTGGAACAATAATTTTCAAATAGTTTAGTCTTTACTTTGCTTAATTAATGCTATGTGAACAATTTAAAATACCTTTGTATCAAGATTGTATAAAGTAAATACAAAAAAAACTTATATTTATAAAGTTTATAATATAAAGAAAATGTGACCTGTACTAGAATTATATTTATATAGCATACGTACGTAAAATAAAATATTTCCAGTGAAAATAATATTCAATAATTTTTTTTTTATTTTGATTACATGTTCAATGCAAATGCTCGATATTTGTTAATGTAATTTTATAACCCATAATAGATATATAAAGATCTTTACATTTTATTTTTATTAAATAGCTATTAAATTTTTATTTACAGTCTATATGGCCAATGTGGACAATTTTTGAATCACATAAACATAAGGATTTTGAACTTTTTACTTTTTCTTATGTATGTAGTAATTGATCTTTTTATTACACGTGTCCAAATTTTACTTATATTTATTACAAATCCAATTATCCATATACTTTTAAACAAATAATTAAGTATAGTAATGTTTACCCCAGGCATAATTTTTGAATCAACGTCTCTCATAATAGCATCCCAAGATTCAGGTTGAAACGGTGGATCGGTGGGTAACATTGGTTTCAAATATCCCGGTCCTACATCCGGTGTCACTCGTCTGTCTTTGATGTTACTAATAAACTCGCATATATACTCAACCATATCCTTGCCTCGAGTTCGAAATTCTTGAACATCCATTGTTTGTTTTTAAATGATCTCGCCAATTTGATGTTACTATAATCTATAAGTAAAGATAATAACAAAAAGATTTACAATAAGAATAATTATAATAACCAGCATTAAAATTAAAATACAGTTTCTGAAAATCAATACATCATGATATACCTATTAAATTATTTAACGGTAAAAATTGAAGATATATGTGCTAGGTTTCGTTGATGTTGACGCGCAGAAGCTTCGAGGAAGACTCCACGAATACCATTGAATGTTAGTCACTTGAATAATCTTCATGCTGAAATCGCGCGCTGGTCTTGCGCAAACTCACATCTTATATCGCGTATATCCTACATCTAAATAAAATGAGCTTTGCTCGATTCGCCTGCGCTCAATACCCCCCATGCATATAGAACGTAGTTAATATGAAGATTATATGCATGGAATTCTTTCATTACATTAACATAATGATGTATTATTGATAAACTGAACAAAGAAGCGATTCTAACATTCAATATATATTATAATATAAATAAAAAACATCTATAGATAGTAGCATACCTTGAAACAATTAAAGAAGAATTTATTATACTACCTAAAAATCAATGCTAAAAAAGTATTAAATAAAAATAAATTACATATATGTTCATATTCATTTGGTATTTCAAAAATGTCATTTATTTTAATATATATTTCAATATATTATATTTAAATTTATATGTTAGTTAGAATTTTAGTTATTTAATAAAAATTTATTAATTTACTGTTTACAAGTTTTGTGTAAAATTTATACATTTTTTTCAGATAATTGAAATTAATGAACTAATCGATCAATTTATAAAATAAATTATAAATTTTTTTGTTATTGTAGTATACAAAGAAAATATACAATGAAATGTTAATTAATAAAAATATTCTATTCTTTACGGAAACTATAAAATATATTTTTTTATAAGTTTCAAATGATTTTTAAAGTAAAATTTAATGAAAATGAAAAGTAAATTATATTGAAAATCATCAAATTTTAATCATAATCATAATTTAAACATAATATTTTAGTAAATACGAAAAATTTTATTTCAAATAAATCCTTATATTTTATCATCAATTAATGAAGTGAAACGATAAGCATTATAACACTACGAAGCTGGATTGATCGATAATGACGGAATAATTTCTTTTAGTCTGTTGTAATGTAAAAATAAATAAAATAAATAAATAAAAATAAATATAATTGAAAATATTATATATATTAATAGTACAATATATTAATATTTTCATTAAATGATATAACAAATTAACTGTAAATTTCAGTAAAAATATATTAAGTTTTTTACGACAATTTATTATTGATTTTGATTTTACATTAATATTTAATAATATAAAATGGTTTCATATTTACTGACTTAATTTTTAAATTTATAATATGTTTGCAAAAAAAAAATTTTGTTTAAAAAAGTTTATACCTATTTTTACTATTTTCCAATTAAATATAAAAAATTTATTCAATAAAAATATTACTTGACGTATTTATTGCTTTGTAAAGTATGACAATTAATTTTTAAATTTATTTTTATTTATTTTTATTTATTTATTTAATTTTCTTTTATAATTATTTTAATTGCTAAAAATATAAAAATTAGCATAAAAACTAATCGTCTATTGTATTCTATTGAATGATATCTTAATTGTACATGAAAAACATACTCAAAATCAATGTTAATTTTGTATTTGTAGTTAATGCAAAAATAGTTTTGTAATAGATATTTTTGGTCTTAACATAATCTTAAAATGTAAAAGACAAATGAATATTATAATTAATGCAAATAAATAACTATACATATTTTTATAAATAGATTTAACTAACCTCTAAAAATGTATTATACATACCATTAATGTATTTATGCATATATCTAGTTAATAGCTCAAAACAAATAAAATTATTTATTATTGGTGGCTCGCTTACAATTAAATTGATCGTAATAATGAAAAATCGTTTAATTTACTTTTCAGCTAAATAAATGCTGTATTGGGTACTTATAATTTTGTATACAATATCTGTAGAAAATAATCATTAATTTATTTCAAATAGAAAAATACTTATCCTTAATTTTTTTAAACAAATTTTGATTCGGAAAAAAATTTAATATATTGTCTCCCTTTATGTGCTGCGTTTGTTAATTATTATGATTAATGACAGACATACAAAATAGGTTCATACGCAAAATATATTAGTTTATCACCTATACTATATATATATATATATATATATATATATATATATATATATGTATATATAATTATATAATTTATTGAAATTCGGAAAAAAATGAAAAAATATTTTATCAATATTACTTATAATATAGTGTAATAAATTGCATGTATGCCTAAGAGAACAATATACACGCCAGAGACGGAATTAATTAGAGATTGAATCTTCAAGGTATAGTTTTATAAAAAATATTGAATTACATATCTTAACTTTACAATAATGGATATCATGTTTTTTCTTTTTCATTATAATTAATTATAAATATGAATTAGTAATACTATTTCTGTATGAATTGTGTAGTCACATTATATATATATATATATATATATATATATATATATATATATAAATATAAAATAGATACATATATTTTTGAGTATTATATTTTTAGTATGCTTGAGTTGAAATATTGTTTATATACTTGTAATATAGTATTTACAGTATATAGTATATGGATAAAATATCGATTTCTTATAAATTTTATTATTATTTATTTTATCAGTTAAATTTTACGAATTCAAACAAGCTACTGAATAAGGTTGTACATTAAAGTATTGTGTGTATATAGGAATAAGGATGGTAAAATTGTCAGGGTAAAAGTACTCGAGTAAATTGAATTTTTAATGAACTCTTACTTTGGTGTCGGGTTGCTATTATCATAACGATGTCAGCTGCAGATTCACATTATTCATTCACCTAATTATTGTATGTCATAGAAAAAGTATTGAAATTCATATTTGATTATTTCTAGTTTAATTCAATCTTTAGTTTAATTTATCTTAAGTTTAATTTAATCTTATTGATTGAATTCATTAATCATAAATTTATATTTTATAATTTATTAAAATTATTGTTGATTCTAATTCAGCGTACTTTAATTTTTAATATTAACCATAAGTTTATGTTATTAAACATTTAAGTGCAGTTAAATGCATTTTTATAATTATAAGTGCAGTTTAAATTATACGGGAGTGTATACTTATTAAAGCAAATTTTAGTTTTATATATTTACTATGATATTACTATATTCATTATATTATAATATAAATCATTAATATTTATTATGATAAAAATATCAAAGTAACATAACATAAATATGTTTCTTAAAGTTTATTCTTAATTCGTTGATTATATATCATTCGTTAACTCCAATAGTAAAGATCAAATTTTTAATTTTAAGGTTTACATAAAAAAAGTTAATAGATAAGGTAATAAAATTTAATTCTTTTAAGAGTACAGTGAAATAAATAATATTTTTTATTATATTTTTACGATTATAAATTAATTTTATTATTCAAATAACTTTTATTGATTTTGTTGAATATTTATAAAAAGTAAAACTTATTTTTTGTGTAATAAAGGATTCTTATAAAAAAATGTTCATGCTCAAATTAAAAACAAATTATTAACAAAATTGTGTACTCAGTATTCTAACATAAGAAAAAAATTATATCAAATATTTTTAAAAAATTGTAGAATATAAAAAAGTAGATGTTACCCTTTCAAACAAATTGTTGATATGGTTTTTAAAAAAATATAAATATAAATATAACTCTAAAATAAAATAATATATGAATATTAACCCATGGGTCTGTTAATTTAATATTAACAACCAATATTAAAGAATATTTAGCATTGAATATTACAATAGTTTTTAATTTTTGTAATTTTTGATGATAATTTATTATTATTAAAAAGTATTGATATAAATATTCATTCGAATTTAGAACCTTTATTTAGATTTTATTTAGTAATATGACAAAGCAATATTGAAATAAGAAATTGTATATAGAGTTAAAACAACAATGAATTAGTTTTTTTATGGAAAATTACAAATTTTTACAAACTTGTCTAGCCTTCAGTATAGAATAACGTTTCTTTTACACATTCCATTTTTGTTTTCATTACACAGAAAATATTTTATTTTTATTTATTACATTTAAGGTTCTTATTTACAATGAAAAGAATGTATCATATGCTTTACTTTATACGTCTAACTAATATTTTTAAATTATCTTATCAATTTTCATATTATATTAAGTATATGTATAGTATATAAGAATTTTAATTTATGTAAAATGCGATAAAAAAAGTATCGATTTTATAATTGTTGAATTTCCTAATATTTTTAATATTCAGAAATTTGATAAGAAACAAGATTTCTTACTAATTCTTTTACTTTATATATATGTAACATTTGCTTTTAAATATCAAAAGAGATATTGTATTGAACTTTATTATAATAAAAATAAAATTCACTTGAATATTATATAGATATAGAAAAAGTTAAAATCATGATTGAAGTAGAAAACGTATCTTTCATTAATATTAAATTAATTTAACATTAATTCAAATTTTATTTGTAAATATCGAAATTTTATTATAAAATTTATATGAAAACTTTAATTTTTAGTACCACTAAAGAATGTATATTATGTAATATGATTGGTTTTTTTATATTAATAAAATATAATTTTGTTTTTATATAATGGTTTCTAATATATTCATCTAATTTTTTTTCTGAAAATACACATTCTATCTTTTTGTTTAATGTATAATTTATAATATTTGTGATAATAACGCGAGTGAAAAATTATGAAACCTGTTCAATTTTTTATTTGAAGAATTTAATCATATCAAGAATTGTATAGAAAAAAATGTAATAATAAATGATAACTTTACAATGATTTATGGTAATTTGGAACGGGTGCTTAGTTTTAAAAACGTGTATAACTAAAAATGTATTAAAACAATCTATTACGTAAAAATCATTTAAACATTTTTTCCAATTAAACGTCAATCCATTTATTGAAAAATGAAAATCTAAAAATTATTATTTGGAAATTTAAATTCATTATAGACATTTTAATTATTATAATCATTTAAAATTTTTCATTCTTAAGTAAATATTTAATAAGATTTAAATTATTGATTTAAAAATAGATACATGATTGTAATTATATGTTAAATTTTACATTCTATGAATATTGTTACTTATAATAAACTAATAATATGTATAAACTTTGC